GATTTGAAGCTTTCGTGACTGCAATGATTCATATTCTTAGGTTTTTTCGGTAAAGTCACGTAGGTAAAACATCAAAATTCTCCCCTCATATCTCCTCGATTACCTCTCCCACTAACCCTCCTATTGGTGGGAATCGTTCCCCTGACACCCCTACACATACATAACCAGCGTGGCAGGTGATGCAACTCTGATTAGCACATTTGGCTAAGTATGGTGCGAAAGAAGTTCAACATATACAGACACATAACCAGCATAGCTGGTGATGCACCTCCGATTAGTACGGTTGGCTACGTACAATGCAAAATAAGTTCAACACACATACCTCCGTGGGTTAATGCTCATGTGAAGAGGCTCCGTTTTCACGGAAGAAATACCGTGGCCAAAGTATTGTGCTGACAGTGCAGAAGTTAAAAAAGACTCTGGACGTTTAAACAAAGCTAAATACCGCACGCAGTATTAATCAACATACAAATATATTTTTTAATATTGCTGTTACGTGTGTGCGCGTGATTTGTTATGAAATCATGAAACATGTAATGCATTCGTGTCATAAACTTAACTTGTTATTATCTGAAGTCATGTACATTTAGCTAGGATGTTTGCGACGTTACCTAATCTAGAAATGGCACAGACCCTATTTATTTTGGGAATGCTATTTCACGCGACTTCCGAAACACTAGATACATTTACAAAATAGAAATAGATAAATAAATAAATGTTCCTTGAGTGGACGTCATCCCACATATCCACAGAGCCACATTGCAGCCTCTTTTGAATTTTAATTTGCTGATCTCGTCATGGAACATAAACCATCATCCTCGCAGCGGCTTTTATCTGACCATCGAACAAAGACGGTCATTGCATCGTGCGCGTTCAGATGCGCTTCTGTGGCCGTCTGGGACGCTCTTCCTTCCGATATTAGGAAGCCACTGGAGCGATGCACTTTTGAATCTGGATTTGAAAACGAATTTCTTTAGAACTGTTTTTTTGTGTTTAGTTTGCTGTCCTTCGTCTGCACCTCTGATTAGCAGGGTAGGCAGGATACGGTGCGAAATAATTTCTACATACATACATATGTTTGATCTAAATACATGTGTTTGGTTAGCAAGAATGTATGGTGTAATTTACCATTGTGTTTGAAAATTAAATATCATGCCATATAATACTTGCGTCGAAAGGGAAATTCCACGTGTACATCCCCATGTCAAGGCAAACAACGAATTCATGAATAAGATTGCCTTCAAAAGAGAGTATACGTAATAATATTTTATTATGTTGCTCTAAGAGAATGTAGTTATCGTAAAGCTGACACCATCATCCTTATTTTTTCTCTTCTTAGTTCTTTCGGTAAAGTCACGTAGAATGGAAACAATAAAAATAATAAAATAAAACATCAGGTGAAGACCAGGTCTGTCGGGGAGACGCTGTCTGCCCGACAGACTTGGTCTTCACCTGATGACGGCTGCTTGCGTTGTGGCCGAAACGTCGTGAGAATTATTTTATTATGTTTTATTCTATTATTTTTATTGTTTCCATTCTACGTGACTTTACCGAAAGAACCAAGAAGATGAATCCCTGCAGTCACGAAAGCTTTAAATCGAAAAAATCCAGCCCTTATTGTGCACGCTCACCCTACCCCTCCCCTTCCACCCCTACGACAACCCAAAGCAGCAAAACTCCGTGTCCGGAAGAAAGGGGAGGAGCCTAAACAGAAGGAGGCGGGGCCTAAAGAAGAAGGCGGGGCTGGGCCTAAAAAAGGAAAGGCGGAGAGCCGGACGGAGGGAGAGACGCTGGGGGCCTAAATCAGCATGGGGAGGGATCTTAATCAGGAGGGAGTGGGGACTACGGAGTAAAGGAAATGAAAGGGGTGAGGCTTTCAGAGGAAGGGGCTGAACTTACAGTTTTGAACATTCCTGATGATTTCAGGTAATCGACACACGTCGAGTCGAATGTGCAGCAGGCAGCAATACCTTCGGTGATGCAGATGCAGTCGCTGGCCAACTCAGTACTGTTACATGTCTGGGATGGGAATGGCGAGATGTTAAATACCTCGCCTGGTATACAGGAGGTTGTGGGTTCGATTCTGAGTTTGAGTGTTCTCCCCGTGGTCGCGTGGACTTTTCTCCGGGTCCCTCGGTTTTCCCCTCCACATTTAACCTACACGCGTTGAGATTATTTGGCTGCAATAAATTTCCACACGAAACGCCACTTTGTTGAGCTATCATTTGTGACCAGGGCGCTTCTGAAAAAGAGCTGTATAGGTCAGTGGGCCTTACCTGGTAAAATAAATAAGTATAACCAGTAAAAACAAAGTTTTTCACTATAAATCCTTTATATGCGTGGCGGCTAGAGTCCTCTCGTCCTCTGGCTTGAGATGGCTGCCAGCTATTGGTCAGATGATTGCGTTGCACCATTAAGCAATTGGTAATTAAATATAATATTTTTGTCCTAAAAAGTGTAACATTTAGGAAAAAAATTTGTCACGCACAACGAGTCTGTGTGGAAAATGTCAGCTCGGTTGGATCACGGGAAGTGGGTTACAAAACGACCGAAAGATTTGCACGGTCCTAAGCAAGCAAGCGAACTTAATATAAAGGATTTAAAAATAGTTTAGTTTAGAGCTAATGAGATGTGAGGTGGGCGAAGCTGTGCTTACCTGCATTACAATAAACGTTTGATACTGAATTATCATCAGGTCCCATGGTGTGAAGTGCACACCGTCTTAACTCTTAGCCGCTCTATCTCTGACCACTTCAGTTACGTGCTGTGAAGGGCCATTGTCTGAAATGTGTTTTGATGGTGTTGCGTTCCAAAATAACTGAGGTTGATGTTTTATGCTGCCGTTAGCAATGACTTCGCAAAACGCCGTGTTGACAAGTCAATGTAAAGAGCACATGCGGGTGAAAAAGCGTCGTGAAGCCAGCAGTTTAGTTGTGAACCTTAACACAAACTATAGACTCACAAGTTCCATGGCATGGTGGATGGGATCAAATGTGAGTTTCCAAGCCTCTTCCAAGCCTACCTGGCCACTGAGGCGATAGAGAATGGATGCCCCCATAGAAGAGGGAAATTATCTGCCAACGATGACTTTAAATCCGGGCCAGATTCAATAAATGTCATCATCATCATCCCCATCATCGCTTCCTCGATAATTGTTTAAACAAGCAGCAGCTAACGAGATAACATCACTCTCACGAGTTTGAGAACTCAACGGTGGTCTTCCAATGGTGCAGTTCCCTCTTGTTTACATACTGAGCTTCTTATGTAAATGTAAATATCTGAATAAGGAAGCAAGTCACAAAAAGCAACAAGAACGAGACGCCCGAATGCGGAATTTCCCACTGCCGGTTCAAGGCTACCAATAAAAGTAGAACTATGCCATACATATTAAGTACGAGCTCTTTTGTTGACAAAGGGAGATTAATCAATACATATTTTGTTCTCGCTTGATTTAGAGTTAACCTTTGACCGTTGTTCGAATCACACTTTGTCGTTTACTTGGAGCCATATGATGAGTATAACGAATAATTTACTTGTGACCCAACATTTATGAATGAAACACGGTCTAACTTCGTGACAAATTACTTATACGTATACTAACGCCAGAGCTGGACTGAACGTTGGGCTACTTGGCACAGACCAAGGGCGTACACATTTGGCTGCTACAAATGATAGCTGAACGCAGTGGCTTGTCGTGTGCTATAAATGTCCACACGATACGCCACTTCTCTGAGCTATCATTTGTGGCCAAGTCGCTTCTGAAAAAGTGCTAATGGGCTTTCTTAAATGTCTAATTTGTGATTTTTTTTTCTAATCCACGTGTTCCCGTCCGCGTCTGTCTCTCAGTGCAATTCCCATCTTGTTGCTTACTTATATAATATTAATAATAATTTATTTTCCATGTTCTTTGGTTCTTTCGGTAAAGTCACGTGGATAGATTTTTTTAATAAAGTGAATTAAAAAATAATAAAAAATAAATAAATACAAACCCACTCATGTAGACTGTAGTCTAGTTCTTAATTGAAGTGAGTGTACTGACAATCTATAATGTGGACTGTAGCCTGGTTATTAAGTTTTCTGAGTGTACTGGCAGTCTATAATGTAGACTGTAGCCTGGTTCTTAACCTCGGTGAGCGTACCGATAGTCTATAATTATAGATTGTAGACTGGTTCTTAACCTTGGTGAGTGTACTGGCAGTCTATAATGTAGATTGTAGCCTGGTTCTTAACCTTGGTGAGTGTACTGGCAGTCTATGTCGACTGTAGCCTGGGTTTTAAGCTATAGACTGCCAGTACACTCACCAAACTTAATAACCAGGCTACAGTCCACATTATATATTGCCAGTACACTCACTCCGATTCAGAACCAGGCTACAATATACATTAGTGTTATTTTTTTCACTTTATCTTTTATTGTTCATTTTTCTTCTATCTACGTGAATTTCCCGAAAGAACCAAAGAATATGAATTCCTGCAGTCACGAAAGTTTTAAGTCGAATTAATTTTTATTTTTCGTGACTTAACATTCGTTTTTTGTTGCACTCCTTATCGTTTTTTGTTGTTTGCTGCTGTAAATTGCTGACCCGCCCATACTGGACATCTGTGAAAAAAGCTTCTTAGCTCATCGGATTCCTCCAGTCTAAATAGTCTGATGATTCTGAGCAGCTAATATGCATTCACTGAATACGCCCTCCGTTGGGCGCATTGGTCTGCTGTATTTGCTCTTAGTGATCAAATTTAATGTCAAGAGTACAGGAAAACTCGCTGTTGCTCATCTCCTTATCGCATCATCTTCGGCGTGAAACGGGTGCAATCAGGCGCGCCGAAGGCATATTTGGGGTCCCTGGCGCATAATGTTTCCTGTGGGTCCCCATCATGCAAATACAAATCTTGTAACTTTGGGGGGGGGGGGGGGGTTGCTGATCTTGGTACAGCCGCACCGTCGCTGTACTGCCTCTTCAGCCCAGGGTGCAATGTGGCACGCGGTGTGAACACAGTGGTGGTAGCCGGTATTGTTTAATTACATAGCGACTACACAGCGAAAGTGTCCGAAACGGGCAGATTCACCCTTTACATATGCATTAAAGTGAGCGCGGATACATAGAATACATACGCGTATCGATAACTTTGCAACATTTTAGCCGCAGACTGCAGATGTCCGTACACAGGCGCGTGTCGTCTGGCGTAGCGAGCGAGATACGGTCCGAGAAAATTGCTCGGTAAGCGAAGCTGAGCAAGCAACGTTTCAGCCACAAAATGTTCCAACTCTTGAACAACTTTTTTCTTTACACGAGATACAAATACCCGTATAATTTTAAAATAAATGAAATTAAACATCAAATGTAACACTTATCACGCGTTAACCACAGTGCAAGATCACCCCCCGTATAGTCTATGATATCACCTTCTCTCTCTCTCCACTCAATCACACAGCCCTATCCTGCTCACTCTCTCTCTCTCGCTCTTTCCACATCAAAGATCTCCCGTGTAGCCTTAGCAGACTGTTGGGGCAAGTGCTGTTAGGTTAAGTAGCGCAACCGTTGGGACGCACGACGACGCTCGGAGGGTTGGCCCGTGGGCCACTCGATGTCGAGGGGGGCGAGCAGCCCCCTTGCAAGTGAAATTGTTCAGAAAACCCCCAGAAACATTCCGCGGTCAAAATATATTGACGACGCCGGGTCGAGGGCCGTGGAGAGGATTCTCGTCTTCTTGGTTCTTTCGGTAAAGTCACGTAGAAGGGAAATAATAAAATAATAAAAATAAAACTAATTAAAATAAAATTATCACGACGTTTCGGCCACAACACAAGCAGCCGTCCTCAGGTGAAAAAACAGAGCTGTCGGAAACACAGCGTCCCAATGATTATCGTGTTATGAACACGCGAGACCGCGACCACCACAGGGTTACGATTTTTAGCAAGGTGTTTTTTGTGTAAACTGTGTTACTGACGTGAGGTTAAATAAATAATGATAGTTTGACAGAAAGGTCACGGAAGCGGTCGGGGGGGAGGAGTACCCCACCTGGAAATGGACCTATCGTTGAATGTACAAACTTTGTTCGAACAAAAAAACCCAGCTAAAAATATAACTCTTGAAAAGTAAAATAAAGCAATGGGCTAATTCAAGTTACATCGCTCCACGTGGCGATTTTCAAAGGCAAGCAGGGACACGGATAAGCTCATGTGATTCTACAGCCACATCGAATATGTTTCACTTCATTCGAATTTCACGACCACCGTGACAAAGATCTCAGGAGGAGGCTGTTAACATGAATCCTGGGTCTTGACTTAAAGCTTTCGTGACTGCAGGAATTCATATTCTTTGAGTCTTTCGGTAAAGTCACGTAGATAGGTTCAAAGAAAATAACAAAAAATAATAAAAACAAAACTACGACGATTCGATCGCGAACAGTCGGTATATTGAATAAAAAAAAACTTTAGTGTACAAAATACACACTTTCACGTCGTTAATATGAGAGTGTGTGGCAGGTCAAAAGGATTCTGAATATAAACGATACTATTTTTATTTCACCAGGTAAGGCCCACTGAGAAGCGACCAAGCCACAAATGATGACTCGACGAAACAGCTTATCACGTGGGAATATAGAACAGGCAAATGCTCTAAACGCATTGTTTTTTATATGTGGAGGGAAAAACCGGAGGGTCCTTGAGAAAAATCCACACGACCACGGGGAGAGAGACACGCAAACTCCAAATATACAACAGGCGTCGGGGGTTGGGCTCGAACCCACTTCCTCCTGTATGCCAGGTGAGGTTGTTATCATTTGGCCACCGTGGCGTCCTCTGGCCACCGTGGCACCCATGCTGTGTGCAGCATGTGTACCATGTGTTGTGAAGTCTTAAGAGAAACAGGATTTTGCAGTAATATTGAGCATTTAACATGACCAGGGGTGAAGTGGCAGCCTGTAACCTGGACGTAACATAGCTCGCGGCTGTGTCTCGGGTCACGAGCGGTATTGAGGGCGATTTGCACGGTCACCTGCCGAGATGTCGAGTATTCACGTACGGCTGGTGGTGGTGGCGGCTCACCGTTCTGGTCGGGTGTTTTCTTTCCCGCACGAGAAGCCACTTTGTTGAGCCATCATTTGTGGTCAGGTCTCTTCTGAAAAAAGAAGCTAATAGCTCAGTGGGCTTTACCTGGTAAGATAAAAAAAATATCTTCTTGGTTCTTTCGGTAAAGTCACGTAGAATGGAAATAATAAAATAATAAAAATAAAACATAATAAAATAATTCTCACGACGTTTCGGCCACAACGCAAGCAGCCGTCCTCAGGTGAAGACCAGGTCTGTCGGGGAGACAGCTTAGTTGTATTTGTGTATTTACATTTAAGTGATTTGTTTACCTTTCCTATCGTGTTTGCGCATTGTTTATTGTTGCGTGTTGTAACGTTCTGACTTTGTGCCCCTAATTGGACATTTGTGAAAAGGAGCTTTATAGCTCATCGGATTCCTCCTCCAGTAAAAATAAATATCCCGATTCTGTGTCACGATGCCGTCGGATCTGTTGAATATTCCTCGCACGTGCGCGCATGCTCTTCAATCAACCAGCCAGGGTATACGTAGAAGCAGATGGGACAGGGCACGGGTGATACGTTTTCTTCCGTTTGATCCACATTCTTCTCTTCCTCCGTTATTTCTACTCGTCTCTCTTCCACTTCTCTCGTGGTTGGCACCATCGCCACCTCCTCCTCCAACGGCCCTCTGTTGGCTGCAGCAGGACTTGCAAAGGGTGACGAGCCAGATCTCTTCCTGAGTGAGCTTCTGTCATGACCCATAGCATTCCCTGGAACAGGTTAAAGTCATGGAGGGGTCAAGGCAGGTTTCGCTGCTGTGTCAAAGTGCAACTATATTGAACTCTCATTGTCGTAACAATTGTCTCAGACACCTGTACAGGAATTTCGACCACAGTATGCTCGCATTAGCATCATCATCGTTGTCATCCTCACGTTGCTGGGTTCTTAGAGAAACAACGAATGTGACTTGGCAGTCAAAGACCACCCTACAAATATTTGATACATTAATCGTGACGAAATTGCAAAACTTTACCATGGGACTTTGTTGCATGACACTGGTGAGACGAGGTCATAAAGTTTCAAAGACAATGCAAAAATTATCAGAGCATGTTTGTTTGCATGTTCACCACAAATACGCGTGGTTAATGCAGACTTGATTCCGAGCAAAAAGGTTTCTATTTGGTCATAATATAGGTGTTTGGGTCAGATCGCGTTATTTATAAATGTGTCGTAACCCTCCACCACCCGACACGGCCAAACAGTAAAAAATGTGTCACGTTTTTCAAAGGACAAAATAATTCACGTCTTTAGCCCACCGGTGTGCTGAAGAGAGAATCAACAGCATTTTTAATTTTAAAATGCTGTTGATTCTCTCTAAATTTTAAAATGCTGTTTATTCTCTCTTCAGCACACCGGTGGGCTAAAGAAGTGAATTATTTTGTCCTTTGAAAAACGTGACACATTTTTTACTGTTTGGCCGTGTCGGGTGGTGGAGGGTTACGACACATTTATAAATAACGCGATCTGACCCAAAAACCTATATTATGAATAATATTGGTCGCGAAAGCCTACGTGTTAAATTTTCTATTTGGTGTTTGAACATCTTAAAACAACTCCTGTTTTATTGCTATAAAGGGTAACACCTATTCTTGTTACAAAACTTTGTTGAGAGTATTGGTGTAACGATGATGAGTCAAAAAAGCACATCCACTAATTGTTTTCACCAGCAGCGTAGCTCCTGTATGATACCCGGAGTACTTCTCATCATTCGTAGCCTACCCAAGGCACTGAACGTGAATTTCCACAAGTCCCTCTCTGTAAAATAAATAATTGGATGAATGATCTGCTCAACTGGTTTTTGATTACCACTGAACTGGCAATGTAAAACCCACGAGATAATTGACCTGATGGTGAATTTCCAACCATTCTTGTTCCAGACCATACATTCTATTTGCAGACCAATGTACATATTATTATCAACTGAAGATGATGACGGCTGTTAGCTTGTACAGTCTGTTCACCTATGACGCCGCGTGTTTTCACAACTCGAATTTTATACAACGCAATAAATGTATTCGAGATTTTTTTTGTTTATAGAACGCGGATGCGAATTGGATAAAACGCAATTTCAGTGAACGGAACTACGTTGCGCGAGTAGGAATAAGCGGATGTACGGCTGTCTCGGCGTAGCATCACACGAGGCGGGATACTGCTGGATGCTTCTAGATGCAGCCTGCATACGCATCTCGCGTGTTATCGCGGATGGTGCTTTACCCTATATTAGATATTATTTATCATAACGCAATTTTGCCGTAATGCGGTGTTCTTCGGGAATGCAACTTCTGCGTTAGAGTAGAACAGGCTGCATACAAAGCCTGATGAGATGCATCATTTTTCTACTGTTATGACGGCCCCCAAAACTTTAACCCTGATGGAAGTACGCATTTCCAACTCGCCACAGTTGTTTAATGATAATTACTCGAACGTGGCGAACTGCTCCTCTCGATTGGCAGTCCTGAGGCAGGAGCCATGAGTTCAAGTTCCCCACGTGGAGTCAAATGTATCCTCCTCCGATTAGTACGGTTGACTATGTGCGGTGTGAAAGAAGTTAAATATGTATACATTCACAGCACAGGTCCTGCTATGCTGCTACAGGGACAGCTCGTTGGATTCACCCGGAATGCGCGATTGAATCGCACACTATCTGGCACTTGAACTTCCAACTGCTTGGCAATTACTCTTTGGTTCTTTCGGTGAAGTCACGTAGAAAGAAAAATAAATTAAATAATAGCATACGACGTTTCGATTGCACACACAAGCAATCATCATCAGGTACGAATGAATGAGAAAACAAACGTAGTATACTTAGAAATATAATGCAATACAACACAGAGAGTTGGCTAACACAAAAGTCAACACCCTACTTAGTTGAATACGTTCTTCCAAAGATTGCTAAATTTGAGAGAGAGACAAAACACAGACACGGGGACACATAGACAGACACACAAGCAGAGAGAGATAACACAGAGACACATCGAGAGAGACACACACATAGGCACACAGAGAAACAACGCCTCTATGTCGAGGCTTTAAATATAGAGAGAGGGGGGCAGAGAGAGAGAGGGGGGGGGGTAGAGAAATTAGCATGTTAATGAGAGACTTGGAGCCTTTGTAACTGCAGAAAATACTAGAGCGACAACACACGGACACACACAGAGAGAGAAAACACACTTAATCAAACAAACTTAGTACAATTTGGAAATGTAATGCAATGCAACACATAGAGTCAGTCAACACACAATTAACGCATAGCCTGGTTGATTACGTTCTTCCAGAGATTGCTAAATTAGAAGTTAAGTGTGAAATTTTGAGACAGAGACAAGCCACAGACACGGAGACACAAAGACAGACACACAAGCAGATAGAGACAACACAGAGACACACACAGAGAGAGAAAACAAACTTAAATCATCCCCGTAGAGGTGATTCAAACTTGATTGCGAGCTTTCGTGACTGCAGGAATTACTCTTTGGTTCTTTCGGTAAAGTCACGTAGAAAGAAAAAATAATTAAATATGCTATTAGTATAATTAGTATAATTTATTTATAGAACCAAAGGGTAATTCCTGCGGTCACGAAAGCTCCAAATCAAGTTTGCTTGGCAATTGTGAGTCATTTTATGTAGCTACAGCACCGCTCGCCCAGGGCAGTATTATTCACCTATTTTCACTGAAAAATGTATGAACAATCTCGGAATGAAATATAAACCATCCAGCCCCTTCATCAACCTGCACTGACCAGCATGGGGAAGTATGGCTGAGCAAACAACATGAACGACACGCTTGCTGTATACACCATACCACTAGTTCTGTAACAGGGTAAAACTATTATACGCCACTAAACGAATGTTAAACGAGGGGGCACTTTTAGCTTTTTAAGATAATGGCACGACCCAGGCGACTGTGTGTGTGCCTGATCCTTGCAAAGTGTAATTAGGCAAATTTCCCACCAGATGGTGCAGCCTTTCACACTTGGTGTACACTAGAATATAAAACAATTGTAATGTATTGCCGCCCTGTGTGACTCCACTGCTTGGGATGAAAGCCTCCCTACGCTGTGTTAATCACGGTTTTTTTTTAACCAACCCACAATGTTCAGTGTGGGTTGTTAAGACATTACTCACCCTTGATATTAGCCAAGGCCGGGATTGGATTTAAAAATAAGCAATTTTTTTTTTATTTTAGCAGGTAAGGCCCACTGAGCTATGTAGCTCTTTTTCAGAAGCGACCTGGCCACAAACGATAGCTCAACGAAGTGGCTTACCACGTGGAAATGTATTGTATCCGAATACTCTAAAACGAATGTTTCTAAATGTGGAGGGAAAAACCGGAGGACCCGGAGAAAAATCTACATGACCACGGGGAGAGAGAACGTGCAAACTCCAAATATACAGCAGGTGTCAGGGTCGGGATGGAACCCACGACCTCCTGTATTCCAGGCGAGGGAGTTAACATCTCGCCACTATGGCAGCCCATATGCTTTAACGACTGTGCCACTGCTCCACTGCTCCACCCCCAGAGTATATTACACTACAGTATTTAAAAATATCACCGCATAAAACACTTCAGTTTGTAAAATAGGATTTAATCTATCGGAAATTCATGTGAAAGAAATATACAGTAATGCACCAAAAGGAAAGTGTTATTTTGTTGTTGTTACCTAATTTTAATGCTGCAGCCAAACTTTGCCTGGGATCTTTATCATTCACCGCCCATGTTTTTGCGGGATTTTTCCAAGCTCTGATCCCACGTTCAGCTGGCACATCTGGTACGAACACTTCTAATGCAAAACACACACACACAAACAGCAATGTATATAACTCAGCCGGGCTGGAAACAAACACCAAGCACCATCTCTTATAATGCGCACATATGGTTAAGCTGTACCAAGCATTTGGTTTGGATGTAAAATAATTTGTGTACAGACTGGCAGCACCCACCCCAATTAGTCTTACACCGCCCATTTCCATGAACCACGAAATCAGTCGAAGTGCAGTCATGTCACCCCCTGCCCCAAACGACACGCAAAATAAGCGCGTATCATAGATCAAAGCAGGCTGATTGGGGTTTAAGGCACCACGGTGGAGAGATGTTAACTACCTCGCCTGGTATACAGGAGGTTGTGGGGTTGACCCCGACAATAACGCCTGCTGTATATTTGGAGTTTGCGTGCCTCTCTCCCCGTCGTCGCGTGGATATTTCTCTGGGTCCTCTGGTTTTTCCCTCCACATTTAGAATCAACATCATGAGTTGAAGAGTATCTGGCTGCTATACATTTCCACATGATAAGGCCACTTTGTTGAGCTGTCATCTGTGGTCAGTCGCTTCTGAAAAAGAGCTAAATAGCTCAGTGGGCCTTCCATGGTACAATATTTGTTTGTTATAGTTTTTAGATGATGCTTTGCAAAGTGTAATTTAGTAATTCTCCAGAAGGTGATGCAGCCTAACAACGTGTGCTGTGCATTATATAGCTATACAATGCACAACACGTAAAGTTTCCACGGCTAATATCGTGATAAAAAATTGAATGTTTTGAATTAGCCCACAAAGTGCCGACAACAACACTCTTCTTCGCGTTTGACGTCTGACCTTCTGGATTTTGTCCTGATGATGTCTGACGTAGTTTCAAATGAAACTGCTACGTTTGTTCGTGAGAATTGTTACATTTGTAGCGACATCGTGAATGTCACTGTGTAATGCCGGCTCTAGCGAGGCACGGCGTGCGATGCATTATCATCGCAGACACCCCGTAGGTGGGTGTAGTACCAGCCCTAGAGGGGGCTCGGTGAGCGCTGGGATAGCGCTCAGTGGCACCACGCGTGGCGTGCAGTGCTGACTCCTACAGCAGGGAGTGTGGGAGTGTCAGCCATATGATGAGGTTACCCTAGGCCATGGCACTCTGGTTGACCCCGGAAGGCACGTGACAAGTAAGATCTACACAGGGGCCCCCGGCGGGGGCTAAGGGGTGGTCACGTGTCAGGGTGAGATCCTACGGGAAGGGTCGAGAAACGATAAGAGGTTTCTCGAAGGTGGTCATGGCCAAGGGCGGGGCCGGCCACGACCCGGGAGCATATAAACCGGGTCCCCACAAGAACCGGAGTTCTAGCATTGCTGTTGTCATCTGAAGATCTACGATCTACGTTCTACGTCCAAAAAAAAGTCACCAATACGTGGACGAGTACCCAAGGTCGGGTCCTGTCCAATGTAGCTACTCCCAGTAACTAGCGTAGTTGGCCTGGTGGTCCACCACCACAGGTTATCCGGTCAAAGGGGCAGTGACCCCTTTGTGTTAATGTGTTGGTGTTAATAAATATGTGTTGCCTCCAAGAAGTACGTCTGCGACTCGGTTGAATCTATTACACATTTAAATGCTTGCGCACGTGGAAATTTAATTGCTTTGGTTGTGTCTGGAGGTGGAGGGTGCTGACGACACAAATATGGCGAGGTCGTTTAGGTGGCCGAAACACAGCAAAGAAAATTAACTGATTCAAATATAATGCCAAAAAATGAAATATATATTTTTACCAGACTTCACAGCTTCTTCCAGACCACCGATGGGTAATTGCGCAGTCACTCCTGGCGATGCTGATGAGGCATTTACCCATGCCGTTCCCGTCATTTGAGGATTCTTGATTATCTTTACGTACACTGTGAATACAGACACAATGGCACAGGAATGCAGTTGGGCAGAACAAAACACAGCAAGCACCAGCTCGTAGAATTCACGAATATGGTTAACCATCAAACACCAAGTTGGCCGGGAATTACCCATCGGCATGGATATTACTTTTGCACCCCACTCCTATGAATCGCAGAACTCGAGTAATTATTAAAATTAGTCGCCATCCAAAAACCCTATTTGCATGTCTTTATTGGCTACCAATTAAACTAAACTATTAAATATTGTTTAATTTTACCAGGTAAGGCCCATTGAGCTATATAGCTATTTTTCAGAAGCGACCTGGTCACAAATAATTACTCAATGGAGTGGCTTATCATCATGTGGAAATGTATTGCAGCCAAATACTCTGAACGCATGTTTTCTAAATGTGGAGGGAAAAACCGGAGGACCCGGAGAAAACTTCACGTGACCACGGGGAGAACATGTAAACTCCAAATATACAGCTGGTGTTAGGGTCTGAATAGAACTTCCGACCTCCTCCATACCAAGCAGGGTAGTTAACATCTCGCCACCGTGACGCACTATTTGGTCAGGAGCCAACATTTCTTGCGTGGGTTTCCTTTTGGGGCTGGCTGAGCGGAAATAGATATATCGGGGAAAGACCTGCCCATCTCGCGAAAAATCTTACAAATGCAGCTTTTTTTTTAAACTTCCAAATCGAGTTGGCATATGCCAAAGGACCACTGTTAACTTCCCACTAAGTGGTGCTCCTTTTATCCACCGCAGAGGAACGAAGGGCTGAGTTCTGGACATCATTATAACTTGCAACCTTTCGCTTGTAAGCTGAGTGCTCTAGCTTCAGTTTCAACTAGCTGGATATTATACTGGTAGGAACCTCCTGGTTACACCAGCCCACAGGGGATTATTGTGTCCGTCCGTCGTGCAGAGAGGGGCTGGGTGGGGAGGGAGGGGCTGGGTGGGGAGGGGAGGGTGGGGAGGGGCTGGGTGGGGCTGGGTGGGGAGGGCTGGGTGGGGAGGGTTTGGAGGGGCTGGGTGGGGAGGGTGGGGAGGGTGGGGAGGGGCTGGGTGGGAGGGGTGGGGCTGGGTGGGGAGGGGCTGCTCACCCCGTGGTGCCCTTATAAAACTCAACGTTTAACCTATTCACGCCGACTTGTGCCCGCCCTCACAGTCGGGCATATTTGCGGAATACACCACGCCGTCGTTGACCCTGGCCATTGACCGAGCAACCCAACGTTCCTTCCAGCTCCCTCCGCAGGAATGTGTTTTTTCTTACTGCTGGATTCAAACCACAGGTCTGTGCACTCGTAACCCAACGTCTGCCCAGGTAAGATCACGGGCCTTTGCGCAACACACAGATAATGTGACAGTATAACAATGCTTATAATCATGCGCGCAGATTTTTCAGAAAGTGCAGAGGTGGTACCATTTTCTTCGTGTCCAGAATCGGTTGGATCATCACGGGCATTGTGGATCAGGACCGGAGGGCTTGGGGCGACAGTGTTCGGGGGTCTCAGGGTGCCCATGTCTGTCTCAAATAACAACACGAACGGTCAACATTAACACGATCAGTACTTTGTTTTTTTAATAGCTTTCTTTATTTTAACAAAGTCACTTTGCATTATGCCTGTCAATTTTTTTTATATTTCTGTTGGTTAAGGTTTGCCGCAATATTGCTTCCAGATTCTTACAGCGTGGCCATTCTCATTGTAAGGCAACATCTCAGTGGCGTGATGTTAACTACCACGCCTGGTATGCAGAAGGTCATAGGTTCAAACCCAACCCTGACGCCTGCTGTATATTTGGAGTATCATGTTCTCCCCGCGGTTGCGTGGATTTATCTCCGGGTCCTCTGGTTATTCCGTCCACATTTAGAAAACATGTATTTTGAGTATTTGACTGATATAAATGTTCACGTGATAATTCCACTTCGTTGAGCAATCATTTGCGGCCAGGTCGCTTCTGACAAAGAGCTATATACAGTGAGGAAAACAAGTATTTGATCCCCTGCTGATTTTTTACGTTTGCCCACTGACAAATAAATGATCAGTCTATAATTTTAATGGTAGGTTTATTTGAACAATGAGAGACAGAATAACAACAAAAAATCCAGAAAAACGCATGTCAAAAATGTTATAAATTGATTTTAATGAGGGAAATAAGTATTTGACCCCTCTGCAAAACATGACTTAGTACTTGGTGGCAAAACCCTTGTTGGCAATCACAGAGGTCAGACGTTTCTTATAGTTGGCCACCAGGTTTGCACACATCTCAGGAGGGATTTTGTCCCACTCCTCTTTGCAGATCTTCTCCAAGTCATTAAGGTTTCGAGGCTGATGTTTGGCAACTTGAACCTTCAGTTCCCTCCACAGATTTTCAATGGGATTAAGGTCTGGAGACTGGCTAGGCCATTCCAGGACCTTAATGTGCTTCTTCTTGAGCCACTCCTTTGTTGACTTGGCCGTGTGTTTTGGGTCATTGTCATGCTGGAATACCCATCCACGACCCATTTTCAATGCCCTGGCTGAGAGAAGGAGGTTCTCACCCAAGATTTGACGGTACATGGCCCCGTTCATTGTCCCTTTGATGCGGTGAAGTTGTCCTGTCCCCTTAGCAGAAAAAACACCCCCAAAGAATAATGTTTCCACCTCCATGTTTGACGGTGGGGATGGTGTTCTTGGGGTCATAGGCAGCATTCCTCCTCCTCCAAACACGGCGAGGTGAGTTGATGCCAAAGAGCTCCATTTTGGTCTCATCTGACCACAACGGGCATGTATATGTGCTTTCTTGAGCAGGGGGACCTTGCGGACGCTGCAGGATTTCAGTCCTTCATGGCGTAGTGTGTTACCAACTGTTTTCTTGGTGACTATGGTCCCAGCTGCCTTGAGATCATTGACAAGATCCTCCCGTGTAGTTCTGGGCTGATTCCTCACCGTTCTCATGACCATTGCAACTCCACGAGGTGAGATCTTGCATGGAGCCCCAGGCCGAGGGAGATTGACAGTTCTTTTGTGTTTCTTCCATTTGCAAATAATCACACCAACTGTTGTCACCTTCTCACCAAGCTGCTTGGAGATGGTCTTGTAGCCCATTTCAGCCTTGTGTAGGTCTACAATCTTGGCCCTGACATCCTTGGAGAGCTCTTTGGTCTTGGCCATGGTGGAGAGTTTGGAATCTGATTGATTGATTGCTTCTGTGAACAGGTGTTTTTTATACAGGTAACAAGCTGAGATTAGGAGCACTCCCTTTAAGAGTGTGCTCCTAAGCTCAGCTCGTTACCTGTATAAAAGACACCTGGGAGCCAGAAATCTTTCTGATTTTTTTGACATGTGTTTTTCTGGATTTTGTTGTTATTCTGTCTCTCACTGTTCAAATAAATCTACCATTAAAATTATAGACTGATCATTTCTTTGTCAGTGGGCAAACGTACAAAATCAGCAGGGGATCAAATACTTTTTTCCCTCACTGTAGCTCAATGGCCCTTACCAGGGAAAATAAAAATAATTTAGGTTTAGTTAAAAGTGGTCTCATTCTATTGACTCCGAGCGTTGGGTGGCATTATGTCTGTGAACCAACTCAGTTTGTGATCTCTCCAGCGAGAGATAATGTGCATTGGTCACCTGGTTGAGTCCATTCTTTGATCACCTCCTCATAATCAGAGCTGGAAAGTAAAATATTTCAGATCGTCACTTTTTGTTGCGATTGATACAAGCCGTCTATCCACAACTATTACAGTATTAGCACTGCCCACGACCATTTGAGCATGGAGACACTTTGAACTTAGAATAGAAGAGTACTCAACACATTCATCAATAACACGACGTGGCCTTAAAAGAAGATATATCTAACTCTCCTGTTTCCCGTCCAAGGACGGGTGTATTGCAGTAAATCTGAAACTTGCAAGCGAAAAGCAGACCGCCACGTGATATTCATTGCATCAGTGCGTGTGCAATTTGTAAGGGCGCGGTGACACAGACCTATTTCATTTAAAGGTTATAATCCCTTGTTCATCATGACGTCATTTCTACTTTGATGCCTCAAAATCGTGGCGGAGATCGCGTGACGTGAGGGTTCTGCCTTTGTGGTGAGGGTTGTTAAGTTGACGCCGAGGGGTGGGGAGGAGGCGCCTCGGTCCCCCATGTTGAGTGACGTCAGCCGCTAATTTTATGAATGGGGGGGGTGTCCATTTGGAGGACGTCACCTGTTTATGATCATTAATGAGGGGGCGGGGGTCCATGTGGAGTGACGTCACCTGCTCATGATTATTAATGAGGGGGGCTGGTCGACGTGGAGTAACGTCACAAGCGATACGCACAGGCATTGTGAGATAAAAATATTCTTTTTAATTATTTTATATATTTTTTATAATTTAAATTTCTATCTACGTGACTTTACCGAAATAACCACAGAATATGAATTCCTGCAGTCACGAAAGTTTTAAGTCAAAATTCTTGGTTCATTATAGTAGGTAATAATAATTCGAGGGGGTGTCCATTTGGAGGACGTCACCTGCTCATGAATATGAATGGTCTATGTGGAGTGACGTCACGAGCGTTACGGACATTCCTGGGTGATTATAGTAGATATAGGCAACGTTTCAAGGCAATGGCCCTTCATAGCACATGGTGCCATGGTGGCGAGATGTTAACTACCTCCCCTGGTATACAGGAATTAGTGGGTTTGATCCCGACTCTGACGCCTTTATATTTAGAGTTTGCGTGTATTTATCCCCGTTGACACGTGGATTTTTCTCTGAGTCCTCCCGCTTTCCCCTCCACATTTAGATACATGATTTTAAAGTATTTGGCTGCTATAAATTTCCACGTGATAAGCCACTTCGTTGAGTTATCATTTGTGGCCAGGTCGCTTCTGAAGAATAGCTATAAACAGTGGCTCAGTGGGCCTTACCTGGTTAAATGGAAATAGTTTAACCATTACTCGATTTTTATTTTACCAGATGAGGCGCACTGAGTCATATAGCTCTAATTCAGAAGTAACCTGGCCACAAATGATAGATCAAAGAAGTGGCTTATCGTGTGGACATTTATAGCAGCCAAATACTCTAAACGCACTTTTCTAAATGTTAAGGAAAAAATCCACGTGACCACAGGGAGAGAGACATGCAAACTCCAAATGTGCAGGTGTCAGGGTCGGGATTGAACCCACGACCTCCTGCATACTAGGCAAGGTAGTTGCTTGTACAGAATAGTCACATGGTTAGCGGGTTTGCCAATGAGCCAGTTTTCACAACGTCCAAAAATACCCAAATATATTACTATCAAACATTACAAAAGTGGAATTATTAACAATTGCCCAATGCGTGTAGCTATTGACTCAAATCGCAAATGTTAAAACCCAATAATTCCGACGACCAAAACATCATTGTCTAATCATTTTCGTAGTCTTCGATGTTACAATTGCAGAAGAGATCATTTCATAGCAATGGTCCGTCACTTTATTTTAAGCAATGGAATTGGTTCATGATATGTGAAGTAATAAACACGAAACCAAGGTTGTGTGTAAGGATGCTCACCTCGGGAGCGGACTGCTATGTGGTCTGCTCCCACGTGGCTCTGAAATACCAAAAACATTTTCACCTTATGTAGATGTATATAGCAGCACATTCTTCCAAGGCACTTAACAACAATTCCAAAATTGTACATAAGATGATAGTGGTTGAAATGAAAAGTAGGGTTATTATTAAAAGTAGGTGGTGTAGTTATGGTGACAGAAGAACGGGTGGGAGAGGTTAAGGAGGACGGGTTGTGGTAGTGATAGGGGTTTGTGATAGGGGTTAGTGATAGGGGTTGGGGTAGTGATAGTGGTTTGTGATAGGGGTTGGGGTAGTGATAGGAGTTAGTGATAGGGGTTGGGGTAGTGATAGTGGTTATTGATAGGGGTTGGGGTAGTGATAGGGGTTTGTGATAGGGGTTGGGGCAGTGATAGGGGTTAGTGATAGGGGTTGGGGTAATGATAGTGGTTAGTGATAGGGGTTGGGGTAGTGATAGTGGTTTGTGATAGGGGTTGGGGTAATGATAGTGGTTAGTGATAGGGGTTGGGGTAGTGATAGTGGTTTGTGATAGGGGTTGGGGTAGTGATAGTGGTTAGTGATAGGGGTTGGCGTAGTGATAGTGGTTTGTGATAGGGGTTGGGGTAGTGATAGTGGTTTGTGATAGGGGTTGGGGTAGTGATAGGGTTGGTGAATGAAGGTGTTAGTGATAGGGGTTGGGGGGTTGGGGTAATGATAGTGGTTAGTGATAGGGGTTGGGGTAGTGATAGTGGTTTGTGATAGGGGTTGGGGTAGTGATAGTGGTTTGTGATAGGGGTTGGGTCAGTGATAGGGGTTAGTGATAGGGGTTGGGGTAGTGATAGGGGTTTCTGATAGGAGTTGGGGTAGTGATAGGGGTTAGTGATAGGAGTTGGCGTAGTGATAGTGGTTTGTGATAGGAGTTGGGGTAGTGATAGTGGTTTGTGATAGGGGTTGGCATAGTGATAGTGGTTTGTGATAGGAGTTGGGGTAGTGATAGGAGTTGGCGTAGTGATAGTGGTTAGTGATAGGGGTTGGGGTAGTGATAGTGGTTTGTGATAGGGGTTGGGGTAGTGATAGTGGTTTGTGATAGGGGTTGGGGTAGTGATAGTGGTTAGTGATAGGGGTTGGGGTAGTGATAGGGATTAGTAACAGGGGTTGGGGTAGTGATAGTGGTTAGTGATAGGGGTTGGGGTAGTGATAGTGGTTAGTGATAGGGGTTGGGGTAGTGATAGTGGTTAGTGATAGGGGTTGGGGTAGTGATAGGGGTTTGTGATAGGGGTTGGGGTAGTGATAGGGGTTTGTGATAGGGGTTGGGGTAGTGATAGGGGTTTGTGATAGGGGTTGGGGTAGTGATAGTGGTTTGTAATCAGGGGTTGGGGTAGTGATAGTGGTTTGTGATAGGGGTTGGGGTAGTGATAGTGGTTTGTGATAGGAGTTGGGGTAGTGATAGTGGTTTGTGACAGGGGTTGGGGCAGTGATAGGGGTTAGTGATAGGGGTTGGGGTAGTGATAGGGGTTAGTGATAGGGGTTGGGGCAGTGATAGGGGTTAGTGATAGGGGTTGGGGTAGTGATAGGGGTTAGTGATAGGGGTTGGGGCAGTGATAGGGGTTAGTGATAGGGGTTGGGGTAGTGATAGGGGTTAGTGATAGGGGTTGGGGTAGTGATAGGGGTTAGTGATAGGGGTTGGGGTAGTGATAGTGGTTTGTGATAGGGGTTGGGGCAGTGATAGGGGTTAGTGATAGGGGTTGGGGTAGTGATAGGGGTTAGTGATAGGGGTTGGGGTAGTGATAGGGGTTAGTGATAGGGGTTGGGGTAGTGATAGTGGTTTGTGATAGGGTTTGGGGCAGTGATAGGGGTTAGTGATAGGGGTTGGGGTAGTGATAGGGGTTAGTGATAGGGGTTGGGGTAGTGATAGGGGTTAGTGATAGGGGTTGGGGTAGTGATAGTGGTTTGTGATAGGGTTTGGGGCAGTGATAGGGGTTAGTGATAGGGGTTGGGGTAGTGATAGTGGTTTGTGATAGGGGTTGGGGTAGTGATAGGGGTTAGTAATAGGGGTAGTGATAGTGGTTAGTGATAGGGGTTGGGGTAATGATAGTGGTTTGTGATAGGGGTTGGGGAAGTGATAGTGATTTGTGATAGGGGTTGGGGTAGTGATAGTGGTTAGTGATAGGGGTTAGGGTAGTGGTTAGTGATAGGGGTTGGGGTAGTGATAGTGGTTAGTGATAGGGGTTGGGGTAGTGATAGTGGTTTGTAATAGGGGTTGGGGTAGTGATAGTGGTTAGTGATAGGGGTTGGGGTAGTGATAGTGGTTTGTGATAGGAGTTGGGGTAGTGATAGTGGTTTGTGATAGGGGTTGGGGTAGTGATAGTGGTTTGTGATAGGGGTTGGGGTAATGATAGTGGTTAGTCATAGGGGTTGGGGTAGTGGTTAGTGATAGGGGTTGGGGTAGTGATAGTGGCTAGTGATAGGGGTTGGGGTAGTGATAGTGGTTAGTGATAGGGGTTGGGGTAATGATAGTGGTTAGTGATAGGGGTTGGGGTAGTGATAGTGGTTTGTGATAGGGGTTGGGGTAGTGATAGGGGTTAGTGATAGGGGTTGGGGTAGTGATAGTGGTTAGTGATAGGGGTTGGGGCAGTGATAGGGGCTAGTGATAGGGGTTGGGGTTGTGATAGTGGTTTGTGATAGGGGTTGGGGAAGTGATAGTGGTTTATGATAGGGGTTGGGGTAATGATAGTGGTTTGTGATAGGGGTTGGGGTAATGATAGTGGTTTGTGATAGGGGTTGGGGTAGTGATAGTGGTTTGTGATAGGGGTTGGGGTAGTGATAGTGGTTTGTGATAGGGGTTGGGGTAATGATAGTGGTTTGTGATAGGGGTTGGGGTAATGATAGTGGTTTGTGATAGGGGTTGGGGTAGTGATAGTGGTTTGTGATTGGGGTTGGGGTAATGATAGTGGTTTGTGATAGGGGTTGGGGTAGTGATAGTGGTTTGTGATAGGGGTTGGGGTAATGATAGTGGTTTGTGATAGGGGTTGGGGTAGGCTTACTCGTAGGGAGTCAGAGACAGGGAGTAACAGTCTCAGGATGATGGCCCAGGAAGAAGAGATGGGTGTTGTTTTAAGGGAAGCAGGTTAGTGAAGAATATTGTTGTTTGTGCTGCAGGCGGAGTAGGTTCCAGTAGAGGGCAGCGAGAAGGGAGAATGAACGATGAAGCAAGCCTGGGCGCAGGACGAGGGAGGCACAGAGAGGCACAGCAGATATTGGGAGCGTAGAGTTCGGGATGGGACGTAGTCAATTTTGGGAGAAGCAAGATAAGGAACTGAAAAAAACCGACATTTAATTACGCACTAATGGGCATTGCATTTAAGGGCGGAACGGAAGCAGGTTTGTGAAGATGAAAACATTCTAATTGCACGTAATTTTGTAGGAATTACGAGTATGTTTACCATATTTTGATGGGTGGGTTTCCAGGCGGACCATGGGACCCTGGCCAGGAATTTCTGAGACAACAATACAAGTTAAAAGAAACAATTTGACGTCATTACAATTTTTTATTATTCAAGAAGCAGATTAGGGGCCGTCCATAAATGACGTCACGCGATTTTGGACGATTTTTGACCCCCCCCCCCCCTTCGTCATAAGGCGTCACAAAAAGTCAGACCCCCCCTCAAATATGACGTCACAAAGCTCTGCCCCCCCCCCCAAAACCATATTTCCATTTTGAAAATAAAACATGCTTCAAATTGCTTTAAACTATAGTCATTATAGTGCGTATTTAATGTGGCGCTGCACTCTGATGTTGTAGGAGTGTTGTTATAACAATTAATGTTGTTATAACAATTCTATATTTATTGAAAGTTGCGCATTTTGATTTGACATTTCTCAACCTTCCCCCCTCGTCACACATCGTCAAAAATGTCTGACCCCCCCCCCCCCCCTAGGTGCGTGACGTAATTTATGGACGGCCCCTTAAACACTTGTTATGACATCTTATGGGTCTGAATATGTGCAGTAATCACCTGGTAAAGGTCGAAAAGCCAATGGAAGTGTCCCACAGCCTATGCTCTGACTTCTTGACCTGCAAAGCAACATCATGGACAGTTACCATGACTGGGTATTCCCCAGGTATTGTTTTGCACTTACTATACCTGGGGGGAGCGGTGGTGCAGCGGTTAGCGCTACAAACCCGGTGGCCCGAGTTCGATTTCCCGCTTACGGCCAACACCAGTGATGATTATCCGAACCGGTCATGGGCCTCCCCTCGTTCGACTCAGCCTCAAGGTGCGGAGTGTGTAAACATCGCCACTGGGGAGACAAAGGCAGCCGGGGGCGATTGTTGGCCACCCAACCCCTCGTGTGTCGTGCCGGCCTCCATAGGTGCTCGCTAACAGCACCTTCCCTAACAGTCTGTCTTTGTATTGCACTTGAGTGAATCACCTGCCACCAAAGAGAGACTTGCTTACTAGTGAATAAATGGTGGAATCATCTCAGCCTCGTTTGTGTTCGTTCACAAAGTTCATCCACGGCACCACAGAGGTACAACATACTTCTCTTTCGGCTCCACTTTTGAATTCCCTCCCATCGTCTCTCTTCCCAAGGTTGCTATGACCTTGCTCAGTGAAGGAATGTCTCTCACTCTTTACCCTGTTGCACCTTTGGTGTTTTCGGCCTTTGGGTTTCTGCCCAGCAACCGTCATCAAAATGTAAAATGTATTGGCTTAGCAACTGCAAGTCTAATCCAACTGGACAGCAACAACAACCGACATTCGCCACTAAGTGGCGGTGACGTAACCACGGTGCTTGTGTCATGCTAGCAGCTAGATGCACTTTGAGGCCACTGGACAGGATATTATTGATACGTTTTTTGTTATTCGTTTAACAGTAACGAGGAAGAAGCAGAGCAACTGATTTGCGTGGACATGTTGTAGAAAGTGTCGTATTCACAAATAAGAGATTACATTCCACCCGTGTAGATTCTGGACTTGAGTCTTATGCAGACATCGCCAAGGAACATTTTTGGCCTGATGTTGGCCATAATTTCGCTATTTCTCAGTGGAACGATGACCGATTTCACAAGCACTCGGTCCGCCCCCCTCTCCTCCCCCTCATTTCACATTTTGCAATTCAAACCACGGCTGATTTCACTTCCAAATGAGCCCATTCCATCACCGGAACGTTTACACGTGACCCCGTGTGACCAAATATTCAAGAAGGTAGCAATTGTGTGCTTCTGACCTGTACTTCAGTGTTAAAATGTATCTGTTATCCACAGCAACTTAACAATGAGTTTTTTGCCTGCGGTAATTTCAGATTTTCTTTGTAAAATTACATTTCAAGAAGCAGTCACCTGGTTTTTAACAAGAGAATACAGCATTGTAGGTCTATTGCAGCTTTTACGGCCAACAGCGAATCCATTCCACTGTGTTATTGTAATATCGGAAATTTACCTTGGCAGAGTTGAACCTGATGCAGAATGTCCTGAAATGATATACAGCACAGTAATAATTTGACAAATTGCTTCCAAATATGCATTATTAAACAAATATAATACATATTCTTGGTTCTTTCGGTAAAGTCACGAAAGAACCAAGAAGAATACATTTAAAATGTTCTTGCTGTGGATTTCACACCTGATCATGATTGCTTGTGTTGCAGTCGAAACGTCGTGAGAATTTTTATTGTTTTATATTTATATTATTTTATTATTTCCCTTCTACGTGACTTTACCGAAAGAACCAATAATATGAATCCCTGCAGTCACGAACGCTTTAAATCGAAAGATAATACAATTTATTATACCATTATTTGTTCTAAAAAATTAATTAATAAATGCACAGCTGTTTGCAAATGCACTCTGGATGAAGGCCTCCCCACGTCGTGTTGATCATGGGGCTTGTTTTGGGGCCTTACTCTACTTTACGAAAGTGTAAAAGTTATCTTCTTGGTTCTTTCGGTAAAGTCACGTAAAATGGAAATAATAAAGTAATAAAAATTAAACATAATAAAAGAATGTTTATAATAAAAGAATGTTTTATTTTATTTTTTATTATTTTATTATTTCAATTTTACGTGACTTTACTGAAAGAACCAATAATATGAATCCCTGCAGTCACGAAAGCTTTAAATCGAAATGTAAAAGTTATGTTAAACACTTCCATTCATCGTTCCGCATAACACTACAATATGCCTTTTTTTTCTTCATCCAAACGGCCAAATCTGCTCCAGAGTTTTCTTGCTTTGAGTGAAGGCTGCTGGATAGCGTGCATTTAGAGAGCCACAGACTAAACGGTATTGTAACTAATTGGCTCACAAGTGAAGACATCACATTTATCCCTCGATTTAAGACCGAAACTTGAGGAGTTATCTACAACTCTGGCTGTCCGCCTGATGATGTTGGTTATAATTACGGGTGAAACGTCGTACTCCAATTATAAATGTTGTAGGTTTAATGTCCAACACACAAGCCGTGTGCAGAACTAGTAACGAACTGGCACGTATTGTTTACGTGAAAAACCTTACTACTTGGCTGTGTCAGGTGGTGGCGGGTTTAACTGACACATTTATATTTACACGATTTAACCAAAAAAAAATCTATTACGGATATTGTACTATTACACGGAGAGACCGATTGGAGTCTTTTACTCTGAGCAAAGGGGTTCGCTTAGCATACATTAGCTGAATAAGCCCTACAACTATAGGCCCCAATGTTTCCAATTTCGTGCGATTATCTGTGACGGACATGAGAAGTCAATGTCACATATTGCGCGTGGCACTCTTAAAACTATAATTTGCACTTTCCTGCAAACTTTACGCACTACACGACAGAGGAATGTCAGCTTAAGACAGGTTAAATATCACGTGCCTGTGACAGCTGACTCGGCAGGACACTTCACCACCTAGGAAATCATATGCACTCATTAATACGCGTAAGTCCAGTCACAACGGTAGTATTTAATATACTATATGAAAAAAGGAACTGCATTGTGCCATGTGAATGTGGGAATTCCCATGGCTATCGAAGGCAGCCCTGGAAGATGATATGGCAAGACCTCTTTTAGTGCCACTTACTACTATTTTTATTTTGCCCGGTAAAGCCCACTGAGCTATGCAGCCCTTTATCAGAAGCGACCTGGCCACACATTTTATCTCAAGAAAGTGGCTTATCACGTGGGCATTTTTAGCAGTTAAACTCGAAATGCATGTTTCAAAATGTATAGAAAAAAACTGGAGGATTTGGAGAAAAATCCATGCGACCATGGGGAGAGAGAACATGCAAACTCCAAATATAGAGGCGTCAGGGTCAAGATCGAACCCACGACCTCCTTCATACCACTGTGAAGCAAGACGGCGTGCAATTATGATTAATCCACCTGAAGTATTTATCCGGGGGGGGTGGGGGGCAGCCAGGGGCTTGAACCACAAACGTTCGCAAAAGCGGCAAATCTCGCTCCCGCTGGGCCATGCGACTTGCCCGTGGTGTAGCAAGCAGCAAGCGGGAATTTAGATTTGTGGTGGCGGACACCATGCAAAGCAACCGCACGCGTATTTACCATGAGCTGCTTCTGAAGATCAAATTGATAGTGCTGCAGATGCCTGCGCAGGAAAAAATAAAGATCGGCTGTTAATTGACACCGCAGAACGGTGGAACACCTTTTTAAATGATAAACGGACGATTGAATTAGTTGCATGCAGGAACAGCCATGGAGTGTCGGGGGAGGGGGGGGAGTTGAACCCTCAGTGGGGGCCGCTTGAGGGGGGTGGGTGCTTAGCCCCCCACTACCACCCCCCCCCCCCTTAAATTTTTGCAATAAAGCTTAAAAAAAATATTGACAGAAAAATTAGCACTGAAGCGATGGGTATCCCAGCCTTTCACCTCATTGGCATATATAATAATTTTTCAACGGTTGTTTAACTATTGGTTGTATCATGCCCCCTCTGAGTTTGTATGTGCACCCCCTCTAAAACAAGTCACACTACAGGGATGTGTACGAATATCTGATATAAGTCTTTTGTATAAAACTGTCCATTTCCAGCAATTGGCCTATAGATGACTGTGATTTTTGTTTAGGTATATTGCTGTTGTGAGCTTTATTTTTCCCTTACCCATTTGGCTGTTAATGTCAAAACATGGAGCAAAGCATTTCATATTAATTTTGGAGCCTCCTTCGTTGGGCCACACATGTGAAAAAGAGATACCACTGGTTTGTATTTATGTTGATCTTCTTTCACACCGTACGTAGCCAACCGTGCTAATCGGAGGTGCGTGGGAAGGACAACAAACTAAACACAAAAAGCAGTTTTAGAGAAATTCGTTTTCAATATATATAAGTGTATAAGTTCCAGTGGCTTCTTAATATTGGAAGGAAGAGCGTTTCAGACGGCTGCAGTGACCGTCTATGTTCGATGGTCAGCTAAAAGCCGCTGCTGCGAGGCTGACCGGAGTTCGCGTGATGGTTTATTCTCCTTGCCGAGACCAGCGAGGTGTTGTGGTTCATTTGTGGCGAGCGCTTTGTCTGGTGTAATGAGTTTTACCTGTGATTGCAAAGCATGACCAGGTGGTGGCATGGCAAGAGCGCTCGACTCACTTTCACAAGGGTGTAAAGTTCAAGGTGCGGTCAGAATCTTTATTTATACCGGAGGAATCCGATGAGCTGTGAAGCTCTTTTCCACAGATGTCCATTTGGCCGGGCAGTTGACTCGATGAGGTACCCTTTTTGAGTACCACTTTGAGAGTGAGAGAGAGTCATCGGTGGAAATTGCACATTCCTATGTTGGGGGCGAATATCCAAAGGACAACCGCTATTGGCTTCCCCACAAAGTGGTACCCATTTTATCGACACAGGAGGGATGATGGATTGAGTCAACGCCCAACCAGCATTTGAACTCTTCTACCTTCTGATTGTGAGCCACTACCCTCCACTGCTGAACCATGGCTCTGAATCGGTGGTGGTTCGTTCACTAATCCGATGGTCCCATTGGACCTGTGAGTTGCCGTGTTTTAATGGTAAAATGTGAGTTTGATTGTTTTACTGGAATTCAGTTGGCTTGCTGATGTCCGCGTTTGTACCACCCTTTGGGCGTTTTCTTTCTGTAAAAAACAATATCGACAGTTTTAGCGCGAGCGCGATGCAATTGTTTTCCATCCCTTTTAGTTTCACTCTCAATGACGTACAACAACACAATGGTACGTCATCAGCGCAACTCGTATGGGTCAAGTAAAATGCAAACGTACACTTGGCGCTGTCCAAAATATTTCACAGCACAAGTTCTGAATACGTGTTGCGTTAGCCTTACACAGTACGGTAAAAGCCAAATACTCATTGTAAACGCTGTTGTAATGTTGCTTTCAGTTGATACTTATATTACTTAACAACAGTGTTACTGATAATTGGTTCTTTACCCTTCTATCTGGCAACAAACTGACACCTTTGTTGCCAGATAGAAGGGTAAAGAACCAATTATCATATTTTTACTGGCAAATGAGGTTCCCATAACAGTGTTACTTTGTTAAAAAAGTGGGAATTTAAATGAACATCCGCCAAGTTTGATTTCTGTTTAAAACCGTTACATGGTCACTGGATTATGAACCGCGTGACAATTCCCCCCAAACCAAATCCGTTAGATTTTTCATGAAATCAGAAACCGCGTTGCAGTGACTCACAATCGATTTTGCAAAGCGAGTCTCTCATGCGTAACACCTGTACTGTGGTGCAGTACCTTGCTTCTTCATGACGGTATACTTGGGAAGAGCGTCCACGAACATCTTGAATTCGTTTTTGTGTTCGAAATACAAGGCCACATTCTCACCCTGAAAAAATAAAATCAGTGAAATCGTGCAAGTAAAACAGGACACACAAAGGTTGAATTCAGAACAACGAGAATAAGTTCCTGTATGTCCCGTTGTTAAATAACTTCCGGACGAAAGGCCTGCCATGTCATGTGGGTCATGGGGGAAGTTATTTGTTTGTTAACAATACTTCCCCATGCTGTTCAGTTATCACCTGCTACTCATGTTTACCATCGCTGGGAAGCAAATTCCGGCTTCTGGCTTCATTACACTGTGAATCAAAACTAAACTTCGTTTTTATTTTGCCAAGTAAGGTCCACTGAGCTATATAGCTCATTTTCACAAGCGATTTGGCCAAAAATGATAGCTTAACGAAGTGCCATATCATCACGTGGAAATGTATAGCAACAGCCAAATACTCTAAACGCGTCATGTTGATTCTAAATGTGGAGGGAAAAACCGGAGGACCCGGAGAAAAATCCACGCGACCATGGGGAGAGAGACACACAAACTCCGAATATACAGGCGTTATGGTCGGGATCAAACCCACAACCTCCTTCATTCCAGTCGAGGTAGTTAACATCTCGCCACTGTGGCGTCTACTGCTCCATCCATTTGTACCCATTACATAACTAAAATAACATAGGTTGCTTGTCTATACGATTCTTTAGACGGTATTGTGTTGATGCATGCAGCACCCTCATGAAACACTCATCTCTGTTGTGCCACGTTCCTGTGGCAGGGGCCAGTTTCACTGTTGCCTTGTTCTCCCACAAAGTGGTACTCATTTAATTGACTTTGAAGGGATGATGGATTGATTAATCCCCCAACGAGGCGAGGCACGCAATGAATGCAGATTACATTTTTATTTGAACGGGTAAGGCCCACTGCGCTATGTAGCTCTTTTTCAGAAGTGACCTGGCTATCACACATGATAGCTCAACGAAGTGGGAAAAGCCGAAGGACTCGGAGAAAAATCCATGCGACCACGGGGAGAGAGACACGAAACTAAATAATATACAGGCTGCAGTGTCGGGACCTCTCGTATACCAGGAGAGGTAGTTAACATCTCGCCACCGAGGTGCCCGGTTCATAAAAGAGATGTTGTCTCTTTTATGAACCGAACCGAGATGTTGTCTCTCTCGGCCGAGATCGGTGCATGGAACATAGTCATCAGTAACGGCATTCGCAATGTTTAGAGGACAAGCTTGCTGTGATGCACTTACTCCTTCTGACTTAAATTGCAGGAGTCGTTCGTCTTTTTGGTAAAAAATGTCCTTCGTCACTTGGCAGATGTAGCCCTTGGGCATGTTGAGCTATGGGGTGGAGGGAGAGATGTCACAAAGAATGAGAACGAGGAGACCACGCTTCAGTGCGAGAAAGTATCCATGTGCTCAGACATACATTCGGGAAATACTCGTCTGGTGATAGACTTGAACCAACTGTGGACATTCCACCGTGTCATCATGGGGGCCAGCCTCTCTATAGAACAACCACTGTTCCCACACAGCCGTACTTATTTTATATGACCCCAGTGGAATCAACGGCGTGAGTTGAACCACGACCAAGGTTTGAAATGGGAACTCTATGATATTTCCAAATTGCGAATTTGAGCACAATGGCGCCACGGCACCTGTTGTGAAAATGTATTCATCATCGTCATCGTTGCCATCAGCCATGATCGATCCACTGTTGGATAAACTTTTACCCCCACATCTGGGGGGGTTCCACTTTCTATAACTTTTTGATTTAGGCCTTCTTAAAGGCTCTTATAAGTTAGCTGACGGACATACGTTACGATGGGCTTTTATAATAGAAGTCGGATAATAAAACGGTATTCATCGTAGGAATGAAGAGCTTAAATCACCTTGTAGAGGGCGACGAATTGAAAGTTGCCTTTTTTCAAAAGGCAAATCCTCCCAGAATCCAGTGTGTTCCACTGTCCAGAACATTCATTCAAATATTTACCACATGCCGATTGTATTACCTGCAGAAACAAAACCCAGAAAAATCACCGTTACAATGTGAGGATGACAAGTGCACAGTCTACACTGACACAGATACGCATGCAGAGACACACAGAGATGGAGACAGCGAGACATGGAGATACGTAGACGCACACATAAATACATAACACAAAGGGCTAATATTTCGTATAGCCTTTAAGAGACCGCCGGGGATGGCACGTACTGCTAGCGAGCACGGAGACATAGCCTCGGAAATACACACTGGTGCAGATGTAATAGTGTTCCAGAAGACTTGGACGCCGGGGTTGGAGGCACACGTATTTATTCCGTGTCGGTACAGCACAACACTGGAGGGGGTATCGGCCCCCTCACCCGTTTAACTGGGGATACACTCTCTAGCTACGCCTAGCCTACCCCTGGGTCCTCCACTAACGGGCTAGGGGAGGCTAGCTAGCCCGACACTGGTAAGTCGGGCTCACGGTACCCGGAATCCCAGACCAGCTCTTACAAGAGCACCGGCTCTGGCTCTCGGGACCACGCCGCTGGCTCGATCCTGTTCGGCCCTGATAAGGGCGGCGATCCAGGGGAGTCCAGGGCTCTATCTACGACGATCTTCAGTCTTCACTGGTTAGCTTCAACATCTCTCCCTGAGCCCTCCGGCTCATCCCCTTTTATACCAAAACCCCCGCTGAGGGGTGGGGCCCCGGGGGATCCCAGCTCCGAGTCAGCCCCCCAGGCTGCCCGATGCGGACGTCGCTGGGAGCACCTTCCCGTGCACCGACATAGCCACGCCCACTGTGTTTCTTTCCCATCTGATCCCATTGTATAACAGCCCCTCCGTAACACCCCTACACAGACACTGAGAAACGGACGCACACAGAGACGAAAGGGAAGGTGGCACTCGCTAGGAAGTACGTTGATGCAGAAAGAGGAACACATGGATCAGAGAACTTACACAAGTTGGACTCATCATATTGACTGTTCGGAAAAGTAAGTGGGTTTGGGACAGGAAATGTCAATGGAAGATACGATGGATGAGATTAACATGAATTAGACTAACAATACGTTGGATGAGACTAAGATGCATGAGGCTAACCATGGATGAGATGAACAATGGATGAGACTAAGATGGATGAGACGAACAATGGATGACACTGACAATAGGATGGATGAGACTAACAATGGATGAGACGAACAATGGATGAGGCTAACAATACAATCACTTGCCTCGAACAGTCTGTTGAGGCTATTTGGAGGGGTACCTTTGTTTTTGTACGTGATCGTGCGTCCTGGTGACTTCATGCTGCCCTTTAACGGACGCAAGCTCGGCTCATCTCTACCCTAACGCCCTCCCGTGGCGTTAGTTTTACATTTCAGTGAGCCCAGCCCTTGGGTCAACGTGCTGTTAGCGAGCACCTATTATGGCTTGCTAACAGCAGCAAGCCATAATACTCACTTTGGACACCCAAATAATGATGATCTGAATTGACTCATCACTGAAAATCGAACTCGTAAGTGTGCTGAGTAAAAGTCAAGCGCGTTAACCACAGTGCCATCCAGTGCAGAATACAAGGAGAAACAGTATAGCCCAAGAATAGTACAAAAGTGAAGGGTTAGTTGGGTTAGATTGCATAAATATAAATGCGTTTTTAACCCACCACCACCCGATACAGCTAAAGAGTACGGGTTGTCATGTAAACAGAACATGCCAATTAATGACTACATCAGCACACCGGTGTGTTGGAGAGTAAACCCACAACATTTACAATTTGAGTACGACGTTTCGCTGGTGATTACAACAAGCCAGGCGATTTGCTGGCAGACCTTACTAATTGGCTGTGTCCGAGGTTGGTGGGTTAACAACACATTTATATTACACGATCTAACTCCAAACCCCCCTCTCCCCTTTATTATGGATAATATTGGTCGCGAAAGCCTACGTGTTACAATGAAGAAGAGCAAACTTTAATAATAGGTAACTTATTTTGGTTTACCCACGGGTTAATAAAATCCAGATTCGAAGCCGGGACTCAGGCGGCGTCAGCTCAGCACTCGGCGCTACGAGCCAGCAGGCCACCTCCGCCTGCAGATAGTCTACGAATGCAGTGTTGAATTACACTCACGACACCGCGTTTATGCCTTCTTCTTCTCTTTTACACCCGGGTCAATTACATTACAGTCGTTATAAAGTCACTTACTTTGCAGTCGTGTCCAAACAGAACTTGGATATCTGCAATTTCCACGTGATTGAGCGCCATATCTACTTCGAACTTGCTTGCACTGTGATGTTGCGACTACCCCGGCATACCCTGAGTACTGTTTATGATTTAAATATTTATTTTAACCAGTTTCCTCGAGACGAAAATAGAATAACGTTGGGTTTGGCGTGGAGGATGTTAACGACACATATTTGCATGCAGGTTCGGCCCCATAGTTCAAAATACCCGTGCTTATCTCTCCACAATGTGGGGGTTTTGCATACTCAACAGTATCAATTGATACTCTCATCTTCGATATTTTCAAACGGCACCAATTTATCTTCTTGGTTCTTTCGGTAAAGTCACGTAGAAGGGAAGTAATAAAATAATAAAAATAAAACATAATAAAACAATTCTCACGACGTTTCGGCCACAACGCAAGCAGCAATTTAGTATAGCACAGCTAAAGTCGAGCTCGGTTCAATAGCAGTGAAGCAGCGTCACTGACATTCTGGATTCCAGGACAGTCAATGAAGAGTCCATCGACTGTCTCTGTCCTCCAATGAGCGTGGGGCGGCAACTCGTCTGGAATGATGAAGCTGAACCAGCGGTGGGAATTCGGAGATAAACGTCCCGTCCATCATTGCCATTGTCAGACCAGCGAAGGCAGTCGAATGTCACAACGATCGTTGTTGACCTCCTTCGAAGCTGCCTTCGTTGTATCCACCACCTCAGAGGGATAATGGGCCGAGTTCATCCCAAAGTGGCGTTTGAACTCACAGGGTTGATTGTGAATTGAGTGGTCTAATCCCAGCACCACCATGTATAGCATAGCATAACTCACTGTTAAACATGATTATCACTGAGTTTGACTTCTTTTGTTAGATATTTATTACACTGAACATTGCCCTTTATTGTGTTTAAAACGCTGCTTTCTACTGCCGGTCTCCTTCCCAGAAGAGACCTCTAAATTAGTGGTTTCCCACTGGTTAAAAAAAAAATTGTATCCATTTGGGCAGCCAAACAGAGCTGTTGTGGCGAGTGTTTGACTCAACGATTGTAAGATAGCGATTGCTAATCCCTGGCTATTTCCGGCTCAGCCCATCGCCACCTTTTTGGAGCGGATTTATAAAATAAATGACACATTTTTGGTGAGTCGAGCGGTCGTTCTATGGAATGTGGAATTTTCACAGAGATGAGCACTGCTCCACTGGAAATTTTTTCTTGGACACATTTTAGGTTTTCAGCTGATTCTACACACATACACAATGCAAAATGTGCAATTTACCATCATAGTTAAAAGTCAGACATTTATTTTCAACCACGTCATCAATTATGTGGTGTGGCTATTGTTTGACCACTGGTCATACTGGTTTTGTGACATGCTTGCTGCCGCAAGAATGCTTTTCGTGGTTGTAGTTGTTGAACTCGTTCTTGCTAGAAATGCCAGAATTCGACATATGTATTTCTGGAAGCAGAAATTAGTTAAAATGTTAGATTTCCATGTCTTTCTGTGCTTGTCTAAACGTTCCTATCTATCTCTCCTTGTCTGCCTCCACGTCTTCTGTTTGCCAGTCTCTCTCTCTCCTTCCCTCCCTGTGATCCTCGCTGTGCCTCTGTTTCCCCTCTCCGTGTCTCTTGGTCTCTCTTCCTGGCCCTCTGTGTGTGCCTCTCTGTCCATATTGTTTTATCTGTAACTCTGGCCCCTTCTCCTGTCTCCCTTAGTTGTTTTTCATACCCTGCGCCTCCGCATCTCGCTGTCACGTATCTTTCTCTGCGATCCTCCCTGTCTCTCTCTCTCTCTCGCTTGATCGGTCGTTGCCTCTGCCACGAGCACAGCGTGTGGCAGATTGATGCAATTGGTGAACCTGGACTCTTGGGGGCCTCAGTCTACCACCACATGCTCTGCTCGTGTCAACCTCGCACTCGTATGTGTGTGTTCTTTTAAGATAGCTGTGCTGGGAAATCTGTGCGATGTCCTCCCAGGCAGGCCTGGACTGGCCATAGGGCAGCAGTCCATGGGGCAATTTCCGATGGGCCGGTCTGTGTGGGGCACGGGGGGGGGGCAATGCCCCGCCCAAACTGGACGCCTTAATTAATTTATTTTAAGTCGCTTACAATTAAAAGAACAATATTTTAATTAATTCATTATTCATTATATGCACCCGCGATTCCTCATGTGAGCGACAAATATAGAAGTCAAACTCCGGCTAAGATTAAATCTGTTAGATACAGTGAGTACTAAGTCAGTGTCAAAAATATCACGTCAAATGTTGACATAAGAGACAATAAATATTCTTTCTGAGTGCACAGCCACGACTGTAATGTTTATTGTGAACGAACCTTCGCTTAATCAGAAACATAAAGCGTAGCGTTTTTCAAAATACAACGGTTTGTTTTGCTCTCAAATGTAATAAGCCAGTTTAATTGGAGACGTTGAACATTCAGAACCAAAAGTAGAGGACAATAAATACAGCTGATCATCGATTAACCGGCTGCTTCCAGCATTATCCGGCGGTCCCGGGCCGATCCGGCGAGACCGGCAACGCTTGATTGTTTAAAATATATGGACCCGATTTGAAATCGCTATATCTCTGCAACCACGAACCGCACATGAATGAAACTCGTACCACGTGAAATGGCGGGCATAGAGTTTCAAATGATTACTGCTAGATGCCTCTCTCAGCGCACAAACAGCCCCTAGCCTCAGTCATTCGCAAGACACACTGCCTCAACGTTGGATAGGTCGCGCGGGACCCCAAGACTTGGCGCTACACTCTTGGCCCCCAAGATCCCCAGACATCACACCCTGCGACTTTTTCTTGTGGGGAGACGTCAAAGACCGTGTCAGTTTTTGTGCCACCATTAGCGGCTAATCTGGATGACCTCAAAAACAGAATCACGGCAGCGGTGACTTCAGTGTAAGAAGACACTTTGAGAGGCGTTTGGGACGAATTCAACGATCGTCTCGATTTTGTCCGTACAGCAGGTGGAGGGCACACAGAGCATTTATAAAATGGTAAGACTTGATAACTCATTAAACCGTTTGTAACTTTTTGTGTAATGTTGCCATCGTGAAATATACTGCTTTGAAATTGGGTCCATCATTTTCAACACCCTGTATATATACATTATACACTTCATACAACTTAAACAATTAAAATAATGCACGTATATAGATCACCCCATATACAGTAAATGCAATGTTTAATTTGTGTATATTGTAAGTTTACTTGTGCCAATGTCACAAGTAACAACACCTAAAAACAATGTCATACACGAATGTAAGCGAGACAGGTTTGTCACGTAAACAAAACGTGCCAATTATCTACTGCTTCAGCCCACCGGTGTGTTGGAGAGTAAATCCACAACATTTATAATTTGAGTAACGACGTTTATTATTCTGGCAAATCGCCCGATGATGCTGGATGTAATTATCAGCGAAACGTCGTAGTAGTGACTAACTGATGATGATAGTAACTAACTGGCACGTTTTCTTTACGTGAAGAACCTTTCTGGCTATGTCGGGTGGTGGAGGGTTACGACGCACAAAAACCTTTATTATTAATAATATTGGCCGTGAAAGCCTACGTGTTAAAGCCATGTAAGTCGTATGATCAGGCCTAATGGCCAGGATGGCGCGAACGGCAGGCTGCTTTGGAGCCGTTGTCGTTTTTTTAGATGCGTTAATCTGACATCCGAGTTAAAGGTGGCATTTCAAGAATCAAGTGCAAAGCGCCGGCAATGCTACGAGCCAGAGTGTGTGTGTGATGTGGCTGAAGTTAACATTGGGCAAATGTGCCGTAAGAGCCTGCAAGGAAGACGGTTCATCTCTGTGATGTAGGAGTTATTTTGCTTCGATGGAAAGTGCAGTTGGGCATCATTTAATGCAGAGAAAGTTAATCCCATAGTGGGTGCAAGTATTAACCCCCCAGAACATGCCATTTAGGTTGCGTTCTTTTTTCGAAAAATGCGTGCCAAGTTTGGAAAATGTAGGAAACGAAGTTCCAGTCTACCACCTCTCTGTGGTGATGTCCCGTTTGGTGGTGATTCAACCATGGGCATGTCACGAGGATTGTTTCCTCTGTTGCGTGACAGTGAGTTGTCTCTCGTCAAGATCATGGCAGGTAACTCCAGCTTATGTTCGTATATATCTTCCATGTCAATATATATTGGCTCCTCTTCTTCGAATTGTATATAGATAGTCCCTTTAACAGTGCGAAATCTTAAGGAGTTTGGCATTTCGGACTGTTCCTAGTATAATGTGTAATGCTAACAAATACAATCTATGTATGTTGGCTACATACCGTACGCAGCCAACCTGTGTTAATCAGAGGTGCGGGGGAAGGGTAACAAACTAAACACAAAAAGCAATTCTAAATAAAAACAATTTGGAAGGAAGAGCTTTCCAGACGGCCGCGAGAAGCGCATCTGCAAATGCGCAATTCTTCACGCATCTGAAAATGCGCAATTCTTCATGCTAGTCTGCAAACATAAATAACATTTTTTAATAACAGAGGTCAATAAAAATGTAAACACCCACAGATTATTATTTTTTATCTCCATCGACTTATGATAAAGATGAGCCGTAGTTTTACCCATAGTCATTAAATTATGATCTCATTCATGAAAGACTGCCATCAGCAAAAAAGGCCTTTGGCTGGTTCTGAAAATACCAAAAGGTAAGTGAGTTCAGACGTGTATACAATGCTGCAACAATACATCGAATATTGATTCTCTTTTGAAAGAAAGCTTCCCTTTCGCAAATCGGGGGATGCCTGTACAGCGAATGTGTGCACACATGGGCAACATACACGTGTTAACACACCTAGAGATGGAAATACACGCAGAGATACACACGGAGAGAAGTACACACACACACACACACGAAGACAGACATCCAATGATAAAGACAATCCAAGAAGAATGTTACTGAGCTGGTATAGTCTTAACCAGAGCCGTCCCTCGGGGTACGGCGAATCGGGGCGACCGCCCCGGGCCCCGCGCTTTGGGAGGCCCCTCGATTCGACGTCACGCGATGTCAGATGTGACACCTCTGGTGGGGTTTGCCCCGGGCCCGAGCACCCCGCCCCCCCCTATGGACGGCCCTGACTACGGCTACCATCAGTGGCGAGTGACATCTGAACTGGTTCGGCCGCTCCCACTTCACAAACTGGCATTGCCCAGTGATCCCACGTGTAGCCTCAACAGAAGTGCTGGGGCGAGTAGCACCTATGAAGACCGGCAGAGCACACGAGGGGGTGGGTGACCATCACCATGTCTCCATGGAGGCGATGTTAACACATCGCATCAGGTACTGTACTAATTTGAGGCTGAGTCGAGCTAGGGGAGGCCAAGGATCAGTTCAGATAATCGTCATCGGTGTTTGTGGCTGTGAGTGGGAATCGAGTCGAGACACGGAGATACACAGAGACATGGAGACACATACAGAGCACACGGAGATACACACAGACACGATAACACACACAGAGATACGGTGATACACACACAGACATGGAGACACGGAGATACATACATGGAGACACACAGAGACACGGAGATATACACAGAGACATTGAGATACATACAGACATACAGAGATACACAAAAGACACGGGGGCACACACAGAGATACGGCAACACACACAGACACGGAGACACAGAGACACACACACGGAGACAGATACCACAGTGCCGGATTCTACCAGTAACAAAAGTAGCTACATATGTAGCTACGGGCCCCGCATATTCAAGGGCCCCACGCTAAATGCTTTCAAGCTATCAATTCCGGTTCAGTGATTCTGCACTTGCTCTATTACTATAGTACTATACCGCCTTCAACTTTTATGAACGACTGGGTGTTTAAGGTTAGCGATTTGTCTTAGTATCTGGCTGTATAGCAAATGACAAAATACAATTACTTTACTATGCAAGTAAAACAATTGCCTTTTCATATTAATTTATTGTTTTTATTTAGGGTCCCTTTGTAACACGGAGACACTCGCAGACACATGAAGACCCAGAAACACGGCGGAGACCAAAGTAGAAACACGATCCAGGAAGAATGTTACTCGACTGGTTGATTGAAATGGTGATACGTTACTAGATTACACGATTCAAAAAATTTTCCATCCGAATCGCAGCGCATATTTTGAAAGAAAAAAACCATCGTCATATCACGAAACATGAAATGACAAAATAGCGATCGATAAAATTGAAAATAAATAGCGAGTACAGCCACAAATATACTGCAGTGCTTTCACGCATGTTTTCCGGAGTAATCATATGGCGGTGTGACAAGTGTTATGATTTTATTTATTTTGCAGAGCTCTGTTATTTTTTCGTCATGTGTTGTGTCACGAATGGCAACGTCTCATGATGCCACAATTAAAATACTCACGGGCAGGCTTGTGTTCAGTGAAACCTATTCGTCTTAATCCGAGCTGTTCTTCACTCAACGAAGTACTGCAGAAATAGAGACGTTCCTGGTTATACACGCCGAATTATAATATTGATAACAATACAATCGTAATAATGCAAACGCGTACAGCGAAGCACAACACAGTTCAGTAAAAATTGCGAAAATTTATAGGAAACTGATCATACCACGATAGCCAGCCAAAGCGTAGAACTTAAATGAACATTGTTTTACCAAGTAAGGCCCACTGAGCGATATCGATGTTTTGCAGACGCGAGTTGGCCGCCAATAATAGCTCAACGAAGTGGAAATGTATCGCAGACAAACATTCTAAACGCATGTTTGTTAAATCTGATACTTTCCAGGGTACCGTCTACACAACCATGCATTCCCATTAAAACCTTGTACATTCCCTCTTTGTCTACACCAGGGTTGGGGAACGTCCGGCCCGTGGGCCGTATAGGGCCCGCGAAATAATTTGGTGTGGCCCTGCCAAGGCAACCGCAGGCGGGACTCGAAATTCAATAAATCTGGAAAAGCAGTTGCGAGTAGCAACATCATCAATAGCAGTTAACATCACACGCCTCGCAAAAGAGAAGCAGTTCCAGCCATCACATTAGGGGCGAGTTAATGAAATGTTTGACCAAATATAACAGGCACATTTTTAAGTTGATCATTTTGTATGGCCCGCGAATGATGTTATACATATCCAAATGGCAGAGGTGGGACAAAGTTATTGTTATGCAAGTCCAAGTCGAGTCTGAAGTCATCAAATTCATGACTCGAGTCTGACTCGAGTCCAAGTCACATGACTCGAGTCCACACCTCAGAGGTGGGACAAAGTCATTGTTATGCAAGTCCAAGTCGAGTCTGAAGTCATCAAATTCATGACTCGAGTCTGACTCGAGTCCAAGTCACATGACTCGAGTCCACACCTCTGCCAAATGGCCCTTGGCAGAAAAAAGGTTCCCCACCCCTGATCTACACACACATTACATTCTGCCTGAATCCAAATTGCCACAGACATCCTACAAGTGGTGCTCATTTAATTGACTTAGATACCTGAACCCTCAGAGCACTTGGACCATTTTCACTCCACGGCACATTGCTCGAGCTTGCTCCATCTCTTGCTATACTGTGCGTCTGCGTTGTGCGGATGGTCATGTGGTGGCAGTGTGCGCTGCCGGCCGTTTTCTGCTGCATCGGCCACTGAACAAGCACGGGGAAGAGAGTCCCATCTCGTCCGAGCTGTGTGACCAGTGGACGTTCTTTTCTTTTCCGAGAAATTCTCAAAACGCCGGCTGGGCGCACACTGAGACTTTGGTGTGCAGTGGACAAATCGATCGCGAAGCACCGCTGTAGCCACGGTGCCACAGGCATCATCCACGTGCATCTCTCCTTTCTGATGACCCCCTCTATCTACAGCATCAGCAGCAGCAGTACATATCATGACCATCATCATCAAGTGTCGGTGTAAGCTACACGACTCACTACAAAATGCATTCCGTGCCGACCTACGTGCTGTATACAAATCTTCAACCGACCTGTTTGCACTCGCGCGGTGTCCTCAGTGTCTTGCTTTGACCGATCATCGCTGACTTGAAGCCTTTTTATATTTTTTGTGACGCACTAAGAGCGGTGCTCCGAGGTGCTTTTCTCAAAAATGCATCAAAATATGTCAGCAATGACTGGAGGGAAATCACCATTCAAATAAGCACATGCTGTGATATAGATCACAATTGTTCAATAATTGAGAGATTTTGTCAACGCAATGCTGGGTGAAAGCCTCCCCACACCCGGGGCGTTGTATGACCATAGTTCACCACGCTGGTCAGGATTATGTTGTTGAATAGGGTTCAGATAAGACTTACCACTGATTCTAGCTATCGCCTGAAATGGAACTCAGGTCGCCGGATTATTATTGCAGGGCACCACTGCTCTACCCACATTATCAGCCATGATCAGTCCACTGCTGGATGAAGGCCTCGGCAGGCTCTCGCATGCGTTACGTCCCTTGTCCAGCCCAAGCCCATTTTTATTAATGGGCGAGATGTCATTAATCTGCGCATGTTGACTCATCCAGTGGTTCTCAACCTTTTGTAAATGTATGAATAGTGAACATCAATATTTTAGTTTAACACGTAGGCTTTCGTGGACAATATTATTCATAATAACGGTTTTTGGGTTAGATCGCGTTATTTATGAATGTGTCGTAACCCTCCACCACCCGACACGGCCAAACAGTAAATTGCCCGATGAAGCTGGATGTAATTACCAGCGAAACGTCGTACTCAAATTGTAAATGATGTTGATTCACTCTTCAACACATAGGTGGGCTAAAGTAGTGAACTCTTTGTCTTTTGTAAACGTGATACATTTTTTACTTTTTGGCCGTGTCGGGTGGTGGAGGGTTGCGACACATTTATAAATAACGCGATCTAACCCAAAAACCTTTATTATGAATCAATATTTTAACCAATTGTCCATTTTGTGCGGTATATCCGAAGTAGCTGGTAACTGCAAGCGAATAAAAAAAAACTCTACGGATGCCCGGCACGCGTCACGTAATTTGTTAGCGTTCGCTGCTTACTCTTGCAAACCACATTGTTCACGATCAATGAGTTTAGAAAGGTCTTTTACATCGTTCTTACTTACCATATGGATTTTAATTGTATCGTAGTTATTTTATATTGGCAGATTCATACGTGACTATTCACCGATGACTCTCGTGCATGATATAATTTCACACATTTATAAATCACCTCACCTACCCTCAGGGGATCCGCGTACCACCCCCCCCCCCCGGCTGAGAACCACTGCTGCTGTAAGAACCACTGCTGTAAGAACCACTGCTGTAAGAACCACTGCTGTAAGAACCACTGCTGTAAGAACCACTGCTGTAAGAACCACTGCTGTAAGAACCACAGCTGTAAGAACCACTGCTGTAAGAACCACTGCTGTAAGAACCACTGCTGTAAGAACCACTGCTGTAAGAACCACTGCTGTAAGAACCACTGCTGTAAGAACCACAGCTGTGAGAACCACAGCTGTAAGAACCACTGCTGTAAGAACCACAGCTGTAAGAACCACTGCTGTAAGAATCACTGCTGTAAGAACCACTGCTGTGAGAACCACAGCTGTGAGAACCACAGCTGTAAGAACCACTGCTGTAAGAACCACTGCTGTAAGAACCACTGCTGTAAGAACCACTGCTGTAAGAACCACAGCTGTAAGAACCACTGCTGTAAGAACCACTGCTGTAAGAACCACTGCTGTAAGAACCACTGCTGTAAGAACCACAGCTGTAAGAACCACTGCTGTAAGAACCACTGCTGTAAGAACCACAGCTGTGAGAACCACAGCTGTAAGAACCACTGCTGTAAGAACCACTGCTGTAAGAACCACTGCTGTAAGAACCACAGCTGTAAGAACCACAGCTGTAAGAACCACTGCTGTAAGAACCACAGCTGTAAGAACCACTGCTGTAAGAACCACAGCTGTGAGAACCACAGCTGTAAGAACCACAGCTGTAAGAACCACTGCTGTAAGAACCACTGCTGTAAGAACCACAGCTGTAAGAACCACTGCTGTAAGAACCACTGCTGTAAGAACCACAGCTGTAAGAACCACTGCTGTAAGAACCACAGCTGTAAGAACCACTGCTGTAAGAACCACAGCTGTAAGAACCACTGCTGTAAGAACCACAGCTGTGAGAACCACAGCTGTAAGAACCACTGCTGTAAGAACCACTGCTGTAAGAACCACTGCTGTAAGAACCACAGCTGTAAGAACCACTGCTGTAAGAACCACTGTTGTAAGAACCACAGCTGTAAGAACCACTGCTGTAAGAACCACTGTTGTAAGAACCACAGCTGTAAGAACCACTGCTGTAAGAACCACTGCTGTAAGAACCACTGTTGTAAGAACCACTGCTGCTGTAAGAACCACTGTTGTAAGAACCACTGCTGTAAGAACCACTGCTGTAAGAACCACTGCTGTAAAAACCACTGCTGTAAGAACCACAGCTGTGAGAACCACTGATGTAAGAACCACTGATGTGACAATCACTGCTCCTATCCATGTGATTCTCTTTTTGTATCTCAGTTTAATTCCCAGCATGCATCTCTCCATGCATTAGTTTTTTTTATTCTTCACGAATGCCCGTGCGTGTCTGAGCCATATGGCTTAGCAGGTATTAGACACTGATTAAAAACACTTTATTCTGTATACACTAATTGGTATGTTACCTTTAATTGCCGAGTTCAGCTTTCAAAAAACACCCCAACCTGCTCTGCTCCACCTATTCAGACCTTTACGAACTCGGTCAGCCTTCGATAGCTGTCCCAACTACAATACTCTCCTGATTTTTATTCCAGTTGTTTCAGTTTTGACAGATTGTTGAGTTAACCTGTTGCACAGCACCTTTGGTTTTGCTCATATCCATACTGAGCACCATTTCGCAGCGTTCACTTATTCAGCCCCCGGCTCCATGTCCAGCAGTTTGTTCCCATCGGACGTCACGATGGCTACGTCATCGGCACGTCTATGGTGTTTTTTCTCCTGGCAATATCCACGCCGTTGTTTATCTGGCCCGGTGGTTCAGGGGCTTAGTCAGTGCCGGATTCTCCCGGGAGCACAAGTAGTTACATATATAGCTACGGGCCCCGCACTTTCAAGGGCTCCGCGCTAAATGCTTTCAAGCTATCAATTCTGGTTCAGTGATTCTGCACTTGCTCTATTACTATAGTACTATACCGCCTTCAACTTTTATGAACGACTGGGTGTTTAATGTTAGCGATTTGTCGAATTATCCGGATGTATAGCAAGTGAAAAAATACAATTACTTTACTAGGCAAGTTACAAATTTGTGTTTAAATATTTACGCGATTTATGTATATATTTAGGGCCCCTTTATAACATATGCTACAGGCCCCGCACGAGCTTCATCCAGCACTGGGGTCAGGGTGAGTTTATCGCAATGGGAGGGTGCCAATCCCCTCGTTGGCGGTTTGATTTGCCTGTCCCCACCCCCTTCCGTCATTGAGGATTGCGGAATTTCCACCACTGCCTCGACACAAAAGACGATTGCCGTCTCTGCTCAATACATCACTTGCTCTGAAGACTTCCTGGATAACATTTGTTATCATGTTACAGTGTATCATCCATTCTTTTCCCATTAAAATCGATAGTCCCATATAGTGTTAACATTTTTTTAAGCACGCTGTATATCTCCGATTCCAATGTTTGAATGTTGTCGTGAGTATTTTTGGAATAAGTGTGTCACCCCATCAAGTTCGCCTTTTTTATTTCTTTCCAAAAGCATTTTATTAACAAAACGATCCAGCTACACAACACAGAGGATATGAAAGGGGGTTGACCCGAGTGCAACACATTACAGATTAACAGTGCAATAGAAACATGGTTAAACCGCATGTTTTATTCAAATGTGTTAATAAACTCGACAACCCTTTGGTATCTTCTAAGCTCTGATACCTCTTTAGGAGAAGAAGGGAAAAGGGAGGGGAGGGGAGTGCCTAAATGCCCTCATGAATGCTCTTAAGAATAAATGCCCACTGGAGGAGAGGGAGTGAAGGGCTTCAATGTTTGGTGGTATGCGTCCTCCCGGCGACTTAGTTTGGCACTTAGATGCTCTAGAGCAGCAATTTTTGACAATGTATTGGCCCATTCCTGCATTGTTGGGGGAGCGTGCTCTTTCAAGTCGGCTATAATGGTGCGTTTTTGCCATAACATTGAAATTTTGAATAATGTATTTGCCTCCCTGGAAAGGCCTTGAGGTTTCAACCCCAACAGGCGAGGGTCAGATGGTTGTTTTGTGAGTGTTGTTAAAGTAGCAAAGTGATCATTTGGAAAGAAAACTTGGTAATGTTTGGACATTCCCAAAAAGGCAACGTCTGTGTGTTTAAGGGGTGTCCAGGGGGCACCGTAGGCAGTTGGGGGGACGTTTGTTTCGTAGAATTTGGCTCTTCTTTGGTTCGTTAAGTAAGAGCCATGGAGAAATTTAAGTTGGGTTATGGTTCGCCTTTTAACATGTATGTATTTTGGCACTTTATGCAATCATGGTGCGGCTGTTCCGTTTTTTGTAAGCAGTTTGTATTGTTTAAACATGTTTTTCATTTAAGCTTTGATGTGTGAGTGCTGGAATGACTACATTAATTTCTACGGAGTTAAATGCTTTTTTATTGCTTACAAAAGCAAGGAACATTGCAAATTAAATGAATTAGCCATTTGCAGAATCGGATAAATAGCATGTATTAGGGATGAGTTTTGGATTTAAAAAAATCTAATTTTTAAGGATAATTTCCGATCTTTGCCAGACGATTTCCATCAAGCCCTGATGTGATTTGTCTTTGTGCAAACTTTTTCCGATGTTACCGAGTTAGTGACGTCGCTTTCCGTGTTATGGATCAATCCGATACAACACTTTTGTTTTCCGCATCATCCGAAATGTTGTATCTAGGCTTGATTTTCAAATTTTTCCAATGAATCTCAAAATCTGGAGCACATCCCTAGTATGTGTGGTTGATGGTAGAACTTTTCAGAAACCCTGGTTGCATCTGTGGGTAGTTGGCTAATACATGTTTTTAAAAAAAAATTCTGGTCTCCAGTCACGAGCAATGAATATGCATGTGATAGGAGGCTAAATGATTTGTGGATATTAAAGTCAGTGTCATCACCCCTTTCAATTGTCAATTTGGTCGTTTTTTTTAAGGGTAAAGTCCGTTTTTTTAAGGGTAAAGTCCCTAGTAGGGTATGTTCATATTTCCCCCTCCACCAGTGCATGTTGGGTGATGGTGGCTATTTTTAGGTGGAATGACAGTTTTTTTCCTGTTCAACTTTACAAATGGTCCCACGGGGGTTACCCATGGCTACAATTTGAATGTAATTTATTGAGGTTACCCGATGCCACATTAGCTTGGACAATTGGGAATTACCCTATCGTGATTTCCTCTTCATAAAAATATTTGCATTTTCCACTCGGCTTCCACACAAAATGATTTTTTCCTCATTCATTCTTCCATTAAATGAAGGGATTAAAACCAGCTTACATATCTACAGATCCTTCATCCTCTCGTCACACTCAGATACATGTGTTGATGAAGGACACCTGAACCACAGCCCCGGGACTCCAGACCTAAACCGCTGGAGCCTGAATCCTGGAGCCCAAAATACGGAGTGTGGAGCCCACAGCCCGGAGCCTGGACCTCCCGGATTCAGGTTGGGTGTGAGAAGGCCTTCATCCAACAGTGGACTTACAAAGGCTGTACATTACTGTAACACCTAATATATAATTATTGTCATTGACAAATACTGTACCAAATTTGTTCAGCCTGTGTATTTTTTATTTGTGTTAAAGTAACTCCTGTTTGACAGCTGAGGTCTCACTCCGAATCAGTCGGGCGACATTTTCTTTTCATCGGCTGCGGTATGCTGTGTGGAAGATACCCGGTCTGTTACTCCACACGAAGCTCCGGGTCTTCTTGGCCACAGTCATGCCCTCCCTTCTCTATGCTTGTGAAACGTGGACCTCTCTTGTGCAATATCTGCGCCGGTCAGAAACATTCAGGCTGGCCTGCATAAGATACATCCTGGGTTTAACCAGGCTGGATTGTGTGATGCGCTCACAAATCCTCGAATATCTGCACACATTCCCATCAGTGAGCTCCTCTGGCAGGCAAGGCGTTGTTGGCTGGGTCATGTAGCCCGCATGCCCAGCCACCGCTTGCCCAAGCATCTTGGGCAAACTAAACCGTCATGACACGGGCTGGATAAGAAATATACTGATGCAGTACAGCAGGATGTGGAGCTGAATGGACTTGCTGATGACTGGTACCAGCGGTGCAAGATCGACATCTATAGAGGAGGCTCGTGAAGGACGCTACTGGTCAGTTGGAGGCAGTCGCCTCCGAAAAACAACGGAGGAGCGACGCTCACAATAACGAGCGGAGCGCCGGGTGGCTAAAATACAGCAAGTTGGCAGATTAGGGGTCACATCTGGTGCATTTGCCAGTCATCTCAGTCAGTCAACCCATAAACCCATGGTACCTGGGTCTGTCCCGTGACTTCTTTCAGCGAGCCTTCGACACTGCACGTGGACTCAAAGTGCACCTGGCCTGGCACAGGCGCCGTGGTGACGTCATCGCCACTTAGTGGCGAATGGCAGTTGTTGTTGAGGTGAAAAAAAAGTCAATATTTTTTGAGAGACTGCTTTGTAGATAAATACATTTAAATGCCACCCAGTCCTGTTGCCACGATACCACTGCCATGAGAGCTGAGTAAGGGAATGATGACCAGATAAATGCCAAAACATGGTCATCATCAACCATGATCAAGCACTGCATGGATAAAGACCTCCCCACATCGACATCGCTCCTCGTGGTCTTGGATGCCACCATCCATTTCAAGGGCGTTGTGTTCTCTCTTGGCTGCCCTTACTTGGTGGTGGGTAATTGTTTCCACTGTGGCTAACCACTCTTTAGCCCTCCGGCTAGCGGGACCTAGGGGAGGCTGACCCGACCCAGCCAAGGTTCTCGGGTCTCGACCGCTGGCCCACACAGACCCGGCCCTGAGAAGGACGTTGGGTCGGGGGATGCTCAGGGTCCTAGCCTATTGACCACTGGCCTCACTGAGCCAGGGCCCTTATAAGGACGGCGGGGCTTGGGGTCCAGGGTCCTATCGTAGGTAGGCTTCTGAGTCTTCGGCTTGAGGCGGACTGACTTGAGCCGCTCTGGGTTCGGCTTTTATGGGGCTCCCAGTGTCACCCCGCCCCTGGTCACGCCCATCATCTTCTGGAGGGACCTGGATTGTTGCGCAATCCCGCCCAGCCCCCCACACGGGGGCCTGGGGTGTCCCCCTCCGGTTCCCAACCGTCCCCCCAGGATGCTGACCCACGAGACCTGCTTAGCACAGGCCGGACTCGGTATTGCCCCCAGTTGGCCCCTGACTGGAGGTACCTGCTCAACCATAGTGGTGGCGGCGTATTACGCCGCCACCAGTCAAAGATGATCACACTCAGTATGGTCTGGTAACAATAAAACTCACATTTTACTGGTAGGAACCACCTGGTTCCACCAGCCCACAGGGGATTATTGTGTCCGTCCGTCCGTCCGTCGTGCTTCCAAAAATGGGAGGGGTGGGGCTGCGTGGAGAGGGGAGGGTGGTGAGGGGCTGGGTGGGGAGGGGCAGGGTGGGGAGGGGAGAGTGGGGAGGGGCTGGGTGGGGAGGGGAGGGTGGGAAGGGGCTGGGTGGGGAGGGTGGGGCTGGGTGGGGGGTGGGAGGGGTGGGGCTGGGTGGGGACGGGCTGGTCACCCCGTAGTGCCCTTATAAAACTCAACGTTTAATCTACTCACGCCGGCTGGTGCCCGCCCTCACAGTCGGGCATATTTGCGGAATACACCACGCCGCCGTTGACCCTGGCCATTGACCGAGCAACCCTACGTTCCTACCAGCTCCCTCTGCAGGAATGTGTTCATTGTTTTCTCATTCGCTGGTTCCTCATTTTCCGTCGTCACAGTCACTACAGATGGTGAGGAAACGTATTTGAGTTGAGGGGGCTGGGGGCACGGAAGCCTGCGGGGGTGCGTGACGTTTCGGGCAATGCCCCTTCTTCACAGCATATCAGGGTTGTAGGTAATTTCAAACCTGTGTTAGAATTCACATGTAATATTTATATTTTTTTGTAAGGATCATTAAACGTTGCCTTTTACAGACTTTTATTTTTCAAGCAGCGTTATCGACGACCATGTTGGGTTGTTCTTGTTAATATGTTCTTGTTAATATGTTCTTGTTAATGTTCTTGTTCATATGTTCTTGTTAATATGTTCTTGTTAATATGTTCTTGTTAATATGTTCTTGTTAAGTTCATGTCCACCATTGCCAACGCAGTCAATGCCCCCCCCCCCCCAATTGCATTGCCCAGCCCCAGATGAAAGGCAACCCCGTGGCGTGTGGCACGGTTATCGACAGAGCTCGAGTGCTGTTGACGAAAGAAACTCACTACTCGACGGGACGTCTGCCCAAGAAACATTACCAGGCTGCAGCGTGTAACATTGGTTGGCAGGTGTCGTGACGGGCACAGTAACACCCCTGGCCGTGTCCGTTCCACTGTCGGAACGTGCCCCCCCCCCGTATGTGTCTTTGTGTGTGTGGTTTTGTTGTTGTGTGCGTGCATGCTCCGTGTGTGGGTGTGTGCCTGCGTGCCCCGTGTGTGTGCAATTGCGGTGAGTCATTAAGCACCTTCAGACAAGCAAGCCAGCATCAAGGACTCAAGATAAGTGAAAATAATACTTATTTTTTTCAAGTTACTTTATGTTGTTTTATGTACGATACAGCATTTGTGACAATATAACATGCACATGTACAATATTTCTTCTTTATGAGATTAAAAATTATTCCCCCTTTTTGTCGTACTGTAACACATTTTGTAACACTGACCGTATGCGCATTTCAATTCAGTACATTTTATTGTGTTCCGAGTTACGAACCGTTCGACTTACAATCGGGTCTCAGGAACGGAAACCCGTTTGCATGTCGAGGACTGCCCATTCTCACGCATGGTGGGGATTCACCAACGGTGGAGCAACAGGGTTCTGTCAAAATTCGGGCAATCTATATATATAAAATCGCAAATCTGTCTGTCTGTTTGTCTGTCTGTGTGTGTGTGTGTCGCCGGACCATACGCAGTTTCATTAGACGAAATGTGAGGGATTTGCGAGACGCGATTGGTCCGTTTGGTTTTCCACGGCGGTTGCCCCTAGCAACGGGTAGCGACGCATTCGCTGCGGGGTGGACGCCATTTTTAATTCCCGTTAAAAATATGCGCACGCATTAACACGCGACTCTGAGGTAAATTCATCAAAGTTTCACGTCCTCTTCACTCCCCCCCCCCCACCCCAATGTGTGCAATTACTATTATAGGGTCGGTAGATAATACAATTATAGCGATTAGACAGTATTAGTGTAGCGCGGGGGGGGGTTAACGGCCCCGGTACCCAGCCTCAGCCGGGTGGGCAATCTAGGCGAGGCCGGAGGCTCTGCACGGTACTAGGCCTCGACACCCCACCCGTGTTAAGCGACGACTTTGTGGTATAAACTCGATATACCCAGCATTGCCCGGGGGGAAAATACATTAAAAATCTTCTGAAAACTTTCAAACATTACATACCAATGAAAAAACAACTGTGTAATTACTTTTTAACCCGACGCGCCAAGAATCGATTCTTTAAATGTTCACTGTACAAATAGTCATTAAGCTGGGTGAGCATACTGGCAGTCTATAATGTAGACTGTAGCCTGGTTATTAAGCTGGGTGGGTGTACTGGCAGTCTATAATGTAGACTGTAGCCTGGTTATTAAGTAAAGTGAGTCAATTTGTAACACGTAGGCTTTCGCGACCATTATTCATAAACAACGTTATTGGGTTTAGAGCGCCTTATTTATTAATGTGTTGTAACCCTCCACCACCTGACACGGCCAATCAGTAAAAAAGTGTCACGTTGATAAAAGACTAATAGTTCACTGCTTTAGCCCACCGGTGTGTTCAAGCGTGAAACCACAACAATTACCATTTCAGATGAAAAAACAACTGTGTCATTACTTTTAAACACGACGCGCCAAGAATCGATTCTTTAAATGTTGACTGTACAAATAGTCATTAAGTTGGGTGAGCGTACTGCCAGTCTATAAGGTAGACTGTAGCCTGGTTATTAAGCTGGGTGGGTGTACTGGCAGTCTATAATGTAGATTGTAGCCTGGTTATTAAGTAAAGTGAGTCAATTTGTAACACGTAGGCTTTCGCGACCATTATTCATAAACAACGTTATTGGGTTTAGATCGCCTTATTTATTAATGTGTTGTAACCCTCCACCACCTGACACGGCCAATCACGGCCACCACCGGTGACGATTATTTGAACCGGTCCTGGGCCTCCCCTAGGTCGACTCAGCCTAAAAACGAGTAACTGGTGTGGCGTATGAACATCGCCACTGGGGAGACAAAGGCGGCCGGGCATGGTGGATCCAAGTCCCGGGCGAAGCCGGGTAGTACAGCTAGTGGGTATTTAAAATAATAATGTAAATGGATTATGAGACAAGCTGTATATATTGTACTAGTACGGAATCTAGATTTACGATGTGACGTATTAGTGTGATTATGCCCATTTGGCCAGCGAGAAAAAAATCATTGGGGTTGCCGAATATAAGACTTAACGCGTAAATAGGCAATGAAGCATGCACATTATAGGTAATAACAGGGGCGGTTTCTTCATTAGGGCGATTGGGCGACGCACCACCAATGTCATTCAACCACAGAGTCACGCTAGCCGTCACTGCCAGCCTCTGGATATAGTCCAATCAGCGTCATGCTACGTTCTGTGGAGTACCGCCTCTTTTGGGGCGATTTCACTCCGGCTGAGAATCGCCCCGAGTGGCCCCATAGACTTGCATTCAAAGATGTTTTTTTTCGAACGGGGGCGCTCCAATGCATTCTCTATGGCTTCCGGGAGGGCGAGCCCTAACGTGCTTACGTCATCATACGTGCTTACGTCATCATACGTGCTAACGTCATCATACGTAAGCACGTTTCATCCAACAATATAATTTATCGCTACCTAGTGGAATCTTTAATAAAATAAACTTGAGTGGTTTGTTTTAATAGTGAGTATATAAACAAACAAGATGTATTGTAAGAGTCACTTTATTTTTCATTAATATTAAAGAAGTGAAGTTGCCTTTACATGCTTAAGCTGTTAATTTATTCATTGCATGGGTGGACCTTATCCTTATCAATCATCCAGACATTTGCCCCCCCCCTGAGAGATTTTGCAGGAGCCGCCACTGGGTAATAATATATTTAAATTATTTTTTTTATACTCTGATCACATTTGCAATTTCCCCAAGCAGACCGGCCCAACCGGCTCTCGGAATAGACGGGCCCACCAGGGATTTGCCACCTTGGACTGCTGCCCAATGGCCAGTCCAGGCTTGCCGCGGCGCACCACTTATTTGACGAGGTCGGCAGAGCCGCAGACTCGTGCCTCCTCAATCGTATTCTGTCAAACGAAGACCGCATTCCCTATCCACTGCTTGACCCCCCCCACCAGGGTCAAGAGAACTCGTTACTTCGTGAGCGCGCCTCGTCCCGTAAGACCTCTCTACCAGGAGACCAGCACTGCATTGGTTTGAACTATTATTAATTTAGGTTGCTCAGATAAGGGTTACAACCAATGATATGAGCACTTTATTGTATAAATCAGTACGATCTTAACCACCTCCCTTTCCTTTCACCCCTTTTAACGATGTATTGCTTCCCTCACCAATTTCCCCCGATATATTTTTACTCTTGTATTGTTGAATTGATTTATGCAGCCGCAGTGTGCCCGCTGCTTTTAATCACTTGCGTGTGAATAAACGAATATATATTGTATTAAATATGCAAATGCACAGCACACTCCAAAGGCACAGCCGGAGTTAGACAGCTTAAGTTGCGCAGCAAGAAGCTTGGATGTCAATTTTCCAGAGAGCCCCCATCAACTGTGTTACTTCAATGGTGTCCAGCCACAGCTTGATGGACACGTTCAGCAAGAAGATTGTTGAAGTTCCGCCGTTTCCTGCCTGAAGACGTACAGGTTTTCCAACACAGCGGCTACCTCAAAACAAAAAACACAAGAGAGGGCAGTCCTGGGAAAACCAGAGGAGGTGGCAACCCACGATCTTAGTGGCGATGATGATAATGATGGCTGGCAGTTATAATGTCGATGATCATTGGTTAACAAGGAGTCAAATCATCAGCTTTGGTAAAGTCTTCAGAATCTTGTTGAGGCCACCCCCCCCCCCCCCCAATGTTCTGCCGAGTGGTGTTGAGGGAGTTTCTTGAGGTGAAGCAAGTGGAGAGAAAGAACCACGTGCTTGGTTGTCCCGGCCTCCTCAATGACGCCTTTCATGCTGCACGTCCCATAGTCGAGGTTCGAGGGATACATGTAGATCGCAATACTGGCTCGATTTAGCAGCTAACATCAGAGGGTCTTTAGACACAGTTATAGGACACCATATTAAGAAAGCTGGGCGAACATTTACAAGTGGAGATGAAAAGTCAAACCCCCTCTGAGAGGTCGAGAAGCTATTTTTTTTTATGGTCAGACTTCATGGCACGGCCACGGCCCGCATGTTTGAACTTATATGCGGGAGAAACCGTTTCACTTTCTTCACCCTTAGTGTCGGCATTAACGTACCCGGCAGCGTTCACTGGTATGTTTGGAGAAAAGACTGGGTGTGGACAACCCTTTTTAACGTAAATGGGTTTTTCGTGTCTGCGTGGCGGATAATTGGGGACAGAATATAATGGGGATTCGTCACTGCGTGTGGGTATGTCAAGGCTTTTGGGCTTTTGCTTCGACAAAGGGGCACGTTTGTCTTCGTTTTTGCTCAATTTGTTTGTAGTTTGGGGATTGTATAATTCGTTAGATTTGTCATCTGGCAGCGAAAATCTGTGCTTTAGAAGCAAGTTGCTGTATCTGTCTATTTCCTCATAATCTGTAGTTTCATACATATGGTCACTCACGTCAGAAGACGATGAGTCATATTTTGAAACATTTGCTTTAGCATCCCTGTCAACACCGTATGCGTCTTCTTGGAGTGATGTGGTGGATCTCTGTTTCGCTTTAACATCCACATTTGCAATTAGGGCCGTGAGCGTGTGGTAGCAATGTGTGTTTTCGCTTGGCACCGTGGTGGAAGGCACATGTTTGAACTTGTCTTTTTCCACCACGCCTATGTTTTTCGTCTCACCTGGTGGATTGATATCTGGTTGTGAAGCATTATTATTTAGTTTAGAATGTAAAGACTCCTTTGTGAGCTCTTTGATATTCGTTTGCTTCGCATCAATGTTGTGACCTGTATCTCCACTGGAAAACATCCTGATGTATATAGCATTCTCCACTGTTTCTGAAGAAGTAATTTCATGCAAACTAGCATAAATTGGATCTGAATCCTCTGACAGGTGTAGTTTTTGTACATTGGACGTTTCAGACATGTTGTGGCTATTCACACATGGCCGTGGTGTTCCGAGGGTGTATTATATATCCGTGGAAGGCAGGTAGGTGTTATTATAGGCAGATGGAATATGGTCCGGAAAAAAAAAATCAGACGAAACGTGGCACGAGACTGAATCTTTGGCCAACAGCAATCTTGATCCAAAACGATGAAATTTCTTCAAGGTCAGTCTGAAAATAGAATTCACAGTATGAATATTATTTTAACAAAATCACACGTGGATATGGCAATATTACATTTATCTGATGTATACCTCGCAGCAGTTTTAGTTGATAGGAAAAAAATATTCACCAACACTATACCATTATTTCAAAATGTATGCATTGCTTTGGTCTATTGGTGTGCCATGGCTAGTTTATAAAATGGGTTTGTAAATGGGCATGGTTAAAAACGTTCCGTTTTCTTCATAGATACATGAATGGTCCATCAGCTTACGGGTTTTCCAGCCCAGTGCTCCTCAGAGGTATATCTTTGAATTAGCAAACTTGGATTGCATTTCACATTTTAAGCTTCATCAGCAGATTTTTAAAGCAAATATTGCTGTTGCCAGATGTTTAGACTCCATCTAAACAATGAGGCCCTGAGTCAACACAGAAAATAAAATACCCCCGGTTTACGTTGGAGATGCGTTCCTGTCAGGTGCGACGACTAATATCGAAACGACGTCGATCTAAGCGGTTTACAGGGTAGGAGGGATGGAGGCGAAGGCTGAGCGGCGACACGTAACGAGAAAGGACGCACGATGCTGTCAGCGACGTGAGTGTGAGGTTGAGGGGACGCAAATCGGGTTGCGGTGTTAATAATAAAGAAACGACGTATTTGCGAAATGACGTAAAAGGGGGAGACTTAAAATCGGGGTTTGACTGTCATTTATGAAACAAAGTATAACGAGTAACATACACGCATTACGGGTAGCAGGCATAAAAATAAAACATTTACAAGAATAATTAGAAGACGAATTAGGGGCCGGCCATAAATGACGTCACGCAGCTAGGGGTGGGGGGGGTCAGACATTTGTGACGATGTGTGACGGGGGGGGGGGGGGTGAGAAATGTGGCGTCACATCAAAATGCGCAACTTTAAATAAATATAGACAACACGTTCTACTTAATTAAATATACTTTTTTTAATAAATGTTTTCTCCTACAACATCAGAGTGCAGCGGCACATTAAGTACGCACTACAATGACAATAGTTTAAAGCGATTTGAAGCATGTTTTATTTTGGGGGGGGGGGCAGAGCTTCGTGACGTCATATTTGAGGGAGGGGGGTCTGACTTTTTGTGACGCTGTGCGATTTCTTGTAACGAAATAACAATAGACTGAATGTAATATTTTTACTGGGCAAATCATAAGTACAAGAACTCGGGGAAGACAGGGAATGAAGTACATAATACAATTTAAAAAGTAGCGTGACTAGCATGGCGGCAGGGTGTGCCATCGCCCCCACCTGATGGCCAAAACTGTGATTTGGGGTCTCCTTGACAACCACCGTAAGATCTGTTTTCAACAACAGTGTAAAAGAACAACATGACTTATTTATAACGCGGTTTAAATTTATTTTTTATAAAAAAAATGCTTTCATTCACATTTCACGTTTTATTTTAATTTTATTTAAGCACTAACGTTTGGCTTTCGCAAAGAGAGTGTGTGTTTCTATGTTGTTGTTGAGGAGCCGGCGATATATAATAACCCTGGTGCGACCGTGTCAGACAAATCAAACCCACCTGACCGATTTCCGCAGCCCCTGAGTTGGCAATGTCGTTACCACGCCACTGAATTTGAACAATTGCATGCTGCCGGGAGTGTCTCATTCAAGGTTGTTTGAGTAAATATCATGGAAGTGATCACGAATGTCTTGATAAATCTCTTACACCGCGTCAAAAGCCAAGCAGCCGAGCTCTGTGCATGCATCAGCTTGTTGATAACATGGTGTGGACACTGTAACACCTTGGTGATAAGCGATCGGTGGTTGTCCTACGGGCAGACAGTCCATCATAGAAATGTTGAATTTCCGCTTCTGAGTTTAGGCTGCCAGGTAAAAGATTAGCTCCATGCCAATGTTAGGCTTTTTGTTATCATATTATAATGCACTCTACAGTTTTTGGGGAACAGTGGTGCAATGGTTAGTGCACTGCGTCATGAACCCAGAGACTTGAGTGATATTCCCTGTCACAGCCAACAAATCGTCTTGGCCCCCTTCATCAAGCGGTATGTCTATAAACAACCTCCGCGATCAATGCCTCATGGGTATGCTTTCGTCAAGTTGTAATCCTATAATCCGTGATGCACCGTGGAGCTCCGTCCCAAAATGCAAGGTGACAAACATTGTGTCGACAACGCTGTGCCGCAGATTACGGGAGAAATTAGCTGCGCGACTCCGTTTCTACCGTAAAAAATGTCAGAAGCAAAACCCTTTCAAAACCATTTAAACCAACTGATGCATAACCGGGTCAAGCGGTTTTGTAGTGAATGGGAACCACACACAAAAACCACCCGGTTTGAAATTGTCACCAAAGATCGTGGGTTGCCACCTCCTCTCGTTTTCCCAGGATTGCCCTCTTTTCGTTTAAGGTCGCTGCTATCATGGAAAACCAGAACATCTTCCTGGGATATTTATAGTCCTAGTTTTGACAGTCGCCTAATGATACTATACGATAAGTCCACACTTAACGTGTGGTGTTCACACTATAACGCGTTTCCGCTCTAACGCGGTTCTTCCATTCGGGACCGCTTATCGCACCCAACGTGGAATGCGTACTATTGTAATGCAGAATGCGCCCGTTATAATGCGATTTCTGAACGGTTTGCCGACTAACAACTTTTTATAACTGCGCCGCTGAGCGGTATAATTCAGTACGCAAAATGACACACTAACGCGGCGGCATAATTTCAGTTATTTGTCCCGCCGTCTCACTGTGTGCGTACATCGTATCTTGCCAAACCTTTTCGTGCCACTATTTATGGGGAAATTGTTTTCGCTTAACGTGGACATTTTCAAGAACGCATCTATCACGGTCAACGAGGACTGACTGTACTCATCTCAAGGCATGTAGTTATCCCCTCTTCCTATATCATAAGGCGTTCTTCTTCACTGTTTAATTGTACCTTAAAGGTGGAAGCCCTATTATTACCATCCATAGATTTAGAAAAAGTAGACAAGAATGTTAAACCCCGAGCCAGATGGATTTTTCACATATTTTTCATTTTCGCACTGTGGGATGCATTTTATCCATAAGGAAAGTCCCTGCTGACTTCCCAAAAAGTGGCATTTTTTCATGAACCCCTGAGAGATGATAAGCCGAGTCGATTCTAGCAGCCTTAATCCCATTGCAAATCAACAGCCAGCCAGATACAAGATGTATAATCATGATGTACATACGAAGAACAATTACAATGGAGCGTTCATCCTCGTCGTCTCTTAAAGAAGACGGAGGAGGAACCCAGAGTGTAGAATTACAGTGTTAGACCACAGAGTATTTCGTGTTGTGCAGAACTGTAATATTTGTACCGTACAGCTGTCAAGATGTCTTCGTGACCCAAGCCGTTGATGACAAAACCACCACCTTCATCCGCACCTTGTCAAAGGCCCTCTGCCTTCCACCACATCCAAAAAGCTGCTGTGCAGGAGACACACACACACGACGCATCCAACTCTTGACCTTAGGTCTTCCCATATATTCTACTATGCTTATTATACACTGGACCATAACTCAATTCAGTTGTATAGTTTATACACGAAGATAAAAAATAACGGACAAGGATCCTCCCTATAGCCTTTACAGACTGTTGGGGCAAATGCTGTTAGCGAGCACCTATGAAGGCCAGAACGGCGCACGAGGGGTTGGGTGGTCAGCACCATGCCCGGCCGACTTTGTCTCCCCAGGGCTGATGTTTTTACACCGCACAAGGTGCTCATTTGAGGCTGAGTTGACCTAGGGGAAGCCCAGGACCGGTTACAAATATTTGCCACTGTTGTTGGTCGTGAATAGGGAATTGCCGGTTTCGTAGCAGTGTACTACTCTCTCCGGACACGTGATCACCCCCTAGTCCGCCACCTATGTGGACACTTGTGATCACGTGTCTACGGGGTCAACCAGAATGCCATGGCCCGGGGCAACCCTGCCCCTGGGCTGACGCTCACCCCCTGCCCCTCGGGGGAGCACCCACCGCATGCTGTGCGTGGTGCCCGCACTATCCCAGTGCTCGCCAAGCCCCGCTAGGGCTGTGTCACACACAGCCACCCACAAGGCGCTGTCCCCGCTAGGGCTGGTGTCACACACAGCCACCCACACGGCGCTGTCCCCGCTAGGGCTGGTGTCACACACAGCCACCCACAAGGCGCTGTCCCCGCTAGGGCTGGTGTCACACACAGCCACCCACCCACACGGTGCTGTCCACGATGTAGGAACATCGAATGGAACGACCCTTCCGGGCCAGCACCATACAGTGACATAGCCGATGTCACTAAACATGTTCACCACATATAAACTAACGCATTGTTTTTTTTATTTTAACAGATAGGGTCCACTGATCTACACCTGTATAGCTCTTTTTTAGAAGCGACCTGGCCACAAATGATTGCTCAACGAAGCGGCTTATCAAGTGGAAATATATAATAGTAGCCGAATACACTGAACGTAGTACCCTGGTTTACGTTGGGGGATGCGTTCCTGAATATCGAAACGACGTCAATCAATCAAAGCGATACACACGGGGTAGGTGCTGGAGCCAAAGGCTGAGAGGCGACAGATAGCGAAAAAGGACGGACGGACGACGCTGCCAGCGACGTGAGTGTGGGGTCGAGACCACGCAGATCGGGTGACGGTGTTAATAATAAAGTGGCGACGTATTTGCGAAACGGCACAAAAGGGGGAGATGTAAATCGGGGTATTGCTGTATACACACATAAGTACTTGCAAACAAACACGACTGATGTATTACATGGCACCTGCAGTATGACAGCCAAACGATGTTGTTCATGCTCACGGCCAATACCAGTGATGATTATCTGAACCTGTCACGGGCTTCCTCCCCTAGATCGACTCAGCCTCAAATTAGCACATTATGCGGTGTGTAAACATCGCCACTGGGCGAGACAAAGGCGGCCGGGCGTGGTGTTGGCCACTCACCCCCTCGTGTGCCGCGCCCGGCCGTCATAGGTGCGACTCGCTAACAGCACTTGCCCCTACAGTCTGTTAAGGATACACGGGGTGATCTTCGTCTTTGTGCGCTACGTGAGTGGCAACACTTATCACGGCCGGTACCTTGCGGGTCTCCGGGTCTCCGTGTCTCCGCGTCTTCGTGTCTTTGTTGGTCGGAGCTTCGCAGGAGATGTCCGCCCCCCCCCCCCCCCCCGTGAACAGCACAGAGATTCTTCACTCGCAGTGCCGCCTTAGCGCAGGTGAGACTTATTGCGTTCGGCGTGCGAAGAGTTGACAGATGCGCGTTGCCCACGATGGGAGTCACTGGGCATCTGTCGAGGCTGAGGAGTTGCTGTGTGCTGGTCACGACCCCCCACAAAAAGGAGGATGTAACTGGATTTTTTTGTTTAAAACCGCCCAACCGGTTTCTCGAGGAAAATACCACACGGGCAATTGTTGTGTTTTACCTACGTGACTTTACCGAAAAACCTAAGAATTTGTAACAGACTGTCGGGGCAAGTGCTGCTAGCGAGTAAGCACCCCCTATGAGGGGATAAACACGCACTTAGGAGTATTTGACTGTTGCTATACATTTGCACGTGATATGCCACTCTGTCGAGCTATCATTTGTTATAGCCAGGTCGCTTTTGAAAAAGAGCTATACAGCTCAGTGGCCTTTACCTGGTAACACACAAATAGCAGTCATATATGTTTTTTAGGGTGGCCAGCACCACACCCGGCCGCATTTGTCTCCCTCGTGCACCAGGTACTCATTTGAGGCTGAGTCGACCAAGGGGAGGGCCAGGACCGGTTCGGATAATCGTCACCATTGGTGGTCGAATTGAACCCGGTTGAAATGTCCAAATGATGGGGCTACTTAGGTGAGCTGTTATTTGTGGCCAAGTCACTTCTGAAATATAAGTTAATACCTCATTGGGCTTTGCCTGGTAGGATGGGGATGGTTTAGTATTATTTGTATGTGTTTTCTCGGCCTCGCTTTGCGCTGCATTGTACCACTTATCCCAGTAGTTAACCTCGCATTTAATAAACCTTCAGAGCCAGGGTGAATATCCGCCTCCAAACGTATTTAATGATTAGAACGAGGTAAAACTGATGGAAAAAGACAGTACAAAATACAGCATCTGTTAATACTTGGAATATCAATACAATGAATGAACACTGCAGCATCATAACATTGTCTTAGATAACATGAAACTCAACAATAGGCTACTGGATGGACCAGGCACCTACAGTAGCACTGAATAGCTACACAAGAGAGTAAGCTACTGTGTGAAATAAGGTCACATCGTGCTATCACCATACTGCACTCTAAATATACATGCTGCATATAACACTTGTAGAGTAGTAGTCGGGGACATTACGTCACGCTCACCTTCCGGTGCGCAGTGGGCGGGGGGATGACGTCATGTCTCCCTGGGGTACTTAAGCTGGGTCCCGGGACGGAAGTGGGGTCATTGTGGGAGCCCGGGAACGTGGACGGTTGAAGAGTGGACCAGGGGTAGGGCTCACGGAGTCTGAGATGAAGCCGGCGATAGCGATAGGAGCTGGCTGTTCTCCTCGGTCGGTCGATGTCGGCTGATCCCTGGGCCGATGCAGAGGAGAGAGCCTGGGAAGCTAGCCGTGCTACAGAGCAGACAGAGTGTGGGTCTGGGTGAAGGACCGAGCATAGAACCCCTATCCCTTGGGGACAAGTGTTAATTCCCAAGCCAACTTCAGGCGTAAGCCCTTAATAAACATCTGGCATAAAGCCCCTACTGAAGATCTGCCTCCGAGTCATCTTTTTCACCTCAACATACTGAACTGTGGATGAGATACTTCTTCATCCTTGCTCTCAAGAACGCATTAAAGTTACATGGGCACAAGTCTGGCTCGACTGATCGTTGTTAACTCGGCCTCATATTTATCATAACAATTTAACAGCATCATAAAGGCATTTATAGCATTTTAACAGCAATCCTAACATTATAACAGCATCCCCAGTATTATGAGAACGGACTTACAGACAATGCTTCTTAAAGTCCCACATGGAACAGATGCGCCTGTCTTAACTGAGACTCTATTTGTGCCTCCATTTTGTACTCTGTGTAATGGCTGACATGGTTGCCTCGTGGCTTAGAGAACCTTAAATCGTAACTTCCTGGTCACGTGACCAAACTCAACACCATATCAGGAAGCTCCTGTGTAAACACACCCCCATATCTGCCGTGGGACAGAACATGCATGTTTTGGTGATTTGTTTACCTTTGTATTTTTGCACTACTATCGTGTTTTTGTACTATTTGTTGCGTAACGTTCTTACCCCGTGTCCCTACTGGACATCTGAACAGGAGCTTTATAGCTCATCGGATTCCTCCGGTATAAATACATATTATTTCTAGGGTTTGTAGCACTGTGCGCTGACCACTACACTACTGCTTCCCATATCACACATACTCTTGGTAATATTAGTTTGATTGCAAATGTCACAGACACATCTATAGCAGAGAATGTGAGATGTTCACCACCTACCTATATGTCTTTTGCACGACTCATTGTATTACAGTATTTTTTAAATGGACTTATTCTCCATTATTTCTCACGTTAGCCAAACAGGTTGGATTGAATATATGGAACCTACACTTTACCCCGCCATAATCAATATTTGACCTGTTGGATATGCAAGGGTGCTTATCCAAGTCTCTTTATTTGTTTCAGAATCAAACCTGGTAGCTCTGGATTGTGAGTATAGTTGGCTAGCTTTTGTGATCGGGTGGCTCCAACTAAACACGTGAGAAGCTAGGATGTGCGACAGGACTTTCCACTTATACTTGTGTGGTGGTGTAACGCGTGCCAAGGGGGTAATTGTAAACACGTGGGGTCGTATCGGGACATGCTGGTGTTGCTGGGGGACAACTGGTGAGACGGAGACGGCCCGTTAGGCAATTATGGATGCAGGGCAGTGATTGGCCGGTTGTTGTTGTCAGGGACAAGGTGGCGCCTGTAAGTCTGGGAATGGGAACAGGTGGCGGCGGGGGCCGGGGGCACGGGGCGTTGGGGAGCCGCCAGCTAAACACGTTCCTTCGGAGTGGGCAGGTAGGAACTTGGTTGGACAGCGCATTCGTGCACGACAGACAGACAAATAATCCCTGGTGGGCAGTGTGGAACCTGTTGTTCCTACCTGTATGTATAAAAGATAACTTGACTTTAGGTAGCCAGGCAGACAGCCCCCTTAACTATCGCCCCCCCCCCCTCCTTTAGGCCCCTCCCCCCTTAGGCCCCTCCCCTGACCCCCTTTCCCTTAGGCCCCTCCCCTGACCACCCGCCCCCCCATATTCTCAGGCCCCTCCCCTGACCCCCCTTCCCTTAGGCCCCTCCCCTAACCCCCCTTCTGTTAGGCCCCTCCCCTGAGCACCCCCCCCCCATATTCTTAGGCCCCTCCCCTGACCCCCCCTCCCTCAGGCCCCTCCGCTGACCCCCCCCCTCAGGCCCCTCCCCTGAACCCCCCCCCTCAGGCCCCTCTCCTGACTCCCCCCTTCCTTAGGCCCCTCCCCTGACCCTCCTCCCTTAGGCACCTCCCCTCTCCGTACCCGGCAGTAGGTCTCCACCAATCAAAGAGCTGTTTGTAAGGTCTCCACCAATCAAAGAGCTGTGTGCATTATATATTTATTTATGTACGACAGACAGACAGTCAGACAGACAGACAGCTAAATAATCCCTGGTGGGCAGTGTGGAACATTGTTCCTCCCTGTATTAATTGGAAGTTAATAGGGATGGGGATAAATACAGGAGCATCCGAGTAAGACAGGGAGTTGTGCTAGGAACTGGACGGTCGGAGCAGAAGGAGAAGTATAGGGTAGCAGTGGAGTGGAAGAAGAAGTATAGGGTAGCAGTGGAGTCGAAGAAGTATAGGGTAGCATTAGAGACGGAGATGAGGAAGATATGAGAGGTAGAATAGGGTAGCGGTGGAGCAGGGGAAGAAGATGAGACGAGAGCTCGGAGTGAGACGGAGAAGCCGAGAGAGAGCGACAGTCAGAGTGAGACGGAGAAGCCGAGAGAGAGCGACGGCTGGAGTGGGATGGAGAAGCAGAGAGGAGAGTCGGGAGAGACGGAGAGAGAGAGGGAGGAACGGAGCGAGCGAGGCCGGCGGAGCGTGGCGAGCGAGCGGAGAACGCGCTGGAGAGTGGTGGCGAAATGTGCTGAGTTTGATAAGATAAAGTGACGACAGAAAAGGAAGACGTTGTCCGTAAAGTTCAGCACTACACTTGTACGCAGTATCAAAGTACATATTGCAATGTCTTGGGGAATTCCCAGTGGCTTTAAATGTTAGCATGGAATCACAACTCATACCTCCGCAAGGCTCTCATTGGAACGCCCAACGTTTAAATTGAGTATGCTATGACAAGTTAGTATTCTTTGAATGTTTGACCATGCAAGTGGGGCAATGTGGAGTTGCATTTTACAGGCATGTTGAGTTCCATTCGTTGTAACATTGTCAGGATTGTAGGTCACATGGTATGTTGATCTTCTTTTGAACCGTATGTAGCCAACCATGCTAATCGGAGGCGCAAAGTGCAATCGTATATTGCATCGAGTGCCTTTGCTGAAGGCACTTAACATAACTTCTAAAACGGTATAAGGGCTGAGGAATGAGTGACTGTGATCGAGAGTAACTTGGGAAGAAGTGAAGGGTTGAGGGGAGGGTAGAGGATGGGCAATGGAGAAGAGGTGAGCTTTAAGAGAGGAACAGAAGGAGGTTAAAAGGGGTGGGGGAGAGACTACTTATGTACAGGGAAGTTGATTTCGGTGGGGGGTTGGGGGGGGTCAAGGAGGGAGGGCCGGAAACGAGATTAGGTAAAGCGGGGAGAAGCAGAGAGAAGATGGGGAATGAAGAGGACGCGAGGAAGGGGACGTGGACCGAGATGAGAGAGGCGAGACGAGGTGGAGGAAGGCAATAGATAGATTTAAACACCAACGTTTATTTTTTTTAAAGACTGGTGTAGTAGACGGGAAGACAATGAAGTCGGTGGTGAAGAGGTGGGAATTAAAGGGGGGATTGAAAACCCGTGCCGACGAATTTAGAATGTGTTGGGAGGGGAGTGAGAACGTAGGCAGGGAGACTAAGAAGAAGAGAATTATGGTGCTATAGCTATGAGTCAATATAGCTTCCCCCTGTGCTCAGACTAAGGACCATTACCTGAAACATCTGATGATATATTTCTTTGTTAAAAAAGAGTATTCACGATGCGAGTGGTGAGTTTTTATCTATTTCACAACTCTGACATCTAAGAGTTTACAAGCCACTGGTATGTATCCGTTGTATGGTCCATTAGGTGTCTAAAGGTACACGATAGTGGTGGTGCAGGCTTGTTGCGGTGCTCATGTTTTACTACTTTAAACAGTATACTGTACTTTGTATACACTTTGGTTCTTTCGGTAAAGACACGTAGAACCAAAGAGTATGGATTGTTGCTGTCACGAAAGCTTCAAATCAGTCTACTTTGTCTTTATTATATTTTCTGTTTAACTGTACTATCTTTGACATCTATGCTCCCTTTGATTTTCCAACGCGTACTGACCAGTGTGGTGAAAATATGATCAAATATCTCCCACGATCTACATGGTGTGCGGAGGCCCTCATCCAGCAAGTGGATCGACAAAAAATGGTGGATCGCACAAACTGTTGCGAACTCCCTTCCCGTGGGCGTCATTACAAAAAAGTGCAGACATTATTTGTTCCTATTCTTGGGCCTTTCGGTAAAGTCACGTATTGTATTGCGATCGAAATGTCGTAGTTTTTAGTTATTTTTTTTAACAAATCTACGTGACTTTACCAACAGACCCAAGTATATGAATTCCTGCAGTCACGAAAGCTTTAAGTCATAATTTTTCCCTTCTGTATAGGATAGAGCATTGCCCCCTCGCACGCGGGAGTTTTCTCCAGGTGCTCCGATTTCCTCTCACATGCAATACCTCTCATTAATTGACTGAAAACATCTTAATATACAGAAGACGGTAGAGGCCTGGTTTAATTGTTGATGCCGGCTCACCATCTGGCTGTCACTCAGGTTATCTGGTCCCTCTTCGATCTTGGGACGCAATCGTCATGAACGGCGCTATTTAAAACTAAACACTTATTTTGGACACATAAATCACACATTGACCATGTCACGTATGCACACGATGTGTCCTAATCATCCAGAAAGCAATCAAAGTTTATTTTTTACACCACATCTACGTGTTTTAACACAACACATGCTATGCAGATTACTTGGAGAATGCTAATGAAATATCACGTTTACATTAGTTGTTTCAAACAATTTCAAATGTACGTATGTATGTTGAACTTCTTTCATAGGTATACATCCGTGCTAAGGACAACAAACTAAACAAAAAAAGTAGTTATCAAGGAATTAGTTTTCAATCTAGATGATTTTAAAGTGCATAGCTCCAAGTGGTTTCCTAACATCAGACGGCCGCAGAAGCGCATCTGAAAGCGCGCGATGCAGAGTAAATTAGTGACACGTGATTTGAGTGTCAAATAAAGATAATACATCTAAAATGCTTATTACAGAGCAGCTCGTGTATGTGTGAAACTATAAACGGTAAAGGTTTTGCTCGTGCCAATGCAGGAGGAAGGGCCTCCACGAGGAGTCGTTTGGTCTACTTTCCCACGCTCGCCAGACATCTCGGAAGAGGGGCGAGTACCCACACTTTACGCAACCACGTGCGACCTTTTGACCGACTGACTGTTGTCTACCCAACCGCTGGGTGGACAGAGGCAAAGGGCATTTTGGAAACTTGAACGATCGCTTCAGCTGCCAGGCTGGTAGATGGGAGAGCCGGACCTGTGGACTGCAAGCCGAGTGTAATAACCGTTTACGACGTTAAATATATGAATGCATGCGGGGTATACGGAGGTGCGGGCTATCTGAAATTTGTTTTACACAAAACGCTATTTTTGTGGGGTATATGCACCTGCGGGTTATATGCATATGTGGGCTATATGCGGGAAAATAGGTACATATTTGAAATGAATGGATAGCGTGATGATGCCCCACAACATTGCAGAACATCGCGTAAGCATTGGCACAGAGATGGACATCGAGCAAAATGGCGTTGTTGGGCCACTCGTGCACCAATGAGTAAAACAATATCAGCATAGGATTGGTGGCGATATTACGGCCAGAATACAGCAAAGATTGGGCCAATTAGTCTTTTTTAAGTTTCTGAGCACAGGCCGAAGTTTCGAAAGCGTCAAGGATCCAGCAACAAAAATGCTACACTACACACTATACTACAGTGTACATCGCAGTAAATTCATATTGTTATCCACAGATATTTAGAATAACAGGGACATTAGCGTACAGCACAGTACATTAATCGAATTATATACGATCACCCACAGTTTGTTTTTTGCGTAGATGCAAGGGGTCATTTCTAGGCGTGGCAACTCTTCGTTCACAACATTTGCTTATCCGTTAGAAGGTTCCGCGTCGACTCGGTGGGCCAAGATGAGTCCCCGTGTAGTGGTAGACGAGATGAGAGGAGGGCGTGCGATGCGAATGTCCCTTCATCGTTAACGCGGCAGACAACTTTTCGTCTGTGGGCTCAGGAGGGTTTTGAACGAGAGGCAGCGGGGCCGTACCCATTGCGACAAGTCTGTTTTGACTATTCTCCCCCGACGAACACGTGTTAAGTGCGTCCGCTCTTTCGATCGTTTCTTGAGAATTCGAGACGTTTGTTATTTTGGTTTCATTCTTTTCCCGGGCACCACCGTTGTCGCGCAGATGAAGCTGCCTTGTAATATTTTCATCACGGTTCGTGGAGTAGTGCATTTCTTCTACTTGAGTAGAATTATTGCCATCAAGTGTAATATTAATGTCTTCATTTGACATGCAATTTACATGCATTCTAGTTGTTTTTGATATGTTCCAGATATATTTGAAGACGGTTTAAATCTGTGGATGGCAGATATGTTCTATGTTAGTGGATGGCAACTTGCAGAGTCCAACAATGCGACCAGGATGAAACACTGACCCCTTGGTAACCACTCGTTATGGGGGTAGGGGAGATAAGGGGGATGATGTTTCTTCAGATGTTCTGAAAAGATAAAGATCGCACCACAGGTTGATGATAAGCATAACGTCAACGGACACCAGGGCTGGTTTTAATTCAACTGGCTACCTGAGCAAATATGATAATTGCGTATTGTAATATCAACAGAGTACAACAGTTTGAAAGCTATCAACAGTTAAATGATCGTCATGTTAATTCCGTGCATTCACCCACGACAGTCTCCTCTCAATCTTGATTTGAAGCTTTCGTGACTGGAGGAATCCATACTCTTTGGTTCTTTCGGTAAAGTCACGTAGGTAGAAAAATAAAATAAATTACGACGTTTCGGGCGCAACACAAGCGTCCATCATCATGTGGGAAAGCATGGTCTGCTGCTGAAACGTCGTGATTTATTTATTTTATACCTACGTGACTTTACCGAAAGAACCAAAGAGTATAGATAGTCTCCTCTCTCTCAAGGTGTTTCTTTAGCAAGGAATGTATAACCGATTTTTTTTTATATAGAGTGTTCTGCCACTCATAAATAAAATGTCAAACCATAAAACTACTTGTGGTAGGGTTTCTCCTTCCATTTTCAAGTCGCTGTTACCACTCAGGGTTTTGCACCTTTATTGGCCTCCGCTGTAACTATACCGTGCGTTTCCAAATGTCTCCGCGATCCAAAGGCAATGCTTAACTCTGAGCATATATCTGCTGTGAAATTTTGCTCTGTTGGATTTCCCATGCGGAGGTGGATCTAGAAAGTTCCCAGAGGGATGGGTGGGTGGGGCGGCGATCCAGAAAATTCAGGCTTGTTAAATGCGGACCTACATTAATAATAAAACACTAGCTGTACTACCCGGCTTCGCCCGGGACTTGTATCCACCACGGCCGGCCGCCTTTGTCTCCCCAGTGGCGATGTTAATACGCCACACCAGTTACTCGTTTGAGGCTGAGTCGACCTAGGGGAGGTTCAAATAATCGTCACCGGTGGTGGCCGTGAGCGGGAATCGAACTCGGTTCGCCGGGTTTGTAGCGCAGCGTAGCGTTAAGCACTACACCCACCGCTCCTCACACACCACACACGCACAGACACACACACAGACACACACACAGACACACGCAGACACACACAGACAGAGACACACACACACAGACAGCACGCTAAGCACTACACTACCGCTCCCCACACAACACACATGCACACACACAGACACACACACAGACACACACACACAGACACAGACAGCACGCTAAGCACTACACTACCGTTCCCCCTACACAACACACGCGCGCGCGTCCATAGGTACACATACACGCGCTTGCTGCAGACACACACGACTTTGAGGGTGCTTACGGCAGTAAACGACTGAAATAATAAAGCGGCAATGGTGCGCGAGGAACGCCTTAGACCTGCAACACATTTGTGTAATGCGAGCGTAAACACACAAACACATACAAACACATACACACACATACATACACACACATACACACAAACACATACACACACATACATACACAGAAACACATACACACATACATAGACACACACATACATACACACAAACACATGCACACACGTACATACACACATACATACATACAGACACGCAGACATACACATAAAGACATACAAAAAAAACCACATACATACACACACACATACACACAAACACATAAACACACATACATACACACATACATACAGACACACAGACATACACATAAACACACACACACATACACATGACCCGGCTTCGCGGGGGACTTGGATCAACGATGCCCGGCCGCCTTTGTCTCCCCAGTGACGATGTTCACACACGACAGCAGTTACGCGTTTGAGGCTGAGTCGACCTAGGGGAGGCCCAGGTCCGTTTGAAATAATCGTGAGCGGTGGTGGGCGTGAGTTGGAATCGAACTGGGGTCGCTCAACCAGCTTAATGACTATTTGTACAAAGAACATATAAAGAATCGATTATAATAAGCAGGCTACAGTCCACATTATAGACTGCCAGTACACGCAGTCAGCTTCATAAGCAGGCTAGAGTGTACATGATAGAGTGGCAGTACGCTCAGTGAGCTTAATAAGCAGGCTACAGTCTACATGATAGACTGGCAGTACGCTGACCCAGCTTAATGACTATTTGTACAGTGAACATTTAAATAATCGATTGTTGGCGCGTTGGGTTTAAAAGTAATATTAATTGCACACATTGTGGTGGGGGTGGAGTGAAGAGGACGATAAACTTTGATGAATTTACCTCAGAGTGGCGTGGTGGGTGTCGAGGCCTAGTAGCGTGCAGAGCCTGCGGCCTCGCCAAAATTGTGCAGCCGGCAGAGGCAGGGTACGGGTGGCGTGCCTTCCCCCCCCCCCCGCTCAGCGCTCCAACAATACTGTGTAATGGCTATTATTGAATTATTTACGGAGCCGTTGGCAGGGGCAACCGCCGTTCAATGAAACTGCAGCCCTTGGCGAAGGCGTCGCTAGCCGTTGCCAGGTCCAATGAAAGCGGCGAAGGCGTCGCTAGCCGTTGCCAGGGGCAACCGCCGTCCAATGAAAGTGCGTATGGTCCGAAATCCACACACACACACACAGACGGACAGACAGACATGCACGATTTTATATATATAGATTTATTATATTTTCTACAGTAAATACCAATAATGTCCCATGACGAGGCGGCTCTAAAAAGTTTGGGGTCTCTAAAGTTGTGGTGGGCACGGGGGGGGGTGTAGAGGGGGATTACCCCCTCCCCCTGGGCATACCACTGTTTTCATGTGTACATTGTTGAGCTGTTCACCTGCCAATCATGCCATGACAATCAGCACAACACTAAGTATTCATTGAAGTGGTATTTCCTCTGGAGTTTTATTTATTTATTATAACATTCTCGGAAAATCCGTCATCGACATGGCATCGTAAGATACATTTTCTTGGCCAGTATTGTATCGTGTAACAGTGAATTTGTGATGCCTCGGAACACATTGATTTTTAGAAAAATATAAAATACATTTTGAGAAACCATATTCAGCTTATTTGTTCAAACCAAGGGCTGCTACACACCCCTGTTACATACCTGTGAACCCCTTGTCAGTGCGTACCTTATTACAGACTCATGCAGACCGTATTGGTCACCCCGTACCCTTAGAAATATCAACGTTCATCCTACAAAGTCCCATCACAAGGATGAAACACAAACAAACGTCCGCACCCATCCTGCGTACTGCCCTTGAGCATAGGTCGGGCTCTCCCACTCTTTCAAATGTCTACCTGTCGGCGTCGCGCATGTCGCCTTCTTCGCCGCAGAAAGTAACGCTGCCAGTGTCGCTGTGCTGTACCGTGGCTTGTGTTTGGAAAACCGGACGTGGAAATGTAGCTTGTGCGCATGATCTGTACCAAGAGCCTCTTAATTCTGGATCAAATTTGTTGGCTGCTACGGGGATTGCTACGCTCCAGAGTAAAAAAAAAACGCTGACCCACGATTTTTTTATTTAGTGGTACAATCTTTTTTGCCCTATTGAAATGGCTGTACGCCGTATGGACCTGAGAACTAAATTTCCCTGCACAAAAATACGGATAAACCTATGGGTTGACAGGTATGCTGTTACTAGACCTGAATCGGTATTGAAAATTACATATTCCTATTAAGAGGGCACTTCAATAATGTTGACCAAATTTGTGAATGTCCACAGCATATAACCGATGTTTCCAACCTCATAGGGTTGATTGGCTGAGTCTATTCACAACAGGGATTTAAACTAAAAGTCTTACGATTGAGGGAGATTAGCTCTAACCATGCTACAACCAGCTGGACAATCATCTTGTTATAGGTTGTCGTGGGCAGTAGAGTGCAGCTCAGAAACATCCTTTGCTGTAGTATACCTCTCTGTGTTGCTGACCCGGATTGACCAGCGTGGTGAAGTATGGTCAAATAACACGGAAGACGTGGGGATGCTCTTATCCAGAAAGTGGATTATTGAAAAAGCTGTAAATGCGTCAAAAATCAAACAGACACATACAATATTAGCCTTTTCATTAAAATGTATAAAAGTAATGAAATCACAATTCCCATCTGCCTATCTGTCTTTCAGCACTCTGGCGACCGTAATTCTCAATTTTTTGTTCTTAAATAGAACACTTTTGTCAGTCTAATGAGAATATTGTTTGGTAGATGCCAACCATCTTGAAACAAAATGGCGGCCATTTGGGCCCTCAAATGCAGGAAGGGGTGAAGTCAACTTCGACTCCTAGAAGAGCTTTCAATAAATACTACATTTTGAACGAAGAAAGCCCCCGAGAACTATCTCGTAACTGCTATTCTGCTTTTCTGGTCTAGGCCCCCAAAATACACCTTCATCTATTGTTGAGATAACAATGATTAGAGTATAAAATTAATTGGAGTAGGTAATGCTTGACAACACTCAGAGGAAGTTCCATTCTGGTTACATAAATAAGTACATGCACTTGTTTAAGGTGAAACATTATTTAACAAAATGTTATTAAAATATATAACATATCAGAGAGATTAACACAGCACTTCCTTCAGGATATATTTTACAAATGCCACTTGAACTGGCAGTTGTAACTGTAATCCCGTACAATGTCAACAATGTTAGGTATTGCATCTTACGTTATTAGGTTTAGAGTTATTCATTTCTATACTCGCGTGCAACAAAACGTGACGTCAACGACCAGTGCCTATGTGTTAGCAAGCACATTCGGAGTAGCTATACAAATAACCAGTAACCCCAGTCGGCTTCACATATACACACACACAAACATGATAAACATTATTTCGTGAAGATGTGTTGGCAGTGGTGTACACGTACTTTTATAAAAAAAAAACTCAACATTTTTGTCAATAACCCTGCCTTTAAAGAAAATAATATATGTAATAGGTGTAGTTGGTAATAGCCTTTCTTCATCAGCACTGGACGTATATAAACTACATAAATCATGTGCTTTGAAGAAGTGCTATTGCCCAAAACTTCATATTTATTTATTTAAAGGTCGGGTTATTCACAGACATGTTGAGTTTTAAAACAATATGAGGTTAAGCTGAGATAATTAATTGCACACAAACATTATCATTATTATTAAGCCGAGGTAAAATTGCACACAAAGTTACGCGTTGTGTACGTTATATCTGTAATGTTCAGTGTGTTTATACAATTCTGTGATCAGTATATATTCAAATGTAACACAATGAAGACGTATAAGTAAAAATTAACCCGTAAAAACAAAGTTTTTCACTATGAATCCTTTATATGCGTGGCGGCTAGAGTCCTCTCGTCCTCTGGCTTGAGATGGCTGCCACCTATGGGTCAGATAATTGCCTGGCAGCATTAAGCAATTGGTAATTAAATATAAAAACAAATTTCCTAAAAAGTGTAAAATCTAGCAAAAATTTTCACGAAAATTAATTGTCACGCACAACGAGTCTGTGTGGAAAATGTCAGCTCGATTGGATCACGGGAAGTGGGTTAAAAAACGACCGAAAGATTTGCACGGTCGTAAGCGCGCAAGCAAGCAAGCAAGCGAACTTAATATAAAGGATTGAAATAATAAAAAACGACCGAAAGATTTGCACGGTCGTAAGCGCGCAAGCAAGTAAGCAAGCAAACGAACTTAATATAAAGGATTTAAAAATAAAGACGTACCAAAGTTACATATATTAAATTTCGATTTAAAGCTTTCGTGACTGCAGGGATTCATCTTCTTGGTTCTTTCGGTAAAGTCACATAGGAGGGAAATAATAAAATAATAAAAATAAAACATAATACAATACAATTCTCACGACGTTTCGGCCACAACGCAAGCAGCCGTCCTCAGGTGAAGAACAGGTCTGTCATTCAGACGCTGTCTTTCCCTTCTATGTGACTTTACATATATATTGTAAAACAGCTTGTCAAGTGCAATTTATCACTCAAACCCATATGTATGTTTTCTTTTATACTTCCAGTTGACATTTACAAGAGCACTCTGGATACAGCACTCCTCAAACAACGCGGCGTATAGCCACATTGTGCCCACTCACCTGTCTGCCCTGACTTTATTCTCTCATGGTCGGCGGTGGCGTCTTTGAGGGCCTCACTCAGCAGTGGATTGACAAAGGGCTCGAAATTGTTTTAATTTAGATCTGCTCACCACAGCCGATTGCTTCCCCACGATTTGAGAGGTACGCTTCAATGTGCCACTGTTCTTAGGCACTGCAATACATGGGCACTGGCTCATGCTAATATTCGTATGGCGTGGAAACCAGTGACCAACCAGAAACCACGTCATTGTTTTTTTTTCATTCGGGCAGTGTCAGCCCCCGTCCGCGTGAACACGGCTACGTCAGCTCCATCGCTGTCACTGCCCACGCAGGGAGGGATGGAGTGGCTCCATCTGACATTGGTCGCAACCTACCGCTTGCTCAGGGGTCTCCCACCTACTCCTCTGAGAAGCAAAGTCCACTACACAATAAACAAAAAAATGAGTTTACGCTTCGTCGTCAAGCATACAGCATTCTGGGATTGCATCATTTTCGCAGCATCGATCCATTATGACACGCAAATTCTGGCTTCTCATCGGTAGCCAGGCTTGCTTGAACCAATGCTTCTTGACCGTTTCCAAGGAACATGGGTCCTATTTCAACGCCAAATTGTATAATACATAACGCAACATAATAATTAACATCACTTCAGCGAATATAAGTAACAGAATATATAAAAGCAGAAAACATATATGCAATATATCTATCTAGCCCAGGGGTCGGCAACCTACGGCTCCGGAGCCGCATGCGGCTCTTTACGGGCTGCTTCTTGACGATATGTACGTATGTACAGTATGTACTCAGATGCATTGCGGCTCTTGAAATACTGAATTTTGTACCGAATTGGAAAGAAATGGCTCTTCTTGTTATTTTGGTTACCGACCCCTGTTCTAGCCTTTTGTGAGACCAGGGACTTTCCCGGCATAGCCCACAAACAAAACGTGTGGTATGGTCACCGCCCCCATTACACAAATCGTCTCAGGAAGCCCCTAGACTCCTAGAGATGTCACGTGTACCCACCAGGGGTAAACATAGCACAGGTTAGGAACTTTGGATGACATGAACAATCTCATATGCATGCGTTTAGATTACTTACATCAGTTGACTGCTTTATATTTGAACACGATAAGCAACTTCGTTGAGATATCATTTTAGCCAGATCGCTTCTGAAAAAAGTTCTAAAACTCAGTGAGCCTGACCTGGTAAAATAAAAATAAACATATTTTCTTTTTACTTTACGATGAAGCTCCTACAGATATTGCGTGTAACCTATCGGGGTAAACATACCACAGCTCAGTGGGCTTTACCTGGTAAAATAAAATAGTTTCGTTTAATTTGTATATTTGTTTTAGTGATTCGCTTACCTTTCCTATACTCTTCACTCCTATCGTGTTATTATATTGTTGTTGTTGTAACGTTCTGACCCACCCCATCAAGAGCTTCATAGCTCATCGGATTTCTCCAGTATAAATAAACATTCATATTCTGATAATCTGAACCCCCCCCCCCCCAAGGTGGATTGGTGGCATAAAGACGGATCACACACAGAGAGCAGTAATCCGTGAGTAACAACACAAAGTGGAAGGACAACCATTGTGTGAAAGCACAGAGACAACGGAATCATCAGCATTGGCTCAAAACAGAAAATATGGCTCAAGTAGACCAACGTTTTGGACAGTGGCCCTTTTTAGGGCAGGCAAGGTAAGAGCCATTTCCCTACATTTGTAGCTACGTGTTAATACTGTATATATGAACATATATGTACGTATGTTACAATGACAATGGTTATCCGTTTTTTTCAACAATATAAACATGCAAGTAACGTTTGCATGTTGATCAAAGGAAATGCATACCAAGGTGTTCAAACGTGTGCACTGTCACCCCCTAGAAATGAAATGTGGTAATCCCCCCAAGGTTAAAATAAAGTCATGATAATGTGATCTCCATTCACTCGTCAAACACCGGAGATAGATCAAGATGGAACATTCTCACTCAAATCTAAAGAGTCGTACACTGAGTTCGCAGAGCATTCCAGTCTCTGATAAACAAAAAAAGACGTGACGATCAGTGTCAAGTTCAAGCGAGGGTGTGTACACTATATGCAAATCCGTTTTTGTTTTGGATACACCATTCATGCCCTGTCAGTGCAGGTCGGTGAGTACACACTGCACCATATATTGGCGGGACATCAATCTTTCTGAAAACTCAACGCATTCGTCAATAACACTGTGGCATTGGAAGGACATATAATAGATAATAGGTGACGTTTTGGGGCAATGGCCCTTCTTAATAGCAAATATTGCAAATAATAGAGGCCAGAGAAGTAGAAGCCAGAGAGGAAGGGTAAATATTATGTTTGCATGTTTTGCCACAAGTACGCACAGTTAATGCAGACTTGATGTCTTTCAAAACGGTGTCTAATTGGTGTTGAACATCGTAACACCTGCGGTTTTCACACCTGATGATGATTGCTTGTGTTGCAATCGAAACGTCGTGATAATTTTATTGTTTTATTTTCTATTCTTTTGTCATTTCCCTTCTACGTGACTTTACTGAAAGAACCAAGAATATGAATCCCTGCAGTCACGAAAGCTTTATATCGAAATTTAAATCGTAACACCTGTTTGATTTCCACAAAGGGTAAAGCCTATTCTTATACTTTTCATAATTTTGATACTATCAAAAAGGTCCCATAGAGAGAATATTCTTTGAAGACTGCACTATACACCATGGGGACTGTTACGAACAAGGCATACCACCCATGAAACTTGGCAATCACAAAAGTTATTATTAATTCTCATATCCTAAGGAGTTACAAAGAAGACCTCCAACTTTTTAAAGGAACCACGCCTATGTGTGTTAAACTTTTTTCGCACCGTACGTAGCCAACCGTGCTAATCGGAGGTGCGGGAAATGAGAACAAACTAAACACAAAATAAGCAGTTCTCAAGAAATTAAATTTAAATCTAGATTTAAAAGTACATTGTTCCCAGTGGATTCCTAATGTCGGGCGGAAGAGCGTTCCAGACGGCCACAGAAGCGCATCTGAAAGCGCCACGCGATGCAGTGACCGGTCTTTGTTTGACGTGTGTTCCGCAGCAGCAAACACCTCAGGGATCTGCTGGGGCACAGATCAATGTGAAACACCAGCAACACTTGTTTGTTCACTTAAGCCGATACACCAGATCCTCCTTGTTCATGTTTTTGTTTGTTGCGGTTGCGCCCGAGTCAAGAGCCGCATGGCTCACAGGGCTATCTCCATATATATAAGGCAAAGTTGTGATTATGTGTCTGTTCAAAATGTTTAGCGTACTTCCCGACATGCAACAAACTGCAAATTTGCCATGTGGGTACTCTCCAGACTGTACACCATGCAAAAATGATAAAAATACACTTTTGTTTTGGGGGGGGGGGGGGGGGGCTCAATAATGTATATATTTTTGGCACGGCAAGTGAGCTGTGACGTCAAATCTGTCACGTGACCCGCGCATGTGGAAGCGTCATGCATTGTTGTGTAGTGGCTAGTGCGCCGCGCTACGAACCCCGCGACCCGAGTTCGATTCCCGCTCACGGCCACCACCGGTAACAATTATTTCAACCGCTCCTGTGCCCTCCCCTAGGTCGACTCGGCCTCAAACGAGTAACTGGTGTGGTGTGTGAACATCGCCACTGGGGAGACAAAGGCGGCCGGGCGTGGTGGATCCAAGTCCCGGGCGAAGCCGGGTAGGACAGCTAGTACCTAATACATGAAACTGAATAATTTTGTGGGTGGGGTAGAAGCCAGTGGCTGGGAATCCAAAGGAGATCATCAGGTTCACACGGCGTAGTGCAATAACCGCAGCATCCACACCTTGCCCTGAAACAATGTGTGGTGATGAATGTGTGGCGGCCTTGGATACCAATAACTCTTCTCTCACATCCGTAAACAGTGAAATCAGATATCGAGCGTTGTATTTTCGGGTACTTCCCCTGTTCAATGACCTTTGTAATTGTTAATGCATTAAACATCAGATGCCATTACGCCTCTCATCGATGCGAGCTCCCTCATATGCTCATTATATTGTTTTGCAGTTCAAGTTAACGCAGGAACACCCAAGTAAATTTTCTTTGAGTGTTTGACGATTAATTTTTGGCACATCATAAAATAAATAAATAAATGTCATTAAAAAATGTTTTTTTTACCAGGTCAGGCCCACTGAGCAATATAGCTTTTTTCAGAAGCGATCTGACCAAAAATGATAGGACAACGAAGTGGCTTATCACGTGGAAATGTATAGCAGCCAAATACTAATTTATTTGAGCTAATTTACTCGTACAGTAGAATTGGGTTCATGTCTGTGGGTTTCATGAAATCATGTTTTGCAGAAGCATCTGTTAAGCAAGGTGAACTCTGGGCAGGTTTTGAAATTCTGAGTCAAACCAGCACAGTCAGGCCTGTTGCGTGAACTCTACAGTTATTTTATTTCTATTCATCATTTATTACCCACAATCCACGACAACAGAAATGTCTTGACAATGTCAGAGCTCATCGTGGCTTTATACCGATACAGGTTTTCGTTATCATCTCAGCTGTACGGTCCTAATGACTGTCAGACAGATGAAGTTTTAAGGATTAGTTGAAGAATGGAGCTCAAAGCAAGAAGGTTTGAATGATGATTAATGAATTTGTATCGAGCACCCTGGGCAGATCCCAAGGAGAGAGATCGGAATGATTCGGCAGAATCTCAGGTCACATTGCTCACTAGAATCAAGTGACAAGGGGAGAGGAGAATACCACGGCCCCATTCATAGGAATATGAAAAGCTGAGACCGCTGCTCCCTGTACCATAGTTTTTGTGGTGTGTATATTATCTGTGAATCACCTTCTAGATTCATCTTAGTAGGAGGTTCTGTATCTACTGTGGTAAGTCTAGGTCTCTAGGGAGAGGAGAATACCACGGCCCCATTAATAGGAATATGAAAAGCTGAGACCGTTGCTCTCTGTACCATAGTTTTTGTGGTGTGTATATTATCTGTGAATCACCTTCTAGATTCATCTTAGTAGGAGGTTCTGTATCTACTGTGGTAAGTCTAGGTCTCTAGGGAGAGGAGAATACCACGGCCCCATTAATAGGAATATGAAAAGCTGAGACCGCTGCTCCCTGTACCATAGTTTTTGTGGTGTGTATATTATCTGTGAATCACCTTCTAGATTCATCTTAGTAGGAGGTTCTGTATCTAATGTGGTGAGTCTAGGTCTCTAGGGTCACGATTCAATATTTAAACTGCCAGTTGAAAAGTGTGGAAGTTGTGATTTGAGTTTGTCCTGGGATAACACGTCTGCAGACACTCAAGGTTTACACTGGGAGTGAACAGCATCCCATTTGGCTCTTCTCTGTGTATGCCACGTCAGGGAAGCCTACTGGCTGTGACAACGCGTTATTAACACGGATCTCTTTTAAGATGCAACAACAAAATGTTTGCGATTGTATTACCCACACTCTACCAGCACAACCAGGGCCACCCAGAGAGGGAGGCGATCTGCCTCAAGCCCGTACAAAAGAGGGGCCAACAACAGGCCTATTTTTATTTTGCCAGGGGGACCCATGTGGCATTTGACCCACACTTCTAGCAGTGAATTGAAAATGGCTGAAGTTTTTTTTTCCCCAAACGTTCATCTCAATGTAATTGAACGCATACCTCTCTATGAATATTGCTAACTTTTAAGTTTTTGTGAATTTGTCACACCACTTGATTTCCCGCAAAGTAGTTTTTAAATTACAGGAATTGAAGTCACCTCTATAAGTTAGACAGCGAGTACCATAAGCATGACTCGTTTAAATGGACGAATCATTACATTCCTAGAGAATGATTTTACGTGAATTTTTAAACAGCTAAATTAAAAGTACAAGTATTTGTATAAAGTTTGATCCTAGGTATTTTAATATTAAATGGTGGGGTCGATTTGCCTTTACACGTGTGTAATGACAGGGTGACACCTGCCGGCCTGTAAGGGTAATTACGGTTATAGCTGCATTCCATAATGCCATATGAAGGGGCGTATCTGGAGTAAAGGTCAAGCTCGGAGTCAGTCGAAGCTCCGGAAGCCATCCCGAAGGGTCTCGAAGGTTTTAGAAAAGGAGCGTGGACAGAGGTGGAGCTTAGCCACACCAGGCTGATACAAGGAGCACCAAACCAGAGCTTCGGAGCTGTTAGTGTGGGGTCTGGGTCCTGGTTGCGTCGCTGCTGTCGTCATCTCTTCGTCCTCCACCACGTGGCTGTTCTTCTGTGAGACCAGCTCCGTCACCGCCGCTTACGCTCATCAAACAGCCCGCGTAGCGCATGACGGAGATGGGCTTTGTGTTTGGACAGCCTAGGTGTAGCCGCGTTACGAAGTGTATCGCCCTGTGTGCTCTGAAGAATAAGAAGCCTTCTGCTAGACGTGTCGAAAGTCGCTCACTACACATAGTGTTTTAACACAAAGACGTAGCTCAGAAGGTAAATAACGAAGTGACACGTTCACTTGTTTGTGAAACTTAACAGCAGTCTAGAGGTTGTGACGATGCTCAAGACAAGGATGTCAATTACAGGTTGCTGGAGAATGTGGCAATTGCTCTGCTTTCTCAAGGTGTTGTTCCGTGATTCTGATAGCATAATTGGGATGTAATGGGTAAATATAAAGAAAATGACCGCATATTAAATAAACATAACAAATAAGGCTTTATTTAATATTTTATTCAACATATATTACATGGGTGGGGGGGAAAAAAACCTGTGTATATTTCTGAACAGCTTTTCAAGATAAATGTGCATTTAGGCTGCTTAAACACAGCACATTGCACCGGTACTTTTGATGCGTTAACGAACCATTCGTGAGTTCACCACTCGCTCACAAGTGTTGCAGTACCGTGACAAGAGTCCACACAGCAGCAAAATACTCAACGTTTGCATTATATACACCGAGGTATACACAATTCTGATATGCACACAAATCATTGTCAATGTCGGAGCACGAGAGAAAACGCTTGCCATTTGCATCATTCGTGTTGAACACCAATATTGGCTTTTGAATCGTAGTGTGTTGTACGAACGATAATAAAATATTTCCTTGAATACAAATAGGATTTTTTTTACAATATTAATATATGGAAACTATAGATGAGAGGACATGTTACATTTACAAGAGCAAATCTGTAGAATTCGGATTCTAAAAAAATATTATCCGGAGGCATATTTCCCTGCAACATAAGTGACCAGGGCAAGTGCAGACAATGAACACATGGCCATAAGATTAGATAATGGGATAATATATCAGAAAACAGTCCACTGAAAGTAGCTATTTTTAAAAGTACGGGTGCCCTGAATATTTGCATCTCTTTTAACTTCGGCCGAATACTTAATTTTTCAGTAAACATATGAAAAGCCTTATTTTTGGACGGTGGGCTGCTCTTGATAAACACCAAGGTTTTTGGTGGGGGTAGAACGACGGGAGGAGGTTAGCATGGGGAACAGGAGTTGGGAAAACAATGATCCCTACCATTAAGTCTAGATAAATAAAACAGAGAGATTGAGACAGTGAGAAAACGGCAGAGGCATAGCGACAGAAGGATATAGGGAAACTGCAATGAAGACACAGAGACAGATATAAAGACATGGAGACAGAGGGATAGACAAAGAAACAGAGGGAATCGGAGACACCAAGGGAGATGAACACAAAGAGGGACAAAGATGGAGAAAAGGACCATTCGATGAAGATTGAGACAGAGGAAGTGAGAGACAGAAGGGGTCTTGGAGACAGGCAGTGAGAGAAAGAAACAGTGAGATACCAGTCAAAACAAAAATAGATTTCAAATAGGCCACATACATAACTTGCCATCTGATATTTGGCTAAATAGTAACATGTGCTATTTGGTACATTCCTAGTTCAAATGAAAGCAAGTGGTAGTTTCTTGAAAGGAGTCTCATTACACGATCACAATTAATCACGAGTTAGCAACCTAGTTGCAAATAGAGGCTCAAATTCAATCTGATTTAGCTTATAAAAAAGTGGAAACTTAGTCTAGAAATCAAACAGAAGATATGTTTAATGTTTTAAAACTATTAATGTATTCAAAGGATTACAATCTCTCTTTGACTTTTTTTGGAAAAAAATCCCATTGCAGTTTATGTTTTTACTTCTTTCTCACCGTACGTAGCTACCAGCACGGTTATTGCTCTATTCTGTGGCGACTCACAAGCTCTTCACACAACACAATAACAGCAATGACAAGTTGGGTTTTCACAAGTAGGAACTCGGGTGACGATTGTTCTTTTAAGCAATCAAGCACAAATATCGCAGGCAAAGCACTATGTTGGTCTGTTTCTAAAACCAACATTTCCCTCATTCCTTTATCCCATAAGCCATGAACATGTCTTGAGCATCATGACAATAACATCACATTAGCCTTTTCTATTTTCTCAGAAATTCCTAATCGCTATATCACGAGTAGTATCGGTCTTAATTTATTTCTGAGGAAATGTTGAATGCAGTGTGATCATGTACAGGTTCTTGTGCATTGGCTGATCAGAAAATCAAGTTTGACTGTTAGTGTAATGAAATAGTGACCATTGTTCTATAGCACATACTGAAAGGGGTGAAATCTAAAAAGTGTAACAGTTTGAATGAAACAAATATTGGAAAAATTTTGTCCAACACTAAAATTTTTTGAAATGTTGAACAAATTTTGTTATTATGTGATGTCACATGCCAGAGAGTACAAGATTGTTCCACCGCTGGATGACACTGCAACTCAGTAGTTTGCGTGTGATGCGGAGAGAGGGCAGCACACTCTCTTGCAGCCCATGTGACCAGACCATGAATCACAGTCGTTATGAAGTAACATTCACGGTGAGCACTGCACACTATTCAAGTGAACCATGAAGCTGCTCGTCTTCATTGATTGCCCTGAGCCAGTGATGGAAAATAATCAACTTGTGAAACGATGAATAAACCTGAATCGTTGAGGAAATCACAGTTTGCAACACAACCAACCTTTTATAACTGAGACACAACATTTAAATTAATGTCAAACTTGAACGGTAATGTTCGTGATATTTTGACTTGAACACTGAATTCCAGGCGGTCTCTTGACTGCGACTATGGTGCGTTCACTGGTATTGCCCGTAGCGTCCCAGATCTTGCTCCGAGCTTCCTTTTGATGGCAGCTGTGAAGGGTCATCTACAAACTGGGGAGGCCCTGTAACATTGGAAAAGTATACTTGTACTAATAGGGTTTTCCTCCTTTTTACTGGCAACAAAACTGACACCTTTTGCAGGGAATCATGTTGACATTAACCACAATACTTGCAGTCAAAATGCAAACAAAAATAATACTCTGATAATTTATGCATTGTCCTTGAAACTTATTGGTCCACACCAGAGACAGCTTTCCTTAGAGCCTAGTCTCATACGGTGTTCAACCAGATGACGTCAAAAGGCTCCCTAAGGAAAATTGTCTCTGGTGTGGACCAATGAGTTTCAAGGACAATGCATAAATTATCAGAGTGTTGTTTTTGTTTGCATTATGACTGCAAGTATCGTGGTTAATGTTAACAAGATTACTTGCAAGAGGTGTCAGATTTGTTGCCAGAAAAAGGGCAAAAACCCTATTAGTATATTTTGGTACTGGCAAAGGAGGCCTCATGATATAGAACAATACTTGTTGTCACACATTCCACTGCAACAGAATTACCGCTCAAAGAACTGAGAAGCACACATATGTTGGCATCAGTATCCGCAGGAGTTTTGCAGTCCGAGTGTGCTTGCCCAGCAGGTAGGCATGCCACATTAGAGCAGCAATTCTTAAGCTTTACTGTAGCCTTGCACACCTTTGCTTCTCAATCGTTAAAACATTTATAATGTCAAGAAATACATAGGTTTCATGACACAAATTAGTTGTACTTACGTGCCCAAGCTTAATTTGCATTTTGATTATTTACCTTCTAAAAAAAATCTGGCATGTCTCGCATCCCCAGAAAAGGCATCTCGCATCCGACAGGAGGTGCGTGCACCCGAGGTTAAGAACCACTGCATTAGAGCCTATATCCAAGTTTATAAAACCTGATTTGGATTTGTATATGAATTTTTTTTATATGAATTTGACCTTGTATCGTTTTAATCCTCGTAGAACTTAAAACGAAATCACCAGCTCTTACAAATGATTTTGGAAAATGTGCTGATATTTTCCTCTCTGTGAAAAAGTTGAGCCACATTACTTCGATGAATACTTGGGAATGTACATCATAGACCATCAACTGACACCCTTCAGTTTTCAAAGCTGGCTTCACTAAATTGTTGACACAAGTATCAATTATTTTAAAATAGTGAGGTCATCAGACTAAAGCCACCAAATGTACGCCACGTAAGAATTCCTGTTTTATAATTGTCAAGCTCATTTAGCTTGAAGGCAGGATCACTGCCTGGGCATGCAAGACACCTTCATTAGTATTCGACGTTTGTGACATCTGACCACTTCTTATATTTATTAATATGATGTGGATTGTCAACAAGTATTATTCATTAATTATTATTTATATTCTTTCAAACATTTGGAGCAGTACTATGAAGACGTTTTATTATGTTAAAGCTCCTTACATGTAACTCCAAATTATATTCCATACAGACCATTACGAGAAAGCCATGCACTCCCTCTGCTGGGAAAATATATTAACTGAAGTGCCACCACTAATTCAATGCACGCAAATGCATTGTGTGCAGGTGGTAGTAATGAAGAGCGCTCACCATTTTGGTACTGTTGTGCTGTGTAGCGGGTGAGCATAATGCCAACGCCTTCTATGAGGGCAAGGAGGACGCCTCCCATCACCGCTGAGCCCACCATGGCGACCGGGCCACCTGAACACAAGTCATACAACAAGGTGGGAATTTGAGAATGCGTTTCCCCCTTTTTTCTGGCAACAAAAAAAAACTATTCTCATATTTTGGTACTGGCAAAGGAGGTCCCCATGATGAAGGTGGGAATGTGTATTTTCAGTTTCAGTCATATACTTATAATGGAGTTTGAATTAAAAAAATAAAACTGTGTAGGTGCACCAAAAGACAAACCATGCACAACTATGACCAATTTGTGTATTGACAAGACAATCCTGTACACAATTCTCATACAAGGACGGCAAAGTTTCTCTGCCCTATCATCACTGGACGAGAAGCATTTTGTCTCTCTTTCTGAAGTTTAACAGGGTATTGAGAAAAAACAATGCTTGGCCTTTGAGTATGGCATAGGATGCTAGGAATTTAATGGCATGAAAGAGGAAGTAGATTGGAATAAACCAAGGCAAGGAATGTACTGTTGATGTAAATGAGAAGAACAAGATTTGATAGATGAAGTGCATTTGCAGGATTGGGTGGGGGGGGGAAAGTTAGTGAACCACTATAGGTTTATCCCCTTGAGCTAAAGCCAGCTGGTAGGTTATCACGGGCCAGGTGTTGACCGTATTAACTGAAATAGTTGTGGGGATCTAGCATAAATAAGTTATCGTGTGATTTGGTAAAACCAAAATCATTGACCATGATGACCCACTAAATTTGAACCCTACACAAATGCCTGTGTTACAAAGGTTAGGGTTAAGCTTGGTGTTAGCGAATGTTGCGTGACAGTGACTGTGAGATCCAAATGTAATGTCATGGTTGTGCATGCATTTACCTTACACTGCCACCTCGTGGGGTTTTCAAGAGGCTAAGTGGTATCTGAAAGGGTTGTAGTCTAGGTTCTGGTACTCCAAATATGCAGGTCAACAGCTAAAGGACACTGTCCTTTATTAGGTAATTGTTATCCAAAATAGTGCAATATAGCCCAGGGTAGTCATAGCATTACCAATGGGGGATAATCCTCCAATAATCTAAAGGCGCCCACAAACTCTGGGAGATAAACAGCTGCCGCTCAGTTTTCTCACCTAACCCAATCAAGCTCATCTTGACGTGACTTGTGAGAATGAATGTATTTGGAATTTGCTCTAGAAATAATGTGACCACATAAACCACGTTCCGCATTTAACGGCTTTTTTTTAGGAACCCCTGAATATTGATGAGAAAAAAATGATCAAACATTGCACTCCCAAAGCTCAACAACTGAACAGCATGCAAAGCAAAGTTGACTTGTTGTTAGCTGCATCCCCACGCTGTGCGGAAATGTCAGGCAGTCCCCATTCAGTGGTCTCTTACTCCACTAAACCTCCCAAACAAGATGTTATATTTACCTTAGTATTATGTACTACTTATAGACTACATGAGTCTGAACATTAATTGTTGAGCAGTCAATAGAAAATAAATCCGCAAATAACTTAAATTTGGTCTTGACTTCAAGCTTTCGTGACCGCACGAATTCATATTCTTTGGGTCTTTCGGTAAATTCACGTAGACGACCGCTTGTGTTGCGGTAGAAACGTCGTAGTTTTTGTTTTTGTAATTTTCTTTGAACCTATCTACGTGACTTTACCGAAAGACCCAAAGAATAGTTAAATATGGTCTTCATGGAAATAATTCTGGTTTTGTTAAGAAAGTGGATATACAGTAAACCCTCTCAATGCGAGAGTTCTGGATGCACGAGTTTTGCAAATTCGGGAGTTACTAAATGTATACGAATTTCCTATTCGCGACCCACCGAACTCCGTTATTCACGAGTGTGCATAGTGTCAGACCACCGATACTGGGGAGGTGTGCGCAGAATGTGGTTACATTTGAATCTGTGAAGATTTGCCATTCCACCGAGGCTGCCCGATAGTCCTAAAGTCCTGCAGTAATCCCACTCTTGTGCATGTTTACTTTATACGTGCTACTTACAGCTGACTCGTTCATATATTTTTGTATAAACGAGTCGACTGTGAGGTCCATTCAAAAGAACGCTAATGCAATCAGGGAAAGCGTTGCGGTGAGCGCTCCCCAAAGTGCTAAAATGATAACTGTGCATTGTCATCAAACACTTACAACTCCCGAGGAGTCATCCTCCGAAATTTCTCACCATCACCACCACCTTCATCGTCGTCAAATGATGATCAAAGGTAATAAAACAACATATTGTTCTTTATAATTCATTACTTATTTATTGTAGAAATTGTTTTAAAACATTTTACCATTTCCCCCCTATGTATACTCGTACGAAGAACGTAACCCCATTTTTCCGCATTGCAATGAGGTTTCTGCATTCGCGAGCGTTTTCAAGAATGTAACCCTCGTGGATAGGGAAAGAGTTTACTATACCGGGTCAGCCCTGCCCTGTGAATTAGCCAGATACACTGAGGCCATAATCTTTGTGGGCGGCGGGGGCAAAGCAGCTGCTGCACTCACTGCGGGAGGCAAGCACGGCGCCCGTCAGGGCTCCGCTGGTGATCGAGTTCCACGGGTCCTCCTTGCCTCGCAGCTTCACCAGCCCACAGTCGATGGTGGAGAAGAGGCCACCCCACACTGCGAAGCTCCCTGAGGGCACGGTGGACACATTTTAGGCAGGCCTCCACTGTAAGCAGCCGTATAAACACAATACAATTTGGATCAATAGAGCGACCATATGTGACCCCTACTCGAGACAACACATGAAACACTCAATTGAGACTGAGCGAGTAGAATGTACCGCTGAGAAACATGCTAAAATACTTCGGAGCCTGTTTTATTGTCAGGAAAAATTGTATAATTACATAATCTGACTGGATTGCACTGAGGTTAGAGCCCTTGACTCACTTGGAAGGTTGTGAATGAATTACATTCCCAGCCAGATCTTGACTCGGCTTATCATCTCTCGATAAAAAAAAATCACTTGATGGAATTGTAATAGTGGTCTATGAGAGAGATAAGTGGTCGCCAATGGAATGTCAAGATTTCCAGCACTCGCTCATTTCACCGTCCCATTGCTCAACTGAGTATGCAGACACTTTAAAAATACATTTTCCTCCTTAAGGAAATTGAATGAATATATAAATTCGAATAAACAATTGCACAAATGTTTTGGTTGATTTCAACTGCCAGATAGACAAATTGTTTAACCTCTACCTTGAATGTGGCACTTAGGCAACCAATCACCTCTTCACTCTTATTGGATGTGGAAAACCTGAGCTTATTTTGCTAAAGGTTGGTCCTGCGATTACCAGATGAAACAGGCTGACATTGTATGCTGAGTGGCCGTAATATGACGTATCAAGAGAGGGCACTGTAATGCAATCGGAGGCAAGGGAAAACATGAACGTAGCAGCAGGTAAGGAAGTGGCCAATTCTTCCTATGGCGCTAATGTTTAATTGAGTTTTACATTTACGCATGGATTAGCATTTGGGTGCATGTGTTGGCCCTGTGAGTATTCTATTTAAAGAGCATGAGGGTAAACAAGCTCCTCCCTTGTCATTAAAGCAAATTTGTTGGCTGCCGATATAATACGGATTGAGTTCAAAATCCTGGGCATGGCTTGCATAGCATCCTAACCTGGCACTACGCTTAAACATCTGAATGTGTTGACATCTAACGTTTTGCCCTTAGCAAAGCAACAATAAGTTTGAGGATTTCATATTGCACACCCTCATTAGTCCAGTCCAGTCCATCGCGAATGCACACTAATCACACGTGTAAGTCTTTGGAACAACACTGTTTTAAGCCTACTGCAAAATTGGCTCAAGCTAATTTATACCCGATATTAAAAGGGGTCAGTACATTATCGTCTTGGTACAGCTCCTGCCAGATAGGTGCTGTGGCTCACAACTCACAATTAGAATGTTGCAGTTCTATGCTGTTTGGGGGCTTGTCCCAGCGTATCATTCCCGTGGGTTTATTAAATAAGTAAAATGTTGTCGTAAGTCAAGAATGTATCCCATGAAGTGACTGGCTCCCTCCTAACATCGCATTTTGTTATTTTCTGCCACTGGCTCCAAGCCATGAATAGAGATGAGCACATACCATGCTTGCCATTGTGGAGAAACACTTTTGACGACTGTGATTGGAGGGTGTTATAATGAAAAAGCCATTTACACTGAAAAATAACAGTCACACTAAAAAAAATGGTTTCATATTAAAATTATATTTGAGCAAGTTAACGTCCTTTCCAATATATGATAATTCCCATCCGCCCACCCTGAGACAAAACGTGGGACAGCTGGTGATTGGTCAGATGGTTTTGTGCATGCAAAAGGGTATATTCTGAAAACTAAAGAGTACCGTGGGCAGTGTACTGGCCATTACATTTTGCATAGGTTGTACAAAGAATGTTAAAGACAATTATGTGCTGCTGTTAAAAAGTCCAATCTGAATGAGTAGTGCAACAAACCGTGCCTCTCAACTAACCTCCAATCTGAGGAGCTCTCAGCTTCATGGCACTCATACTGCCTCGCATTCTCTGCCTCATACCCTGCACAAACACACAGGGCACAGCAACAACATTTAACATTTCAATGGTCATTTGCATAAATCGTAGGTCATCCCCATCATTTAATTACATTCACAGAAACTGCAGGCAATTACATTTTTTATGCTTAACTGACCAAAATGGTCATTATAGCAATTAGATATGTTTATCTTTACCATAAACTAAATACTCTTATTTACCAGGTAAGGCCCACGGAGCTATACAGCTCTTTTTCAGAAGGCACCTGGCTACAATTGATAGCTCAATCAAGTGGCTTATCATGTGGAAATGTAGAGCAACCAAACACTCTAAATGCGTTTTTCTAAATGTAGAGGGAAAAACCGGAGGCCCCGGAGAAAAAACCCAGCCCCACAGGGAGAACACGCAAACTCCAACTATACAGGAGGCAGGGTTGAGCCACGACCTCCTGTATAACAGGTGAGTTAGATAACATCTTGCCACTGAGGTGTGATAACCACAGGGAGCCTACTATCCTACTATGACAATTGAATGTTACCTTTGCTTTAGTATTCTAATGGCTCAATTGATGCAAATTGCTACAGCCCCCTGGTAATGTCACATCACCAATTTGCACTGTTGTGCTGTAAAGCACACCTACTTGTAGGACCCTGTGTCATATGCAACAGTAGATTATTGTATACTGGAGTGATGATATACGATGGATACCTTAAAAAAGGAATGCATAATTTATTTTTGAATCAATTTCTTATTTAACATTTCGGCAACGTACGGTGCATAAGAAGTTAAACATATACACATACTCTTTGGTTCTTTCGGGAAAGTCACGTAGGTATCAAATAAAATACGACGTTTCGGGCGCAACACAAGCGTCCATCATCAGATGGGAAAGCACCTGATGATGGATGCTTGTGTTGCGCCAGAAACGTCGTTATTTATTATATATGTTATACCTACGAAAGAGCCAAAGAGTATGGATTCCTGCAGTCACGAAAGCTTCAAATCAAGATACACACATACGTAGATATTTAATGGACCATCTTGAACATGTATACTCTTTAAACACTAGAGGGCAGTCTTTACTCGTCAACTCACACCTGACCGAGGCATTTGCGTGACATTCACTCACAACTCATATTCAAATGACACTCAACGCTCGCACGAACCAAACATGCATCCATCACCTTCAACCAGAAAATGTAATGTCAGATTTAATGCTTAAAGTGGCACAACTATATGAAGTGCATTGACGTGCTTTGCTCTTCAGGCAGCAAACTACTTAGTGCAATAAGCACTTGGTAAAGTGTTTTGCCTTTTTGTCAAAGAACATATAAAATACCATAGGTTCTTAAATTCCAGTCAGAATACACTCAACTATATTACACAAATATATTGCTCATGATCCCTTACTGAGTAATTGTTTTCAGGTCTCCCTGGAAAGTTATCTTTGTCACAACCGATCATTCGATTAAAAAGAAAGGAATGGACAATTTCATTGCAATGACAAAACCGACTGAAAAAAAAGCGTTCATGCATTCATTCATTGTTGCATGTATTCATCACCATCAATTCTTCATATGTGGGGTGGAAATGGAATGATCAAAACCGTGGAACATTGTGAGCAGCGTAGCAATTGTCTACGTTTGCGCTTTTCACCACCTGGTGCCCGCCACAAGGTCAGATCGTTCCGCAGGCAATCCTACTGTTTTGCCGAGGGACGGCACACGTACCACAGGCGCATTTCGGAAGCCCTTGATGCACTGAAAGATGCCTCCCCCGATGGCACCCATCGTGAAGGCCCCTCCGCAGTCATCCACGATCCGCCACGGGCTGCCGATGGCAGAAAACGTCACTCAAACACAGGCACGTGATGGCTGTAACGATGGCAAGGCAATGCGAGGCTAAGGACTGACATGTAAATAAATGCAGCGCTTACACCGTTGCATACAGTCAAATGTACTAAAGTTGTTTGAAATATTTGAATATTTGCCAAAAAAGAATCCAATACAATAGTTTGAACGTTTAAATTAGATAAACATTTCGACAGGAATTTTATGATGTAGCGTAACTATGGTGACAGTTTTATGAGCAGAGTTCACATATCCACATTCCTACAAATATCCTCAATAAAATATGCACATAGTGTACTATTTAAATTATAACTGGCAAACTTAAGACTTTGCATTGTTGCAAAGAAATTACTTTTTACGAATGGAAGCTGGTATACCTTAAGAACATTAACAATCCTCAGTTTGGCTAATGAAATGTGATGAATGCACTTAAAAAGTGATAAACTATAACGCAACTCACTCACATCTAACATACATAATTCGACTATAACTTATAATTTCAAGGTCATATACACTTTCAAGACCATGATCTTACTTTGATTTTGATATTTGATTGCCTTTTGCAAACTGGAAGTAAATATTCTGATGAGGCTGGTCCATGGAATTGAATCTGAAGCGTGAATTCTGGAAGTACGGTGATACAAAGTGATTTTTTGTATCTGCACCGGGAAGGTCAAGTTGGTTTTATCAAATCGCAGAATCGAGCCTTCAGGGGAAAACGACATCAAATTTTGCTCGGAGCCAAGTATTGGGGAAAAATATCTGATCAATGCAAAGCTGGGTCTGGAGACTTCAATGACACTAAGTTAATCCCCTTGCCATTTGGAAGCACAGTCTGTTAATCCGAGTTACGGCACATCCTGATTGCCACTGTCGACCCAATTGTACTGTTCCCTGTCCCCTGAAGGCTCTTGTCGTAAAGGAATTGTGGTGTGATTATAGTTTTTTTGGTCGGGGGAAGAGAATTTCAACACCGAGTGTCAGAGCAAATACGCACTGCTGGTGCTGAAAGATCCCACATTCTATTTTCACTTTGGTTCCCTGGTTCACTTATCTCATTGCCAAGGGATGGTATTATTTCCCTCGATGGAAAAGCTGCGCTTGAATTGATCATAAGTATATATGTTATACATGAACAACACATGGAGGTGAAATTCAATTCCAATGTGTGCAGGGATGCAGCACATGTCGAGCATTTAATGAATAGGCATGCACCTACGTGGCAGCAGGAGTCGACCAAGCATTATCTTTATATATTAGAAAAAGTTTGCTGGCTGGATTTCTAACTGAATTCTTGACTGGCGCATGGCCAAGTGTGCGGTGGTGACACCACCGTTCACATCTGCACGTAGACATCGCCTGCATCCCACAGTGTTGAGCCAGGTTCGTGCGTCGTGCTGATGTCACACCGCCCCCCGACCACCCTCCACACGAGCCGTGTATACCAAGCAAATTGAATAGAGGAGACAGAGGCAGGTGATGGAGGAAAATAGAGGAAGAGGTGGAGAGGAACACAGATGAGAGGGGAGGGGTGAAAGTGCAAGGGCATGAAACGGAGAGGACAAAAGAGAGAGAAAAATGGAAAGAGCGAGGGAAAGCGCCACGCCGTGGGAGGGAGGATTAGGGAGAGGCAATAGAGATTGAGATGGGAAAGGGGAAGCTAGGAATCAGGAGAGGTGAGAGAAAAAGGGAGAGATAGGGGGGAGGTAAGTGGATGAGGTACAGTGGAGGGAGGAGAGGAATACAGAGGGAGAGGTAGAGGGGACAGGAATAAACAGCTATAGAGACAAAGCCAGAAATCGAGATAAATTGGAATATACGGTGGATAGAGAGGGGACTGAATAAAAGATAAAAACAAGTTTTCCTGGCTAACTGGGAGGGATGTGGTCACAGCAATTCAAATTATTGAGCCATCTGCTGTTACAACCACACTTGCCAGTGGCATTGCTCAAATCACACTATGCTGGAAGCGTATCACGTTACACGAAAGCAGGTTATTTTTGCACCTTCACATCGAGCATGTGATGCACGTAAACACACAGCTGACAACAAAGGGTGTGCAAAAAAATCAAGACTCATGACGCTTATGTATCAATTTAAACTTTGCAAGTTATACATTTTTGGATATATCTTACCCATAGTTTTGAACGTCAAGTGACTGTACAACAAATGCAAGTATTTTTAATATTTGTTAAATGTTCCTATGATCACTATACACTTTTTTGTAATACTTCAATATTTTACTTAAATATGGAGGCTCAGAATGTATGTGCTATGAAGATGGGTCATTGCCCAAAACGTTGCATATTATATAGTTTCCTTTTAAGGCAGTGCTATTGACGAATGTCGTTTTCCGACAGCGAAGGTGTCTCACCAATCGAGATGAGCATCCCGTCCATTGCTCAGTTGAGCATGGACACACTCTGACCTTGAATATGTTTGGCTCGTGCTGTTACTGTGGTAAGCACTCCCACTCCCTGCTCTTGCATATTAAGTTCATTACACTTTAGACATTTGTGATTCACCTTGCCAACCGTTCAGTTTGTACTTAAAACCCCTAATTTGCAACAGTATTGACGATTGTATGTTGGGTTCTGGCCAAAGGCACGTTCTCGTCCGCATACAATTTATAAAAGTAGTAATAAAAAAGTGGCGGTCAACAGTCACAGTATATCAGTGTTTCAATCCTACTAACAAGAATTATCATTGTGTTTGCGGACGTGAAAATAGGGGTGTGGTTACATCATCTACTGGTCCAAAAATAACTTAAGTCTAGTCTCCTTGAGATTGGATTTTGACCGAAATATTCGCGAACACAAATTAGGTTAAAACTGATGCTTTACACACCATTAGCTTACAGTGCCTGATAGGGATATGCCTGCCTGCTTGTGTTCACAAGCAATTAAAAATACACAAGATACAAATTAAAAGCTATTTTGGTGTTCATGGTATATTGACCCACAGCCTAAACATGAACAGCATATCAGAATAATCATCCACACCAATTACTGACTTTATATCCCCCTATCCATAACTATAATGAATATGAAAATATCAAAGTTATTTTAAAATCAGTCATCAAATGTTGAGACTTTACTTTGCTAGAGGAATGGGGTTTTCCGATAGTGGCTCTCAGCTTCCAATCGGATTGGGTGCCAGCCCATAAAGTTTAGACTTTTTGAATTTAACATTCCCACAAACTATTTTAAGTGTTATACATAACTGCTAATGACTATTATAAACTACAATAATCAAAAGCCCCTTGTCTGCGATGCACCTGCATTCTATGTTTTAATAAATGTAATGTACTCTTTGTAATTTAGTCATGTAATGGATTTTCTGCCATCTTTTTTAAAACCCAATATGCACTTCGGAGTAATGGTTTTGCAGTTACAGCAATGTCCGACAATACCCAGGTTACGTACTGCCCAGTAATATCTGGGCTTCATTATTGTATAACCTGGAGATTGTCGAAATAACCATTGCGACAAGCTCTTGTCTTTTCATAGTGTGGCACAGATATTTTGCACAGCAAGCGGCAAACTCACCGCTCCACACTGTGTGTGTGAATGCAATTCCTATGGCATGAAATATTATTGTAGTCAATGTGTAATGTAAGACATTGAATGGCTGATGAAATGGCAAAGGTGAGAGTGAGGACGACCAACGTGGAGCTGATATGCACATGTGCAGGAGATAGTGCTATCGTAGGATCATGAAGGATGGTAAGAGTATAAGGAGGCCTTCATCCAGTAGTGGATAGAAAATGGCTGATGATGTGACAATGATCATGAATTAGAAGTACTGATCTCATATTGCTCGTAATGTACATGCTGCCAGTGTTAACAGCCAATTAGTAATAGTTGAACAAGTGTCATGATTTGCTTACCTTGGTGGTTTTATTTCTGAATCTAGAGGATGTACTAATTACGCGGAAGATAAAATGTCTGGGCATATTGGTGCAGGTAGTAAGATATAAAAGACAGCAAAAATAAATAAAAGTATACGTATGAAACCTGGGTAACAACGGCAGGGCTGTATGGACAACACACTTGTATGCTAAGAAAACAAGCTAATATTCTGCTAGTTACGGAAAACAGAGAAATAAGGTTTGACTGAAAAAGAAAGGGAGATATTAGACACAACTTTAAGATGGAATGAACCTCGTGGAAGACATGCGGAATGCAGACTTCTCCAGGATGGTCATGTCCGAACAATGCCACCAAACAAGAATGCAGCGAAAGAAGAAACATGGCAATGCTGGTAGAAGTAATTAGACTGAGGATGAACAAGAAATAGGTGGAATAGAGGGCCAGGAAGAGGTACTGTGATGGAGCAGCAACAGGGAAACATCAGCAACAGATGGGACAAGATCGTGGGTCGGCTGAATCAGAATATGTATTGACACTGGAGGAATCCGATGAGCTATGAAGCTTATTGTTTTATTTTTATTATTTTCCTTCAACGTGACTTTACCGAAAGAACCAAGAAGATGAATCCCTGCAGTCACGAAAGCTTTAAATCGAAATTTATGAAGCTTTTCTTAACAGAATTTCCAAACCCGCGGCTCTTTAAGGACTACTTCGGGACGTTCGTAATTAAGGGCCGTCTCGTATTCACCACACGCATTGCGGCACTTGAAAAATTGGACAGAAATGTCTCTCATCTTTGTTATTTCCATGTTGATCGCTCAGTGGAGGACTGCTGCGGGAACGTCATGGACCCGGACGCCTCCATAAAGGGGCTGGGACAGAGAGAGATTCGTAAAAGTACGACGCGGTCAACCATAGGGGTCGTCCATAAATGACGTCACGGGATTTTGGACGATTTTTGACCCCCCCCCCCCCTTCGTCACACGGCGTCACAAAAAGCCAGACCCCCTCAAATGACGTCACAAAGCTGACCCCCCCCCCCAAAATATATATATAAAACATGCCTCAAATCGCTTTAAACTATTGTCATTGTAGTGCGTATTTTATGTGGCGCTGCACTCTGTTGTAGGAGAAAACATTAAAAAGTCTATTTAAGTAGAACTTGTCTATATTTATTTAAAGTTGCGCATTTTGATGTGACGTCACATTTCTCACCCCCCCCCTCGTCACACATGTCTGACCCCCCTCGATGCGTGACGTCATTTATGGACGGTCCCTGATCATTGCCTTTACTTTTTTCCATTTGCGACTGCAACACAAAAACAACAATCCGACGAACAGCAATTACGCCACAGTGCGTTTCTTTTTCGATTTAAAGCTTTCGTGAATGCAGGGATTCATCTTCTTGGTTCTTTCGGTAAAGTCACGTAGAAGGGAAGTAATAAAATAATAAAAATAAAACATAATAAAACAATTCTCACGACGTTTCGGCCACAACGGCTGCTTGCGTTGTGGCCGAAACGTCGTGAGAATTGTTTTATGTTTTATTATTTTATTACTTCCCTTCTACGTGACTTTACCGAAAGAACCAAGAAGTGCGTTTCTTCTTTTAATTTGGATCGAAAACTAATTTCTTTAGAACTGCGTTGAGGCAACGGCTGGCTACGTACGGCGCGAAAGAAGTTCTTACACGCAACACTGGGCACGCGTTACAAACGTGACAACATGAAACAACGCTGACATCGACCGCACGCCGCTGAACTTGGCAATACTATCGACGGTATCGTAGCTACGACAGCAAGAACACTTAGAGAGAGAGAAACGCGTTGACATTCGCCACTCATTGTCACCGAATTATCCCCCAGCGTCTCATTTGGTACCCCACAGCGCTCAGTGCTGCAACGTGCGAGCGTTTGTTTTCATCGCGACGCGTTAACACGATCGTTGTTGTGTCTTTTTTTTAAACAATCGCCGCTGCTGTTGTTGTTGTTGTTGTGTTTGTCAAAAGTTTCCTCGTTACCACGGCTCCCTAGCGTACTCCTCCATGGCGGCCCTCACGTCGATTCCTCCTTCGCGATTCCCACACAGCGCGAACTTCGTTGAGGAATCGATTCCTTGTTCTGTGACCCTTAATTTGTCTAATTCTGTCTCCTTCGTTACAACGGCCCGCGTGTAATATAGGCATATAATTAGCGTATGTTGTATGCAAGATAAATTATCGATTTTTTTACGCGCACGAGTCTAGACATTGTATGGTGAGCTAAAGAATCGACTTGTTTTGGAATCGTTAAATCGATGTGGCTTGCCCACGGTGACGTCACGATCAGCTGAGCTTGGAGAAATCCGATGAGCTGTGAAGCTATTTCTCACAGATGTCCAGTACGGGCGGGTCACAAAGTTACAACAACAAACAATACAAACAAACAAAAACTATCAGCGTACAAAGTATGGGAAAGATAAGCTCATCACCAAATATAAATAAAGTATATAAGATCAAATTGCATCCAGCAGTGGATTGAACACGGCTGATAATCTCAGCAATGTCTGGGCTCATGCTGGGTGTGTTCGAGTTGGCTGTGAGAGTTTGACCCAATCTGGTGTTCAGTGGCCCTGAGTTGATGGCATGAATGTCGTGCTTCATCATGAATGTGCCATCAGGGTACATATGCAACTCGGAACACATTCCTGCGGAGGGAGCTGGTAGGAACGTCGGGTTGCTCGGTCAATGGCCAGGGTCAACGGCGGCGTGGTGTATTCCGCAAATATGCCCGACTGTGAGGGCGGGCACAAGCCGGCGTGAGTAGGTTAAACGTTGAGTTTCATAAGGGCACCACGGGGTGACCAGCCCCTCCCCACCCAGCCCCACCCCTCCCACCTCCCACCCAGCCCCACCCTCCCCACCCTCCCCACCCAGCCCCTCCCAACCCTCCCCACCCAGCCCCTCCCTCCCCACCCTCCCCTCCCCACCCAGCCCCTCCCCACCCTCACCTCTCCACCCAACCCCACCCCTCCCATTTTTGGATGCACGACGGACGGACGGACAACATAATCCCCTGTGGGCTGGTGGAACCAGGTGGTTCCTACCAGTATAAATATCAACGTTCATCCTGTACACTACACTATACACTACTACACACCTGTCAACCCCTTACCAGTCCCCCCTACCCAATTACAGACCAATTCAGACCTTATTGGTCACCCCGTGCCCTTATAAATATCAACGTTCATCCTACAAAGTCCCATCACAGGGGAGAAACACAAATAGACAAAAACACTTTTCGTTGTTGCCCCTATTGAAACGGCTGTATGCCATATGGACCTGAAAACGCAATCTCCCTGTACAAGATTACGGGATAAACCGTGATGGGTTGACACGTATAATGTTGAGTCAGGCAAAGGGAGTGGGATGTGGTTACACTCGTCTAAAACAATTCAACAAGCAAAATTAAAATCGGTTTTCATAACCACTCAATTTCCTCTACAGGGATGACTCAATTCGCAAACGCGTTTGCGAATTTCCCCGTACCGACCCCCCACATCCCTCTTTGCCCACGCGGCACCCGTAGCCAACCCCGTGGGGCCGAGTTGCCGAGGCGCAGCGCGGTTTTTCATCATCGACGCGGTTACTCTGCATCAGCGCAATGCCTCTCCCGCCCGCGTTACTGGCTCGCCTGGCCAAACGCGGCCTGCTCAAGAACGTGCTGTCAGGTGAGGCTGCAATTGCCCCCGCTGCTGGGGACGTGGCTTTTATTTTTTGGACGCAGGCCTTCACGGGGGTACCGGCCTCGGCTAGAAGGCCCTGCCGGTGGGGAGGCGACTTGGGGCCCAGCAGAAGAACCCCGACCCCCCCCCCCCATCTCCGTTGTCTTGCGGCGCCGTGTGATGTAGGGAAGAGCTCAGTGTTGGATTAATCCAGCGTGGTCCTCAACCCCCGTCAGGCTACGGTTTGGATACCGTGCAGGATAAATTACGAATGCAGGGGTCAAGTAGCCTGTAGGCTTACTCAATGGAGTGTCACGACACCAGATCCTGCACTCGATCAATACTAAGCAGCATATGGAGTTATCATACTGACTTCTCAACACGTTTATGCAGCGAGTGCCGCTATTGTATATATATAACATTTCTGGACTTTCTAACAATGCAGCACATACTGCTACTTTTTTAAGCTTTAACCTATGGCGGATTTTGTCTCTCGTCCAAAAACAGGAGGGGGTGCAGGGAGGGATCGGTGGTCTTGATTGTTGATTGGGGACTAAAAGGTTGAGAGCTGCTGATTAAATCAATGGGAACACACGCTGCTGATGAGACGTTACAACCTTTCTCTAATCAAGAAACGTATTAATTTGTATTCACCGCACCTTTAATATTTCGCTCTGTTTCTTGTCACTAAGGGTTTAGAGCAGCGGTCGGGAACCTATGGCTCGCGAGCCATATATGGCTCTTCTGGTGACGGCATATGGCTCCCAGACAATTTTGAGTTGAAAAAAATAATAATAAAATAAAAATAAAATCAGTTTGGAACTGATTTTAAAATACTTGTGATATTGCTTAATAATACTGTGTCATTTTAAAGTAAACAGAAATTAGTTTTGAAGATAAAATTTCTCGGGTCACGGGTCCCGTGACCAGAAATCGCATTAAAAGTAAGACATTTAATTTATTATACGTTAAAAATACTATATGGCTCTCAATGAAATATATTTAGAAATATTTGGCTTTTATGGCTCTCCCAGTCAAAAAGGTTCCCGACCCCTGGTTTAGAGCCTTTAGCCTGTGCTCAGCATGCGTGATTTTTAAACATCACTGCAGATGGCATTTTTTTATGATGGGACAAAACTATGTTGACGCAAAAAGAAGTGGTTAAAAGTTGACTGTCAAAAGAATAACTTTTAATCGGTAACACCAGATAAAGTAATTTGGTATTAGCATGGCTGGTTTCTATAAAGGAATCATGGCAGTTGATTAAGAGTAATGGAAGTCAATGAATGTAAAGTATCCGAGGTGACATCCACTGAGAATATTGAGTGATGTTGAGATGGTAACGATGTAATGATAATAATTTACAGTTTTTCAAATCCACTATGGGATGAAGAACTTGCGCTTTATAAGTTAAGGGGGTTTATTTAATCATTCACCATCAGCTATCAAGCTGCCGAAAACCACTTTTGCACTTTTTATTGGTAGGAATTTGTCAAAATTTGTGCTGAAAATCTGGGCCAAATTTTATATTTAGTAATTGGACACATTTTTTCACTCGCTCAGTGACTTATTTGATGACGTCTCTGTATTGTGTAGTTTCTGAATATTAAGCGTATTGTATGTTTTGTTTATAGAAGCAGATGAAGAAATTATAGCAGAAGATTACGATGAAAATGAAATTGATTATGAATCTACAAAGAATGAAAACTTACCACTCAACTGGTACAAAGTAGTTGACCCAGACAGGTAATTATATTCGTTCTCTTACCATAATACTATTTATTGCTATAAAATACCTCCTTAATATTAATATTGGTGATAAGCTGTTGCCATGACACTGGTAGATAAGTTCTGCTTGTGTAATTAACAACGATACTGTGCATTTCACATTTCCATGCAATATTGGCTAATTACAGATGCAAACACTAGAGGCAGCATTAGCATTATTGCACAAGCACAACAACAAATGTTACATTCATAATTAAGATTTCCTTTGAAAAGCAAATAATAATACACTGATATTTTATGCTATTGGAGCATATGTTTCTTATAAGGAAGTGGTAATGATGAACACGGAGATTGTTTATTTGATTTTAATTACTCTTATGCTCTTGCGTAGACTTAATATACATCTTCCTTTCATTGCATCCATTTGTTTTACATTGAATAATCTTGAAATACATTTATAGGGTACATTTCCAAATTTTTGGCTCTGGCATTGGAAAATAATGAACTAATAATTGATGTGACATAGTCTTTACATCCACTTTAGGGTAGTAGTAGTAGTAGTTTTACAAGTGCATAACTACTAAGCATATACTTTCTGAAGGCATAGACTTATACATTTTGCAATGTCTTTTTATTGGCAACTCTTGTATATACCAGAGTTATATATAAAACGTACTAATATATATAACGTGTAAAAACCCTACATTATTTCAACAGCATTCCCAATTGCGTCTTGTATCGTGTCCTATGGCAAAGTGTATGTAAATTACCCAAAAACATATCGGGCAAACTGTTTGTTCAATACTTTCGTAAACAACCATTAACAACAGCCAGGATTGCTGATTGGCTTTTTCCATTAACGCTCTCTCTATCGTTTATAATGAAGACATGCTGATAAAAAGACATGTACGTGTGTGCGTTTATACTAATGGGTGTGAACTTGTGCAGCCGCTTGCCGTACTACTGGAACGCGGAGACCGATATGGTGTCGTGGCTGGCCCCGGCAGACCCCCTGGCAGTTATCACCAAGGCAGCCAAAAAGATTCCAGGCGATTGGTTGAGTATTGCATTGCCTACACTCTGCATGCACGCACGGTTATTACCCTTTTGTCAAGGAACACAATCAAACTGAAAGAAAACTTATTATTAATTCTAAAAAGCCACAGGCACATTGTTAAAATGTAGAATAATACATTTTTGTAGGTTAATATATTTTTTTATATATAAATGGAACTGACTTTCCTATAAAGAGTATTGAATCTGAAATTCACAATGAAGAGCAATGTAAGTGTACACATTTTAATTTCGTTTAGGGAGTAATTTTTTATAATAAATAGAAAATTATTTAGGAAGTTCAATGCTACCTTAATTTTTACTCCAGTATTTATTAGCGAATAGTTTTTAAATTGTAGTATGGTAGTTCCACACTATGTACATGTTATTTACTGCTGTGAAATATTTGGATGAGGTATTCTACAATTATATGTTAATTGTGCTGTTGGCATGTATACACAGTCCACATTTTTTTCCACTCAGTATATTGTTGCTAGAATATAGCCACATAATTTCTAATGACCAGAGATAATGTCACATGCATTTCCAGTCTTATACAGTCGTTCATCTCTACAGATTAATGAGTCATTTTCTCGTAATAAGCTCAAACCCAAACCGAGTAAAACCCAAATCTGTGCCGCCTTACACCTGAGAAACTGGGACTGTAGAGCGACACCTCAATGTCACCTGGGGAGACTAGAGCCTCGAACACTAGTGTCACCCAGTGTACCTCGGGGTAACACTGGATCGTATACTCAGCTACAAAAAGCACACTTTAAATACCAAAGCCAAGGTGCAACATACGAAACAACATTCTGCGAAAGCTCGCAAATTCAAAGTAGGGAGCACATTCATCCACTCTACGTACCACTGCCTTAGCACTTTGTTTCTCTGTGGCTGAATATGCATACTCTACCTGGGGATGCTCAACTCACAGTAAACATGTCGATACCACCCTAAATGACACGTGCATAATCATATCAGGGTGCCTGAGAGGCCACCCATTTTCCCTGCCTGTATGCACAATCTGGTATAGCGTCCTCTAACATCAGGAGTAGGGTAGCAGATGACCACGAACAGAAAGTCATGGGGTGGGACGTCCGTCATCCGCTACATGGCCATCAGCCAGCACACTATCATCTGTCATTGAGAAACAGCTTATTGTGCTCCACTGTACCACTGACCACATCACTGGAATCTGCCAGAACTTCCCTCTGGCAAAAAGAATTGGAAAAAGCAGTATTGTTACTCACGCGTACAACTCAAAAACAGCGCACTATCAGAGTATTGAGCTTTCAATACTCTGATAGTGCGCTGTATTGAGCTCTCAATACTCTGATAGTGCGCTGTTTTTGAGTTGTACGCCTTTCGGCGTCATCTGGTCCAACACCAATGGAGACTAGGCTCTAAGAAAAGCTGTCTCGGATGTGGATCAATCAACTTCAAGGACAGTGCATATCATTATCAGAGTTGTTTCTTGTTGTTTGCATCTTGACTGCATGTGTTGTGGTTATTGGCAAACATGATCCCTTGTATAAAGGTGTCAGTTTTTGTACCAGATGAAAGGGTAAAAACCTATTACTATATTTTGCCACTGGTAAAGGAGGTCTCATAGTGTAAAATCTGGTAGTCTGTTTGCTTCGGGTAAGTGATCTGTAATTTTGGTCACTACACAAGTATTCAGCTACGAATAAAAATAAACATGTAGACTACTATCTCTATCCTGATTCTATTTTCCATATCGGTGCATACCCAAGCACATTGTTGGCCTTACCACTGATTCGTCTTTCTGCCTTAACAAGCCAATTGATTCAGATGGGCAGCCAGCTCCAATAATGTACAATTCCTTAAAAAGGAATGCCTACCCTAGGAACCACGTGTCACTGTTTCATAATGATCTATGCCAGCCTGGTTTCCAGTTAAATGGAAGTTTTTCATCAATGCCATGTGACCTCCACTATAACGAAGCATTTCGCACCACGTCTCACCCCTTTGCGTTGCTTTTCATTGTTGAATTTATAATTTCCTGAAATGTTTTTTTATTGTGTTCAACTCCACGCTGGACCGTTTCACTTTGCTATCCTGCAATTGTCGGTACTCAAATTCAGAGTTCAAGATCACATTTAATAAAAGTGTAAATATGTTCTGTAATATTTGGACTTGATATCTGCACTGTAATATGAGTGCTTATTTAGCATGATATTTGCTACTTTATAATCATAGTTTTTCGTTGAGCAGTTAACGAAATTACAGTTAGTTTCGAAGCTAGTCTTCCTCAAATTTGAGCGGCTAATTAGGAAATAGCTGGCAAAAATATATTTCACACAATTAGAATGTCTGGGGCCGCCGAGTAGGTTAATCACATCCTCACAATTTCATGGTTATCGCCACACAAAGGCATATGTGAATAATCTCACGTGATCTGTATCGTTATTTTTACAGCAGGTTGGTATGCCCTTTAGTAAATATTTCCAGTTATTACTGATGGGCTGCAGAAATTGAATGAATAACTGTTGACCTACTCAGTAGATGGATCACCATCCACTATATAACTCTGATAACCTGAAATAAATGAATGAACACAAGCAAACAATTCGGTTGAATTCCATGTTCTTATGTTTGTTCTGGGGATGACCAATGGTTGCATCTCAGAAAATAATTGGTTTATCTACCCCATAGGGATAATTGCACTAGTTGACCCGCAACTGGGCTTTGAAATGAAACTTCTGACTCAAACTAGTATGCTTTTCTCGCTCACCACTAATTTGAGTCTAAAAATTCAAGTTATTCATCGTCAATTCAACTTAATATCTAGTCAAGCACACTTTCGCTTGGCCAGTTATTAAATTAAATTTTTATTTTTGACCCACAAAGATACTTGGGGATAAGAAATATCATATAACCTGTAGACACTGAATTTATTACACTGATCCATTCCAAAGCAGTTAATGTCTATCCCCTTGACCCATTGGAGGATTAAGTGTAGTACAGAAATTGTGCTTTTTTCCAATGTAGTTTAATCATTTAATGACATTAATTAGTCTTTGATATAAAATTATTTAAATATCCTGTCATATATTAATAGAAACTCAAGCACATAGCATGGGAAATAATTGACCCTAATCCTTTTAATCCATTCGAGCCTCTCAAATCACATAGTTTGTCTCCTAATTTTTCATATGCCCGGTTCCTCTTTCCTTGATGATGTACTCTAATATGCCCGCTTTAATGACCTTTGTGTGTTAAGTGGTATTAATTTATCATAGCCAAAATGAAACATGATGTGCGCTCCTCATTTATGAAAGTTAGATTTTTTTTTTAGCTTGGCACTATAAATAAGGCGGATACCTCATTCATCTGTTGCACGAGGAGCAGTATCAGTGGTTTTGTCCACTTTGCTTTGAACCCAGCCACCTGAGTTAGATTCCATGGCTTGCAATATCTGAACCTGTCCTGACCTCCCCTTCACTAACTCACACTAACCTTGGTGAAGTCTGGTCAAAGAAACTCCCATTATGAACAGAGCATGCGGAGGTCTTAATTCAGCAGTGGATTGATAAATGGCTTTTAATTATAAGATGGTAAGCATAAAACAATTATATCTAATCTAGTTAATAATACTCATTTAATTGGATGCAATTACTACCGTAAACACTTGAATAAGTACATTTGAGAGAATAGCGATAGACATTAACAGGTACCAGTAAATTTCCATTAAACCTTATTCATCTCTCTATATACGTAGTGAAACACAATCCTTGTGAAGATATTACCTCGTGTATAAAGGAATTGGCACCACAAGAGGGAACTACAGGGATGAGACTCCAGTCTTATGGTGCTGAATATGAACGCTAACAGCACCAATACATGGATGAAGCCCTAACCCTACAGCTCGTGGGTGTGATGTGAGTGCGATCAGTGGACAGACACCTGGCTGTCGGTTAAGGGCAGTTAAGGTAGTTAAACAAAATATTGAAAATGTTACCGTTTTTTTTATCTTACCGGAAATGGCCCATTGAGCTATGTAGCTCTTTTTCAGAAGCAACCTTGCCACAAATGATAGCTCAACGAAGTGGCTTACCGTGTGAAAATGTATAGCTGCCAAATACTCTAAAACGCATGTTTCATACTGTGGAGGGAAAAACCGGAGGACCCGGAGAAAAATCCACACGAACACAGGGAGAACATGCAAACTCCAGATATATAGGCGTCGGGGTTGGGATCGAACCCATGACCTCCTGTATACCAGGCAAGAGAGATGGCATTTCGCCACCGCGGCATCCAGGGGGCCAAGGGCAGTGAAGGGAGTTAAATTAATTGAAGGGCAGATAAAAAGGAGTGGAAGGGCAGTGAGAGTTCAGTTAAGCCAATATATGCAAATTGCCAATGCTGTGCACTGCTTGGAATTAAACCTGCGTAACCTGGATTGTAATGTCTTACGTGGACCACTTTTTATACCACTTGGCTAACACTCGAGTGCACACATACAACATCTGCCATTCTTGACTAAGTGTCAGTGATGCCAGGATGGAAATCGTGCTAAGTTATTTGCACGTGGCTTGGCAAAGGCCTCCTGACAGGTCACAAAACAAATCCAGCTATTTTGGGCAAACAGACTTCATTGATTGATGGATGCGCTACCCATTCTACCAAATGTCTATACGGTAGACACAGTTGTGAGCATTGCTTTGCTGCCTTGTATTGCTGATTTATGATTGCCATCATTGGCTGTTAATTAGTGTAAGTCATGTCCCTCCTACACAGTCAAACCCACGAGTGGCAGAAAGTGGTAAGTCCACTCTACACCAGTTCCTCCTATACTAAATCAGTCCATCTCTTCTCTTGCCTGTGCCTACTTGTCACCGAGTCTTTAATGTCACCAACAATATTACAGACTAATCAGACTTTGAACCGTGTGCAAACTGGGCTGGTTATTATCTTTCTTGGCCCGTGTTCTCCATTATAGGCTTGATTGTGATTCAACGGTGCTAATATTTGTTGCAGAGGAGAAGAAGGAGGAGGTGGTAGCGATGACTGCTCTTGTGGAGGCACAAGAACGGTCGTCACTGCTCGACTTGGACAGCAGGGACGAGATTCCGAGAGCTGCCAGAGATCGACGACTCCAGCGGAGGGAGGAGGCCGCCCCCTACCAGAAAGGCAAACGTGGTGAGGCTTTGCTGGCACGGTAAACTTCATTTCCCGTGACTCCCCATCCCTCCCCACATTACTCTCACACACCACTCACGGTGTACTGTTAGGGTTCTCAACCCTTGTAATGCAGCAATATCATGTCCCTGTGGTGTAAATTTTACATTCTCGTGATGGTCGCCACCAGTAATTCAGTACGACCGCCTTTGTTATCTTCTCGCAATATGGTACTCACTTTATCAACACTGGATCAATGGTAGACTTAAGTCGATCCCTGACAGGGATTTGAACTTCCAACCTTCCAATTGGGAGTCAAGTGCTCAGCCACGGTGCCACACACCCGGATAGCATTAAGAGTCGTGCAATACATTTCATCATTTCAAACATTTTCCCCAATGCCTTCTGATTATGCACACACATTTTGAAAATAGCCTGGTGTGAGTTGTTAGAAAAAACCATTCCAGTTCCGTCAATGGACTGCATGGAAATCATGAAGCACGAACATTTGGTTAAATATTAATATTTTATTATTCACATTTGATGGTGTTGCAGGTCGGGATAAAAAAGAAAAGGAAGAGCTGGATCCAATGGATCCCAGTGCTTACTCGGACGCTCCACGGTAAGATCCTCAGTGCAATCAATGTTTCGAAAAGCAACTTCACAGCGACACACCCTACCTTAAATTTTGCTGTGGATTTCACACCTGATGATGATTGCTTGTGTTGCAGTCGAAACGTCGTGAGAATTTTTATTGTTTTATATTTATATTATTTTATTATTTCCCTTCTACGTGACTTTACCGAAAAAACCAAGAATATGAATCTCTGCAGTTACGAAAGCTTTAAATCAAAATGTACACCCTACCTTGTACCCAACGATGTCGTCATCATCATTAGCCATGATCTTTGACCAGCTATTTGGCTACTATAAAGTTCCGCATAAGCCACTTCGTTGAGCTATGATTTGTGGCCAGGTCACTTAGAGCTATATAGCTTTTTTTGCTCCCGATGCCAATATGATACAATCCTTCTCGCTCCGGCATTTGAGCCAATGTCATCACTCCATCTCCACGGTAGCCATCCTCTTGGGTGTGTTCTCTCCTTTGGCGGCCGTTCATTCACAAATCTTCCCCATCAGCCAACGTTCCTTCTTTAGCAATGTCCTGCACAAACTCACTAACTCTCAAAATTGCAATACAATGTCTGGTAATGTCCACTGTTCCCCGATCCACACATTTATCTTGCCACCTCTCAGGGTAATCCCAAGCATGCTCCCCTCTCCATGCTTCTTTGTGTAATTTTCAGATTTTTTGTTCAGTATCAATGTTTATGATCCTTGCAATATACAATTTAGGAGTTGGAAAAAGGAGATGTGCTCTCAACAAGGCTATTCACAGTGACATTATAAGATGGCAAACTTACTGTGCGACAGTGTGTTAACCACTTCACCTTGGCTGACAACACAGTCCTCGTAGTAAGCTATGAACTACAGGGTACGATTGAAGAATGTAACAAAGAAGGCTGCAAATTTGTGCTCAAGACAAATGAGTGAACCCAAAGTGATGTACATAAAGTAGAGGCCGACCGAAATTCGGTTTCGGCGCCGAAAGTTGGCAAATGGCCTCTTTCGGCATACTTTCGATTTCGGCCGAAACTCAATTTTTAACTTTCGGTTTCAGCTGAAAGTAAATTTTTTACTTTCGGTCTGGTTTCAGTTTCGGCCGAAACTGATATTGACTTTTAGTCGTCATTCGTCAACCGAAGATCTATTTTTAGAATATACGCTCGTGCTACGTCTATCACTGCCTATCGGCCGGTCAGTCGGCGCTAGGCAATCCTTTGCGATAGGCTGCAAACACACACACGTCAGCAGCAGCAGCTTGGGAGCAAGGTTACAGCCGCAACCATGGTCTGCTAATGTATATACGACCGATCAACAGATGGCAGCCTGCATCTCCATCCGTGGGTGGAGCCTCTTTGGCGGGACGACAACAAAGTGCCTCTGTTGTCTGTTCCCAGCCGCCTGCCCGCCTTGGCTTATGTGTTTTGCGTTCGCTTCAGTCTACACGCGTGTTGATACCGAGATTGGAAATTCGGTTTCGGCGCTGAAAGTTGGCAAATGGCCTCTTTCGGCATAGTTTCTGTTTCGGCCGAAGCCAAAAAGTTAACTTTCGGTTTCGGCCGAAAGAAAATTTGTAACTTTCGGTTTACCAGAAATTCAGTTTCAGTTGGCCTCTAACACAAAGGTTGCTATACAATGCTTGAGCAATTTATTGGGATCAAAATTCTAAAATGAAGGGGGGGAACAAGAGCAGGAATGGAGTGCTTTTGGAAAACCAAAAAATGCAACATACTAATATTCATATTACCTGCTATGTCATATCAATCAGGAACATGGACACTCACAACAATATGTAGGATGTCAAAATCAAAAGCCAACAAGGGGGAATGGCAATATATTTCGTGCTTCATTATAATCACACAGAAACAAAACCAATACCATTGTCTTTCCACCCTTGAATAAAAGACGATAGGCTGTTAATATAATTTTTTCTGCGTCAGTCATGGGAGTTGTTTGACTCTACTTGACCACACTGGTCAGTGCAGGTTGGTGAACTGGGTGCCCATGATCAGTTCAGATATCACTCGTCACTGTTGTTGGCTATGGCTGGGTATCGAACTCAGGTCGTCGGGATCATAGCGCATTGCTTTACCCACCGTGCCACCGTTCTCCCATCCCAAGGGGCTCTTAGCTGTGAGTAACTAAAGGACTTGTATGAAAGATATATGTGGCGGCTGTTTTGTAGATTAATCAGTGTTTATTTTTGTTAAATATAAATTGTGTAAATAGAAAATCGATTGCGAACATAATTTATACGTGTGATAAAACGATCTGCATTGTCGTAATCTTTTACTTAATGAAACGGGGAAGCTACATAATGCAATGAATGCATGTAGTCAATATTATAAAGAACATTTGCGCAAGCTCATACATTTTGCTCAATCTGTTTTTGCTGCCCACGTCAGTTACTGAACACATGAGTAGGAAATAGGTGTATAAATAATGTGCAAAAAAATATTTGACTTCTTATCAAATGGCAGCACTACAATACCAACCCTGACGCCTGTATATTTGGAGTTTGCATGTTCTCCCCGTGGCCGTGTGGATTTTCTCCGAGTGCTCCGTTTTTTCCCTGCTGTATCTTTCCACGTGATGACGATTGCTTGTGTTGCGATCGAAACGTCGTGATTTATTATGAATTTTTCTACCTACGTGACTTGACCGATAGAGTATTTGGCTGCTATGAATTTCCACATGATAAGCCACTTGTTTGTTGACCTATCATTTGTGACAGCCGGGTCGCTTCTGAAAAAGAGCTACATAGCTCAGTGGGCCTTACCTGGTAAAATAAAAAATAGTTTAGTTTGTGTTGGTGCTATTCAAGGCAACATGAAAACCCATTTTTTTTATTTTCAGCACGGCGCGTGTTCGACGCTTTTGTTTGCTTCAGCTAACGATGCCTCCCACGGAGAAGGCGCTTCAATTATTTTTCGTAGAAACAGTGCGCTGTGCTTATAATTGAAAGGACTGATTAAATAGGTGAAAAAATTGTTGCATTGATTTTTTTTCCCAAGATGCCATAGAAATAGCAATTCTGCCACGTATTTTAAATGCTTTGCAAATGCATTATTAGTATACTCACTAGCGGTTCCTAGCTGATGAGATGTTAACGGAATGCGAGACAGCATTATGCTGTGTTTAAACATGTCACGCTCCAACGTGCAGCTGTAAAAGAGACCTACATTTATTTTGGCACGCTAGGCGTAAAAAATATATATTTAAAGAAGTTTGTAATATGTGTATTGTTTTTACATTTTCCTTGATGTGCAATTAATGTAAAACGTGGATTATTTTAAAACGCTACATGCTTATTTTGCTGGTCTTACAAGCACTTAATTACCAGAGCGTAAATGTGAATGAGGCAAGTGTATTTCACTTTGTCATGGTGCATTCATTTTGTGATAAAATATAACCGTGTGTTGGAAACTATTCCCTGGAAATGATATTCCAAGTTATTGCAGCTGTATAGGCCTCATCGTCAGAGGCTAAACTAAAAGTGGAAAGGTTGGACGTTTAAATCCTACTCAGGGTACTACTTGGCCCATTATCTTTCCATGGTTGATAAAATATGTACCACTGTGAGGATAGCACGCTAACTATCCCTGCCATAGAAATGTGACATTTTCCCCAATGGCCCAGGACTGTCAGTAGAGATAAGTCCCTTAAAGGTTTTTAAATGTTGGTTCAATCGATGGGTTGTGATCGGATTGTATTGAATTGCACCCCATCGATCGCAAGCTGTGTTTTAAACATGCAATACAATCGAGTGCCACAGTCGGTGGTAGGGAATTGGGAAAACTAAAAAAGACATACACAAGCATGTATATACACATTCACATGCATTCACATGTGAGCATATACACACGCAAAAATAACAACACTAAATAGCGGCGACATCACCACAACGCTTGTGCTAGGCTAGGTGCACTTTGAGGCCATGTGAAGTGTCAAAGGCTTATTGAGAGGAGGCCAAGGGTTATGGGTTGATTGACTGAGATCCGATGCACCATCTGTGCTCTTTGCTGTGTCACCCTGCTGTGTTTTATCCGCAAGTTGGCACACGTATCCACACACACACACAAAGTGCATGCATACATCCACACGCTTGCTTGTACACACATGCATATAAACTTGCACGCAAAAAGATCCCCCCATACAGCTATACATACTGTTGGGGCAGTTACTGTTAGCGAGCATGGCATGTGAGCGGATGGTGTTGCCAGCACCACACAAGACCACCTTTGTCTTCCTCATCTTGCCACCATGGGGCGCCACGGTTGCGAGATGTTAACTACCCCCCCCTTGCGATATAGAAGGCCGTGGGTTCGATCCTGACCCTGATGCCTGTATATTTGGAGTTTTCATGTTCTCCCCATGGTCGCGTGGATTTTTCTCCGGGTCCTTTGGGTTTTCCCTCCACATTTAGAAACATGCATTTCGAGTATTTGGCTGCTGTAAATTTCCACATGATAAGCCACTTCGTTGAGCTATTATTTGTGGCCAGGTCGCTTCTGAAGAATACCTATATAACTCAGTGGGCCTTACCTGGTGAAATAAAAAATAGTTTAAATGTTTACACATTGCACCAGGTACAATGTGTAAACATTTAATAGGTTAAATGTTTAATAGTTTAATTGTTTACACATTGCGCCAGGTACTCGTGTAAGTCTTGATGTGTTCCTCCTCCTCCTGCCCTTTAGCGGTAACTGGAGCGCTGGGCTCCAGAGGAAAGGGGACGCCAAGACAGGAGCAGACACCACCGCGTCGGGGCCACTCTTCCAGCAGCGGCCGTACCCCAGCCCGGGCGCCGTGCTGCGTGCCAACGCAGAGGCGGCAGTCGCGGAACAAGGCCGCCTGAGCACACCCCCCCCCCTGTGCAGCGGGACGCTGTCACCCCGCCGCAGGTCCCCTCGCTCGCCTCTCGAGTTGTGCCGCGAAGCTTCCGGGCGTGGCAGCGTTCACGGGTTCGGGCTGCTGCGTGTCGAGCGTTTTGTTCGCTCGCGCTATTTTTTTTTCCCACTCGTGCTGCTGCTGCTGCTGTTGCTGCTGCCGCCGCGATCGCTGTCGCCGGAACCCCACCGCCGCCTCGTTACGCAGTGCTGGCGGAAAGCAGTCCGTAGCCAAAGGTCGAGAAGAAAGAAATGCTCAAGACGCAGGCTGACCCGGACAGCATCTGTGAAAAAGAGCTTCATAGCTCAACGGATTTCTCCAGGATAAATAAAGATTCCGATTCTGGCTGCGAAAACTCGCGCGTTACATCGACATTGACAAACCCGAGCGTCGTTGCCATTAAACTCTTTGTGGTGGTCAATCACTGCATGGAGAATTGGCTAGAGGATTTTTTTATCGGTTGGCTGTTTTTTTTCTTTGTAAAGTATGAGTTTTTTCATGATAAAAATTACATTTGTGCATATATTTTTTTATCTTTAGAGTCGGGAGGTGGGGGAAATTGAGTGAATATTTCAAATCTAGTTTGGGATTTCCTGTAACGTATGTTGCACTGTGAAACTCCTGCATGCAGCAGATTTGTCATACATACAAGTAGAGAAAACTAAGTTTAACACAATATGAAGAAGTTCCAGCTCTAAACGTATTTTAAACGTGCTAAACAATAAAAACAGCATCAAATGTATATATTAGGAACTGTTTTGGCAATAAAAAAAATCCTTCATACATTTGTTTTTTTGTGAATGTGTTTTGTTATGGAATAGATTTTGTTTTACCAAAGCAAGGATATGTTGCAAGGATGATAGGCTGGAGTTTGAACCATGATGCAGATTGTATCTTTACTCTAGTAGTCGTGTACTAGGACCACGACACCACCCAGCCAGATCTGATTTGTATCAGTGCATGATAATTAGAACTGGTTGGTGTGTGTGCTCAGAATTTGATTTGTTGTGTTATGTACAAGGGCGGTACAAAAAGTTCTAGGCCTGATCTAAAAGGAAGCGGCAGAGAGCATTTGTTCTTGCAGCTGCTTATTTTACATGTTGAGTATACTCAGGCCACCAGGGAATGATGTTATGTATAAGTTTGTTACTTATTTGTGCAATACTGCAAGTAGACCATAACGGCTTCTGAAAATCAGAAACTCAAGCATCGTACTGTTTGAATTTTGTAGCCAGGGAAAGTAAACCCAAAGAAATGTTAAGAATGCGCGGCTCTGGGTCATCTTATGTTGGCCTGATTTTGTCGAATAGGGTAACAAGAAAAGTGTAACAGGTGATGTAAAAAATGAATGATAAAATATATTTGAAAGAAAGCACCACGCACAGCTCGCTCACACCCACCATACATACATGAAATAAATACTGAGAGGTGAGGTAGACAGAGAGGCACAGAGATGAAGTCAAGCAGATAAAGACGCTGGGTTCACACTCAGGAGCGTCTGGACCAAGCTGGATGTGCGCACACGAGGCCCACACCAACCACCGTACAAACGAGGCTGTTCCATTCTGTTGAAACAAATACGTAAAAAGTAGTACAGGATTTGGCTTCGAGTCAACAATGTCTAGATAATGTATGAGCAGTATTTATCTGAATATCAAAAAGTGCCCTTCGGTGCACACCATATAATAGTTCAGACATTTTGTATTTATCCTTAACTACCTGTTATATTTACCATCATATAATAGTTCACAGACGTTTTGTGTTTATCCTTAGCTACCTGTTACATTTACCCTCCATATTTTTTTCAAGGTTGAACTTCGAAATATCCATCACGTACTCACGTTTTACAGCGGTACATGTGGCAGATTTAGAATGTGTCTACAGCAGTTGAGGCACATTGCAGTGTATGCTGATGTATTAAAAACACTGCACACGACCCATATATATTTTTACAACGAGTCCTTTGTGGTTTTTCTGCTGACCTTACACGCCAAGGTGCTCGCGAACAAAATCTTATCGCGTACCGAGCCACTTTAGGTTGAAAGCGCTTTCATGAGAGCATATTTCTGGCCGTGGCGCGCACACATCACGGAGTCTTACGTAGCCATTTCCCGGCCAATCACAAACTATGTCGCGTCTTAAGTTCCCCACGGATCATAGAAAAAGTGTGGCAATGCGCTTGCAATCTGCGCAATATGTTGCTTTTACACAAGCATGTATAATGGTGGGGAAAAAACCCCCACGTTTCCACCACTTGTCAGGATATTTCAGTATGTCAGGGAATAGAAATCAATCGAAGCTTGTATCGTCGATGTCAAATTGTGATTGCAGCGTTGTGTCTCGGCAACCTCACAAGGTCCGACTGCCGAGGTGCCCGCGGTTGTGCTGCTGTGCGTTTCGGGTTGTGCCGCGTGTTGCTCGGCACGATGTTCCAAGCCCGTGGTCGGAGTTTTCCTCCAGACGCTGCGAGCTTCTTCCCCCACGTTCTGCAGAGAAGCTCTCGCGAAAGGGACAACAACAAAACAACTGCAAATTATACCCCTGAAACCGTGTTCTTAACGGGGCCTGTGAAAGCAGCAGCCGGGGTTTGAGATCTAATATGACGCAACATCATGGCACACAGTGCCGAATTCTCCTCGTAATAAAAGTAGCTACATATGCTACGGGCCCCGCACTTTCAAAGGCCCCGCGCTAAATGCTTTCAAGCTATCAATTCCGGTTCAGTGATTCTGCACTTGTTCTATTACCATAGTACTATACTGCCTTCAACTTTATGAACAACTGGGTGTTTAAGGTTAGCGATTTGTCGTATTATCTGGCTATATAGCAAATAAAAAAAATACAATTACGTTACTATGCAAGTAAAACATTTGTGTTTTAATATTTCAGTGTTTTTTTATATAGGGCCCCTTTATAGCATATGCTACAGGCCCCGCACTAGCTTAATCCGGCACTCATGACACACTTCACTTAGATCGTCCTCTGCACAACAGCAGGTGTTTGGCTCAGACTCCCTCCACCAAGGCCGTAGCCTTGGAGTGAACATCGAGGGGGACCAAATTTTCCAAGAGGTCCCCCCTCCAGAAAAACATCTACGTTTGAAAACTAATTTCCTGCCATTTCCTGCCTAAAATATTACAAAAAATTTCACTAACACATGGGGTGGATTTATTTATTTATTTACAATAATATCTAATTGTATTATTGTATGTAATGGCAGAGATTAGGGATTCATAAAGTCCAGTACAACCATAACTACAATCATATAAACAGAAATATATGCATTGTTATATGAAGACAAGTCCAGATATTGTGGCCAAGGTTTAGCAAATTGTTATTTTTATTTACATAACATCGCAATAATTATTTTTAAAAATATTTTTGAGCATATTTGATTATTGGGGGGGATGTGTCTCCCCAATATATATTATAATGACGGCCTTGCCCTCCACCCTTGCCCGGTATTGAGCTTGCTGCGTCGTTTTACTATCGCTCGGCCCCACTTCCTTCTAGTGGTCAAGCGGCATTTTTTGTTCTCCCTTATGCCTCTTAGCCTCTTTCCCCAAAAATCCGTCCCTCGCTTCCAGAACGTCCTCCGTCAAGATGTCACCTCTATCTGAGAATGTGTCCAAGCAACGCGACTTCTTCTTTCGTACGGCGGCTGATGTAGATGCAGAGCAACGACTACAATTTCACATTCGGGTGGTCGAGACAAGATAACTGCGTCAGGAGCAGCGAAGTGTATCGTCGCCGTTATGTCTCCTTCATATGTGTGGATCCGACATTGCGTCGTTATATGTTGCATGGTCTGCTCTTGATGACCACAGTTGCACACCGGACAGCTTTTCATTTTCAACGTGTGCATCAGGTATCCGCATCTGCCAACTCGAGTTCTCTCCTCCTTAACCTGCTTTAGAACTTCCTCATTAAATTTCGATTTAAATCTTTCGTGACTGCAGGGATTCATCTTCTTGGTTCTTTCGGTAAAGTCACGTAGAATGGAAATAATAAAATAATAAAAATAAAACATAAAATAATTCTCACGACGTTTCAGCCACAACGCAATCAGCCGTCCTCAGGTGGAGAACAGGTCTGTCGAGAAGACAGAGTGACTTTACCGAAAAAAACAAGAAGATGAACTTCCTCATTGCTCTTTCTCCCCACCCTCCTGATTTTCATCGTTTGACACCACAATCCATATCTCTGTGTCTTCGTTAATGTCCGCGCTTCTGCTGTATACAGCACTAGACTCAATAGTATCTTCCATGATCCCAGACCAGATATTTAACTTATCGGTACCACTTGAAGTGATATAACTTTATTTATTTAGGTGTTCAATAACAGTGACTTATGTGATATTTGTTCTTTGGCCCAAAGACCACTTTAGGTCTATATGTGGTGGCGAGCTGTTAACTACCTCGCCTGGTATACAGGAGGTCGTCGGTTCTATCCCGACCCTGACGCCTGTATATTTGGAGTTTGTATGTTCTCCCCGTGGTCGCGTGGATTTGTCTCCGGGTCCTCTGGATATTCACTCCACATTTAGAAACATGCGTTTAGAGGATTTAGCTGCTATACATTTCTACACGGTAAGCCACTTCGTTGAGCTATTATTTGTGGCCAGGTCGCTTCTGAAGAAGGGCTCATAGGTCAGTGGGTTTTACCTGGTAGATAAAAGTTTGGGAAAATAAAATAACGTTGTATTTTGTATGTACACAAATGTTTAAAAGCCATCGCAGTATTCTTTGGGTCTTTCGGTAAAGTCACGTAGATAGGTTCAAAGAAAATAACAAAAAACTATGGCGTTTCGATCATCAGGACCGCTTGTGTTGCGATTGAAATCTCCCAGTTTTTTGTTATTTTCTTTGAACCAATCTACGTGACTTTACCGAAAGACCCAAAGAATATTAATTCCTGCAGTCAACGAAAGCTTCAAGTCAAGATTTCGCCACCGCAGTCATACCACAGTGGTGTCACTGGAGGGCGCTATGACGTCATAGCTGACAGTCCAGTGACGATGATCTTCAGATACTTTGTGCTCACAGATTAATCTTCAAACGCGCGTCGTCTAACGATCAGTGCGTGATTCACAGTGATAGCTGTGTTTACACATAGATCAGAGTTGTCTTTTGGTGAACCGAGCGAGAGCCCAAAGAATGCATTCCCTCTGTTTCAGGAAAACTGGGTACAACACAAGGCAAGGCAGTGTTGATATGTTGTTGTATTTTTGTAGAACATTTTCATACTAAATATCTGCCCTACTACTGGCAGACATTGGTCAGGCCTTTGCAAATTTTTCGCATAGTAGAAGTCTATTATTTGACTTCAGTTTAAATATCAACAGCAGCGCTCCTTGCTTTATGCAGCCGGTATTTATATATTTAATAGTGCTTGAATTGGTTAAATATCGTACATCATTGTTATTGTAACTGCTAATACCTCAATAATTATCATATACAATAAGACATTCACAGTCCCTTGCGAAATCTGCTGCTTGATGATGGCATTTGGTTTAACACGTAGGCTTTCGCGACCAATATCCATAATAGAGTTTTTTTGGGGGGGGGGGGGTTAGATCGCGTAAATATATAAATGTGTCGTTAAAACCCGTCACCACCCGACACAGCCAACTCGTAAGGGTTGTCGTGTAAACGGAACATGCCAATTCGTCATTAGTACAGCACACCGGTGTGTTAGTATGACGTATCACCAGTAATTACAACTCACTTCATCAGGTGACAGCCAGATTTGTGGAGAAGTCTTACTGTTTCCTTCCTTATATATACGCTGGTCAGTGCGGGCCGGCGAAAGCGATGCACCTCAGGATAGTTTCAGATATCACTTGCCGCTGATGTTAGCCGTGAACCAGGAATCAAACACGGGTCGCTGGCTGCCGAATCGTTTGGGGGCACTGCACCCAGAAAACGACATCGCCATCATTATAGTTGGATGTCAAAACATCTTTAATTTGAAATCCAGTCTGCCTTGTGCTCAGTCAGCAGATGGCGCCTCTGGTCCAGTCCTGTACGTGCTCGTTAAGAACATTCTTTGCATCATACCCTGGGTCCGATGCCACTGCTAAGGTCACACACACATTGTTGTGCGCAGTCAAGCCGCAGCCGCTTGGCTTCCACGTGTTCCAGCCTCCTAAATCACGGAGGAACCAACGCGACCCCCCCTCCCCGCCAATATTACTGCCTTCAGATAAAAGTGGTTCCTAACGCCCTGGGGTTGTGGCGGTGAGGGTATCCAGCAGGGATGCTGGTAATGCCATTTTCAAACCACTGAACGTGCGACGTACGTGCCGGACCTAACAATTCTCAATCCTTCCTCGGGGCCCCAGAAAAGAGAGAGGAGGAGGAGGAGGCACACGCAATATAACACAGATAATAATGATTAATACATGTGGAAAATCGTGCTACTCTTAGGGGCCGTCCATAAATGACGTCACGCACCTGGGGGGGGGGGGTTGTCAGACATTTTTGACGATGTGTGACAAGGGGGGGGGGGGGGGGGGTCCGAAATGTGACATCACATAAAAATGCGCAACTTTAAATAAATATAGAAAACACATTCTACGTAATTAAATATACTTTTTAATAAATG